TCTTCGAAGACTAATGCATCTGGAAAGATTGAACGAAATCGCTGCAGTAGCAGAGGGTCAACATTGCGTTATAAAATTTGCCACAAACCCATAGACAGATAGACAGACAATGTAAACTAAATAAGGGCATGAAATACTCGGACCTATAAGCTCTAAATTGGTGCTCTTGCTTCGGTCAGCGGTAGGGGAAAAAGTCGCTACAGATTGTCCAAAAGACGGATTAACACAATTTTTTTATCCATGTCAATGGGCCAAACTCTGCTAGGCCCAAGAGAAGCGACATCGTGAGATCTATGGCCAATTTAAAAATAAAGAGCGCGGCACAATCAAGTGTAAAACAGTGTAGGGTCCGGCTGTATATGACCACAAATATTAGGCCCTGCTGAAACGTTATCACAACAAAAAACAATGGTAAATGCAAAAGTCACACGTGAATAGTATGAGATTTTTTTTGCGAAATAAACTAGATCTATTGTTATTTAAAATATCATTTCAACCTATAAAATGTATAGCCTAAGTAACTGAAATTTAGACCTAGTGTTATAGAAACTCATATTATGGCAGCATACAAATGGATAACAAATTTGATCCAGCCACTTTTGCCGTAAGCTTGCCGTAGGCAAGTCGTTCGAAACTCGAGACGTTCGTAGTCCGAAATATCATTTCAACCTATAAAATGTATAGCCTAAGTAACTGAAATTTAGACCTAGTGTTATAGAACCTCATATTATAGATGCATACAAATGGATAACAAATTTGATCCAGCCACATTTGCCGTAAGCTTGCCGTAGGCAAGTCTTTCGAAACTCGAGACGTTCGTAGTCCGAAATATCATTTCAACCTATAAAATGTATAGCCTAAGTAACTGAAATTTAGACCTAGTGTTATAGAAATTCATATTATGGATGCATACACATGGATAACAAATTTGATCCAGCCACTTTTTCCGTAAGCTTGCCGTAGGCAAGTCGTTCGAAACTCGATACGTTCGTAGTCCGGGGTGGATGTAGTAGAATTATTTTTCTTACCTCCAGCCCTGTTTGGTACTACTGGAGAAATAAAACGTTTACAGAGAGTTGAAACAAATAAACGAAACAAAACTTACCGTTTGTGTTAGAGGTTATTCCAAACTCGCCTGGGGCCGTGGGTTTTTATACATTCGTTTTTCATTGGCTCCATCATGCCATTATGCTAATGAGGTAACTGAAACAGATGGGACTTAACAAATTAATTAGCTTTCAACTGACACGTGATCCAATGTCGATTCTGGATTGTTCTTTTTTCAGGCCATGTTACAAGGCAAAGGTTGTTATTTCATTCGGCTGTCGCTTAATTAGTCGGCTATTAACATCAGACCACGATCAATTAATCAAAGGCGTCACCAGTATCAGTTGATGAACCGTGTTACCTTTCAAAGTACCCAGTCACCACTCCCAATAGATAAACAGCGTCACCACTCCCAGTAGATAAACAGTGTCACCACTCTCAGTAGATAAACAGTATCACCACTCCCAGTAGATAAACACTGTCACCACTCCCAGTAGATAAACAGTGTCACCACTCAAAGTAGATATACAGTATCACCAATCCCAGTAGATAAACAGTATCACCACTCCCAGTAGATAAACAGTGTCACCACTCACAGTAGATATACAGTGTCACCACTCCCAGTAGATATACAGTGTCACCACTCACAGTAGATAAACAGTGTCACCACTCGCAGTAGATATACAGTGTCACCACTCACAGTAGATAAACAGTGTCACCTGCAAGTAGATAAACAGTGTCACCACTCACGGTAGATAAACAGTGTCACCACTCACGGTAGATAAACAGTGTCACCACTCCCAGTAGATAAACAGTGTCACCACTCACGGTAGATAAACAGTGTCACCACTCCCAGTAGATAAACAGTGTCACCACTCACGGTAGATAAACAGTGTCACCACTCACGGTAGATAAACAGTGTCACCACTCACAGTAGATAAACAGTGTTACCACTCACAGTAGATAAACAGTGTCACCACTCCCAGTAGATAAACAGTGTCACCACGCCCAGTAGATAAACAGTGTCACCACGCCCAGTAGATAAACAGTGTCACCACGCCCAGTAGATAAACAGTGTCACCACGCCCAGTAGATAAACACTGTCACCACTCCCAGTAGATAAACACTGTCACCACGCCCAGTAGATAAACAGTGTCACGACTCACAGTAGATAAACAGTGTCACCACTCACGGTAGATAAACAGTGTCACCACTCACGGTAGATAAACAGTGTCACCACTCCCAGTAGATAAACAGTGTCACCACTCACGGTAGATAAACAGTGTCACCACTCCCAGTAGATAAACAGTGTCACCACTCACGGTAGATAAACAGTGTCACCACTCACGGTAGATAAACAGTGTCACCACTCACAGTAGATAAACAGTGTCACCACTCACAGTAGATAAACAGTGTCACCACTCCCAGTAGATAAACAGTGTCACCACGCCCAGTAGATAAACAGTGTCACCACGCCCAGTAGATAAACAGTGTCACCACGCCCAGTAGATAAACAGTGTCACCACGCCCAGTAGATAAACACTGTCACCACGCCCAGTAGATAAACACTGTCACCACTCCCAGTAGATAAACAGTGTCACCACTCGCAGTAGATAAACAGTGTCACCACTCCCAGTAGATAAACAGTGTCACCACTCCCAGTAGATAAACAGTGTCACCACTCACAGTAGATAAACAGTGTCACCACGCCCAGTAGATAAACAGTGTCACCACGCCCAGTAGATAAACAGTGTCACCACGCCCAGTAGATAAACAGTGTCACCACGCCCAGTAGATAAACACTGTCACCACTCCCAGTAGATAAACACTGTCACCACTCCCAGTAGATAAACAGTGGCTTGTTGTACTCGCGTCATTACTGTTATCGTCGTTACTGTTATCGTCGTTACTGTTATCGTCGTTACTGTTATCGTCATTACTGTTATCGTCATTACTGTTATCGTTGTATGATCTCTCAACCAGCTGGCTAATTTACATATGGTAATCCACACCTGGATGTTCCGTTAATGTATGGGTAGTAGGTGATGCTAGAGTACACCTCATTAGTGTGTGGGGTGGGGCTAGAGTACACCTCATTAGTGTGTGGGGTGGGGCTAGAGTACACCTCATTAGTGTGTGGGGTGGGGCTAGAGTACACCTCATTAGTGTGTGGGGTGGGGCTAGAGTACACCTCATTAGTGTGTGGGGTGGGGCTAGAGTACACCTCATTAGTGTGTGGGGTGGGGCTAGAGTACACCTCATTAGTGTGTGGGGTGGGGCTAGAGTACACCTCATTAGTGTGTGGGGTGGGGCTAGAGTACACCTCATTAGTGTGTGGGGTGGGGCTAGGGTACACCACATTAATGTGTGGGGTGGCGCTAGGGTACACCTTATTAATGTGTGGGGTGGGTCTAGGGTACACCTCCTTTATGTGTGGGGTGGGGCTAGGGTACACCTTATTAATGTGTGGGTGGGGTTAGGGTACACCTCATTAATGTGTGGGGTGGGGCTAGGGTACACCTCCTTTATATGTGGGGTGGGACTAGGGCACACCTCATTAATGTGTGGGGTGGGAGTAGGGTACACCTCCTTTATGTGTGGGGTGGGGCTAGGGTACACCTCCTTTATGTGTGGGGTGGGAGTAGGGTACACCACATTAATGTGTGGGGTGGGGCTAGGGTACACCTCATTAATGTGTGGGGTGGGGCTAGGGTACACCACATTAATGTGTGTGGTGGGGCTAGGGTACACCACATTAATGTTTGTGGTGTGGCTAGTGTACACCACATTAATGTGTGGGGAGGGGCTAGGGTGCACCTGATTAATGTGTGGGGTGGGGCTAGGGTACACTTCATTAATGTGTGAGGATAGTGTACACCTCATTATTGCTGGCTAGTGTACACCTAATTAATGTATGGGGAGGGGCTAGTGTACACTTAATTAATGTGTGGGGTGTGGTAAGTGTACATCTCATTAATGTGTGGTTTAGGATACGTGTAATCATTATCTGGCGTGAGCTGGGCATAACTTCACTTTGTGAGGACATTTGATCCTTACTAATGTTTGTGCTTTAAATGTTAATTATTTGAGATCAGTTCGCGAGATAAAAAAAAACTATTACCGTAAAACCCGTATACCAGTCTAACTTCTAGTAAAGGTTTATACAAATATTATTTTAAGAGCTTAGTTATATGTAGGTGCGCAGGATTACTTTTCCTACATGAAAATCTACTTTCCTCTGACAAATGTATGTTCTATGACTTTTTTATAGCATGGGCCAACAGTAACTGGGTACCTGGCCAATGGCCAACAGTAACTGGGCGCCTGGCCATGTAGGGCCAATGGCCAACAGTAACTGGGTACCTGGCCAATGGCCAACAGTAACTGGTCGTGTTGGGGCAGTGGCCAACAGTAACTGGGTACCTGGCCAATGGCCAACAGTAACTGGTCGTGTTGGGGCAATGGCCAACAGAACTGGACATTATGGCCCATGTTACCCATGTTACCTGCAGAGTTGGGCCATGTTAAGTGTTGCTAACGTCAGCAGAAACAGGTACTTCATTCTGGGATATGGGGATTATATAGCAGACTTGAGTCTTTAATAGCAGAAGATTCAGGGGTTATGACCTTGGATGTTTTCAGAGACATGAATTTAAACTAAAGATGTGCGCTGATGTCTCTCAAATTTTTTTTTTTTAATTCTGAGCCATAAATATCAACCATTAAACCGGTTGGTCACACCAAACTATGTTACACCTGTTACACCTTTTAACTGGTGTCAACCCTCCCCCTCCCTTTGGTTATATGGCGTCCTATTGTGTACACTAATGTTCAGTGGCGTAGCGAGGTCGGGTGTCACCCGGTGCGGCACTTAATGGTGTCACCCCCCCTCCCCCCAGAGGCGTAGCGAGCCTTCCCGGGGACAAACTTTCAAACTTTAGATTTGCACCCCCCCCCCCCAAACTTTCGATATGCACCCTCCTCGAACTTACGATTTGCACCACCCTCTATATTTTTCTCTATATACTTTGCAATTTTTTGCCTTGGTGTCACCCCCCTAAATGGTGTCACCCGGTGCGGTCCGCAACCCCCGCCCCCCCTCCCCCCCTTACTACGCCTCTGGTAATGTTGTAGAGTTGTAGATATCTGTAGATATCTATAAATAGAGTGTGATTTACGATGTTTATCACACTATAATTAGCAGTTTTAAACTTGACGTCATGCAGCCACATTATCGAGAGTTGTCAATCTGTAGTTAAAGGTATACTTAATTCACTTATTAATTTATAGAAATGACATTTAAAACCAAAAGAAGAATAAGTTCCACTTCCGGTTACCGGAAATCGCTGAAAAGTTGATACAGAACTACAAATTTGATATAATACTTATATATGAAATTTCATAGATCATGTCCACAGACACACAGACACACAGACACACACACACAAAGACACACACACACACAAACATAAGGACGAAATTGCAAAATTATGTTTTTTTCGACTCACTGAGTTGTAAAAGATCAAGATTTGTGAAAATCTCGCTATCGATTTTTTTGCACGATTACAATACTTCCTCTATACTTCGGTGACAAGAAAAATGCGCACACAGAAAAATGCGCAAACAGAAAAATGTGCAACCAGAAAATAGCGCAATCAGAAAAAAGCGCACACAGAAAAGTACGCAAAGAGAAAAATGCGCAACCAGATAAAATGTGCCGCTCTAGTGATGTTAGGCTCTACACAACCCCTCCCCACCCCCTAAACAAACCTGGCGTCGTTCAGCTGCTCCTAACGCGGAATCAAATCGTTTAATTATCCAGCTGATTTGTACTAATTGACATCAAATTAGAAACACACAGATGGAAGCCACGTATATATGGCGGGCTATTAATGTAGTGGGGTGGGGCAGCTCCTTGTCACATTTCTGTTGACTGTGGTCAGTTAATTGTGGTCTGTTGGTCAAATGGTTGTGGTCAGTGTCTAACACTATAGCGACTGGCTTCCGACAATGAAAACAGCGAAGTTTGCTGTGACGACAGACGTAATATCTACATCTATAATTGCCCCCCCCCCACCAGCTACGCCATCTGGTAGGTGTAGGTCCCGCCATTCAGTCAGAGGAAGCAGTGTCCTATGTTTTCAATATGGGGTGGTAAAGCTCTGTATGTGTGTATGTATGTGGCCTATGTTTACAATATGGGGTGGTACAGCTCTGTATGTGTGTATGTATGTGTGTATGTGTGTGGCCTATGTTTACAATATCGGGTGGTACAGCTCTGTATGTGTGTATGTATGTGGCCTATGTTTACAATAAGGGGTGGTACAGCTCTGTATGTGTGTATGTATGTGGCCTATGTTTACAATATCGGGTGGTAAAGCTCTGTATGTGTGTATGTATGTGGCCTATGTTTACAATATCGGGTGGTAAAGCTCTGTATGTGTGTATGTATGTGGCCTATGTTTACAATATGGGGTGGTACAGCTCTGTATGTGTGTATGTATGTGGCCTATGTTTACAATATCGGGTGGTAAAGCTCTGTATGTGTGTATGTATGGTGCCTAAGTTTACAATATGGGATGGTACAACTCTGTATGTGGGTATGTATGTGGCCTATGTTGTGTATGTGTATGTGTGTGTGAGTGCGTGTGTGGATTTGGTGGTGGAAAACCAAAAGACAACTAAAAACATAACACCAGCATGGTACTAAAACATAACAACACCAGCATGATACTAAAACATAACAACACCAGCATGATACTAAAACATAACAACACCAGCATGATACTAAAACAAAACAACACCAGCATGATACTAAAACATAACAACACCAGCAAGATACTAAACTCATATTTTATTCACGCATGTATTACAGCCGCCATATTGGATGATCTCTCAACGTACTCTGTCACTAATAGTGCGCCGAACTGAGTTCCTTCCCCTACGTTTGAGTACAGGCTACACTAAACCTGCCCTCTCTCATGCATGGGGATCTATCGTTGTTGTTTTTTTTTTAAAGTAATTAACATTTTAAAACCGCCTACATTTCGACAGTGGCGTAGCGAGGGGGGGGTGCGGACCGCACCGGGTGACAACATTTAGGGGGGTGACACCAAGGCAAAAATTAGCAAAATACAGAGAGAAAAATGATAATTCCACTTAATTAAGTGATTAATTCGAGTGCTAAATAGTCTTTTAAAAGGTACAAATCGAAAGTTTGAAGGGGGGGTGGGGCAAATCGAAAATTGAAAGTTTGTCCCCGGGAAGGGTCGCTACGCCTCTGGGGGTGACAACATTAAGTGCCTCACCGGGTGACACCCGACCTCGCTACGCCACTGCATTTCGATTATTTTAATATGACGATAAAAGATTGAATTATCATTCAACTTTTGCTGCCTTAAGTGACCTTGATCTGTGAGTGGCCAACAGGAACTGGATGTCTGAGCTTGTGGCCATTGGCCAGGAACTACACGCAAGATGGCCCTTGCGTCACGGTGAAGCGGGTGTCTGAGGGGTCCCAGGGCATCTGGACTGTTACGTCACACCTGCTGACCTGCGTACAGTGACATGTTTACATGACGTCATTGGGCGAGTTATCCTTGGGGTGGGGGGGGGAGGGGGCTAGTTTATTTGTATTTTTAGTTTACACCAAATTAACAGTGTTCAGGAAATATATGTTAATAGTCACGTGACGTGGAAGTCATGAGGTCTCACCTGCCCTGCACAGTTCACATTCATGACGTAATGCAAAGTGAAGGATATGCCGTCCTGAAAAGGACAAAAACGGACAGGTATTACAAGCTTGACAAACTGATACTTTGAACCTATGGAGCATGCCACTATAGAACCATAAAAACTACTGCTTTAGACCCATAAAAATAGCTACTTTAGACCCATGTAATTAACTACTTTAGACCCATCATTTTAATTTTCCCACTTTTTCACCACTGATTTTCTGCCTATGATCAACATCCAAACTATTTCGTCATCGTCCTTGAATATTTATTTACTTACCTCCATTCGACCTTGAGCCGTATCAAAGTTTATAAAATCACATGTCAGACCCCCCTTCAGGTCCCCGATGACCCCGAGGGCGTAGGTCACGGTGTCGTCATCAGGGTCAACCAGTACATCCACCATTTCCTGGTCTTCTGCCAGACACACAGAGGCCAAAGCCAGGAGAAACAGGTACTTCATTGTGTGGCTGGAACAGTACACATACTTGCTGGTCAACAAACGGTCAACAATGTGGGGGTCATTAACATTTTGACCAACACTGGCATTATAAAATGACAATAAACGATCAACAAATGTGGGCCATTCACGTTTAACCAACACTGGCAGTAGTACCTGTTAGTTGTGGTCAAATGTAGTGGTCCGTTGGTCATTTGTCCACTATAAAAACAAACCCCTACCTTTGAGCCTGGCTTGAGATCCCTGAGATTTATGTCAACAAACACAAACACAAACCCAAACACTCGCCCGCCATGTTTTATAGCGCTGTGATAATTATGTGAGTTTATTTCTGGCTGAGCTGGTTGTTATGCTAATGAGATGACTCACACTTGTAGCGTGTGAACCATTGCGACAGTGTTCATTCAATGTCCTGTTTTGTCGCATCTAAGTACTCAAGTACCGACATTTTGTCGCGGACTGTCCAGAGTACCGAGCGGATTGCCCCTAGTACAAGGAGAATGTCCGGTTTATCCCAAGTACTAGGAGGATCTTATGTGAGACTGCATAGTGGATCTTATATAAAGCTGTAAAGAGGATCTGATATAAAGCTGTAAAGAGAATATTATATAAAGCTGTGAAGTGGATCTTATGTGATGTTATAAGAATCTTCTTTGAGGCTGCAAATATTATCTTATATTAGACTATAAAGTGCACATGTTTTGTAAGGTTGTAAAGAGGATCTTAAATGGGGCTGTAAAGAGGACTTAACCTTGTACCAGTAGTCGTGGGATAATTTGGCAATGAAATGACACGTTCACGGAACGACCGACCTCCATCAAACATCTCCAAATGTCAGTGGCATTAGCGTCAATTATATAGTGACGTGTACCAGCAATCTCCAATCTCTTTTATTGGGAAGATCGGTTGGGGGGATGTGACTAAAGTAGGAAGAGAGTGTTTAGGGTTGGCATTGGTACTGTATGTAATTGTAAATTAATCATTTAATGAGGGCCATTTGTGCAGATCTACTGTAACATGTGGCCGCCATTAGCTCGCTCGCCTAGCCCGGGTTACTTGTGTAAACCAGCCGTTTCAACCCATTTCACTACAATGAACTCGACAGAGAATAGTCTCAAACTTATTCGAAAGGCCCATTGACATTTCAAAAATCATGTACTATGTTTAAAATGAATATGGTTATAAAAATATGATTGTTTGATTTACTACAGATAAGATGTAATTGAAGTTTTTTGTAGTTTCGGTAACTAAACAAAGTAAAAAAAAAGCCAAAATATTTTAATTGTTTAAATTTATGAAAGAAATTGAAAACAAAAATGTCTTAACTAGGTCATTAAAAAAAATGAATTAATAATAATTGTATCGGCTAAGTTTTGAGTATAAATTATAATGAGTTTTTTTATGAAGTGGGATTTTCAGAATATCGATCACAGAGTTCATGTACAGCCAATCAATGTTTGTCTTACGAAATTATAACATGAGGTAATAACATTGGCTTGATGAAAAAACAAGTAATTAAAAAAAGTCTAGTGACAATTTTAGCGCAATTTCCTTATGTTATCTAAAAATAGCTCTGTCGTAGCGTAAATCAAGAGCAGGGTTAGTAAAAACATTGGTTAGTTATTAAAACGTTTTTTTATTAATTTTTTTTTCAGTATTTTACATGTTTTATTTACAACGAGCCGGCCCGCGGCATAACATACGCCGCTATTTAGTTGTTGTTTTTTTCTACTTTTCAGTAATTCATAATTTGTGAATTCGACTGTACCAACGCTGACACTGAAAATATTTCTGTAAAACACTAAACCCCCCTTCCCCCCCCCCCCACGTGAAAGCAGCCTCCTCTTAGTTACCTCCTCTAAGTTTAAAATAGTTTCAAACTAAATTATCTGCCCCTAATAGCCGTCACCAAACCCGTCTCTAAGATTGTAAAATGTAAACAGCGTGACCACAGCTTACCAAACCATGTGAGGGGGTGGGGGGTTGGGGGTGGTAGCGATAGAGAGGAAGAGAGGGGACTGTAAGGCGAGGTTGCAGCTTGTTTTCTAACGGCTCCCAGAAGAGAATTATATATATAGATAGAGTTACATGACTAAAAACCATTGCGCGCCTAGCTACCGAACGTGATGTCGCAGCCATTGAACGTGATGGCGCAGCTATTGAACGTGATGACGCGTGTGGTGTTGTTGGATAAAATGCCTACTAATTCGGTCCAAATTTTAATTAATTCAATTTTTTTGTTGTGACCGAACGAAAAGATATTTTTGAAAACTTTCTTCGGCAATATTGTTCTAAATTATGGCAGGAATCGATTGGTACATGTTTCAAGTCGCTAAGTGGTCTGGTTGCCGAGATATGGGCCAAAAACTGCATTATTTCGAGGTTTTTGGCTGTTCCGGGAAATCCATGAAAGAAACCCGGAATTTTTATGGCCTATGTTCATCCTCGTAACTTGCTTAACCTAATTGCTTTGAAACTAGTCCTCGATATTGCTTCGTTGAGGAGGAGATACGACTTAAAGCTGCGGACACACATTCATCCATCCGTTCATCCATCCATCCAGAAATGACAGGTTAATAAACGCAATTCTCCACAATGGAAATTAAGTTAAAAAATTGAAAGGTAGCCTTCAACTAAATTATTTTCAAGTTTTCTGGATTTGCAAATTTTATAACATTGATTCTAAAAATATTACATTTATGAATTATTTTCACGCTTAATTAAGTTTTTAAGTTGTTTTTTTTTCATTGTCGCTTTGATGACAAAATCTAAAAAATAAAACGATTTTATCCATGTCAGTGGCGTAGGCAGGGGGGGGTTAGGGGGGGTCATAACCCCCCCCCCCCCATAGACCCCTCGGTATATATAAAAAGTATGAGGGGGGTGCAAATCGAAAGTTTGAAGGGGGGTGCAAATCGAAAGTTTGAGGGGGGGGTGCAAATCGAAAGTTTGAGGGGGGGTGCAAATCGAAAGTTTGAGGGGGGGGGGGTGCAAATCGAAAGTTTGAGGGGGGGTGCAAATCGAAAGTTTGAGGGGGGGTGCAAATCGAAAGTTTGTCCCCGGGTAAAAATTGGACCCCCCCCCCCCCTCCCTTGAGACGATCCTGGCTACGCCATTGATCCATGTCAACAATAATGATGAAAGGATTCTCGTCAAATCGGTCTGTCCGTTAATTCATGCGCGAAATCTCTAAGATTTTCACCAGGTTAGTTCGGGTTCTGTCAGTTGATTGCTACAGTGACCTCAACACAATACAACATCACTGTAATGTATTGGTTAATTCAACTGTTATTTTTTTTTGTTAAAGACCCTTGTAAAGAAAGAACATAGCAGTACGTTTAAGTTTGTATTGCTGTGTAACATTTTACATTATGTTTGCTTGAAGTGCGTGAAAAATTGATAGTAATTTTCTTAACATAACAGTGTGAAAGACACACAAAGATTTACATACATACGGACAGGCAGACAAACAGAAAAAAGTAAAATAGTTTAGAAACAACACAGTTTAATAAAACAATTTTATTTTTATTCTCGGTGCAGCTCTGATTTACGTCTGCAAGTCTTTCGTCTTGAGCAGATCATACTGTAAGGAACGGGTGTTGTGTGTTTAGTGGGGACTACCATAGCTAGATGTTGTGTGTTTAGTGGGGACTACCATAGCTAGATGTTGTGTGTTTAGTGGGGACTACCATAGCTAGATGTTGGGTGTTTAGTGGGGACTACCATAGCTAGATGTTGTGTGTTTAGTGGGGACTACCATGGCTAGATGTTGTGTGTTTAGTGGGGACTACCATGGCTAGATGTTGTGTGTTTAGTGGGGACTACCATGGCTAGATGTTGTGTGTTTAGTGGGGACTACATAGCTAGATGTTGTGTGTTTAGTGGGGACTACCATGGCTAGATGTTGTGTGTTTAGTGGGGACTACATAGCTAGATGTTGTGTGTTTAGTGGGGACTACCATGGCTAGATGTTGAGTGTTTAGTGGGGACTACCATAGCTAGATGTTGGGTGATCGGATAAAAACAGTAAACATTGTAGTTAAAGGACCTACCGTGTGGTCCCTGAGTCCACTCAGCTCTGATGTTGACCTATCTCACGTGAGGGAAATTTAGGCCAGCTAGGCATAGTGTTCACCACACTATCCCTTCGTATGCGGAGGTAACAGATTATATGAACTCTACTTCATCTGCCCGAACGGATCGTTGGGTCTGGAATGGGAACTTTTACCATTTTCACTTGACCTGCAATATTTACACGGCCCCTGGGTGACCTGCAATATTTACACGGCCCATAGATGACCTGCAATATTTACACGGCCCCTAGATGACCTGCAATATTTACACGGCCCCTAGATGACCTGCAATATTTACACGGCCCCCAAGGTGACCTGCAATATTTACACGGCCCCTAGGCGACCTTCCATGTTTACATGACCTAATGTGTTATTATGACCTACATGAACACAAGACCTAAATGATCACATGACCTACCCTGTTTACATGTAATAGGTGGCACCAAAGTATACATTGGGGTTTCCCATGCCGCGTGCACTACTGTGACGTCACACTATAGGAGGAGAAGAGTGATCATTAACCATCACAAACCTCCGTCAGTAGTGGTCAAAGTTGGGTTAAACTACTAGGTTCAGTCACTAACATCTGGGTAAGTGACGTCACTGAGTAGAATTCATGATTTAAACTAGTGTCGTTTGTCGTTTGTCGAATGTCGCTTGTAAAAAATGTTAGGTAAATAGTACCTAAAGTAACAAAATGTAAGCTAGTAGTATCTAAGGTAACAAAAAGTAAGCTAGTAGTACCAAAGTAGTACCTACGCTACAGTCTGGATAAATTTGTTTCACATCAACTTACCTGTGAACCGTCGTCTAGATTTAACACGAAGTTGTACTTCACACCAGCAACTATCTGGGAACAGTATATATGTATATATGAATATATATATATATATATATATATATATATATATATATATATATATATATATATATATATATATATATATATATATATATATATATATATATAAGCTACAGCTGAAGAAACCTAGACATAAGACTACTGTCGAGCACCCAGTTCAGCAGACAACGACTCACCTGTGATTTGGCGGAGGCGACATTTTTCAGGTATCGCACGTTGTTGTCGCCCTGAGCAGCGTACCAGCTGTTGATTTCGTCCACGGCAAACTGGACGACGCCGTATATCGAGTTGGAAGGGTCAAGGTTGACCGTCACCAATGGCGACCATCCTCCAGCCCTGCCAAGGGAAGCGACTCCCGTCAGACAGACTGAGAGCAGGACAAGGACAGAGAGACTCATGCTGCAAGACAGGAGGGTAGCGTCATGCTCGTGGCTGGCGTGTGTTGATACACGGTTGGCGCGGGTGTTTTAGGACATTTGACACTACACAGACACCATAACATGTTGACACCACATGAACATTGACACCACAAAACATAACATCACAAAACCCTAACACCACACAACCCTAACACCACAAAACACTGACACCACAAACCCTAACACCACAAACCCTAACACCACAAAACACTGACACCACAAAACCCTAACACCACAAACCCTAACACCACAAAACACTGACACCACAAAACCCTAACACCACAAAACATAACACCACAAACCCTAACACCACAAAACACTGACACCACAAAACCCTAACACCACAAAACATAACACCACAAACCCTAACACCACAAAACATTGACACCACAAAACATAACATCACAAAACCCTAACACCACACAACCCTAACACCACAAAACACTGACACCACAAACCCTAACACCACAAACCCTAACACCACAAAACCCTGACACCACAAAACCCTGACACCACAAAACGTGACACCACAAAACCCTAACACCACAAAACACTAACACCACAACACCCTGACACCACAAACCCTAACACCACAAAACATTGACACCACAAAACATAACATCACAAAACCCTAACACCACACAACCCTAACACCACAAAACACTGACACCACAAACCCTAACACCACAAACCCTAACACCACAAAACCCTGACACCACAAAACCCTGACACCACAAAACGTGACACCACAAAACCCTAACACCACAAAACACTAACACCACAAAACCCTAACACCACAAAACCCTAACACCACAAAACACGACACCACAAAACCCTGACACCACAAAACCCTGACACCACAAAACGTGACACCACAAAACCCTAACACCACAAAACACTAACACCACAAAACCCTAACACCACAAAACCTTTACACAAGTAGAGCCAACAACACATTTCACATCATTATGTTTCTCACATCCCTCCTGCGTGTAATAATTACTCACTCAGAACACCGAGAACGTTGGCCGAAAATGTGACGAAAATCTCACCAAGTAAGTCGACGTGGATGTTGTCCTTTTATATAAGGCACTCGACCCACCTGGGCTATAGGAGACAAAGGCCTGTTTGATGTGTGCTGGGATATAGACGTCGATAGGATGGTGTACTCACCTTGTTGATAGGTAAACAAATAACCTAGACAAGAGCACGAATTTTTGTTTACCTACAGGATACATTGATTCATTTTTGTTCCGGCGATGGGCAGTTTTATTTTTCTTAAAAATATAAAGTAAGTTGGTTTAAATATGTTTGGAACACAATGGTCAACACAGTGTGTACTTGACAGTTGCATGGTGTACTGACCACACAGTCACATGGTGTACTGACAACACAGCCACATGGTGTACTGACCACACACATGGTGTACTGACCACACAGCCACATGGTGTACTGACCACACAGCCACATGGTGTACTGACCACACAGCCACATGGTGTACTGACCACACAGCCACATGGTGTACTGACCACACACATGGTGTACTGACCACACAGCTACATGGTGTACTGACCACACACCCACATGGTGTACTGACCACACAGCCACATGGTGTACTGACCACACAGCCACATGGTGTACTGACCACACAGCCACATGGTGTACTGACCACACAGCCACATGGTGTACTGACCACACAGCCACATGGTGTACTGACCACACAGCCACATGGTGTACTGACCACACAGCCACATGGTGTACTGACCACACAGCCACATGGTGTACTGACCACACACATGGTGTACTGACCACACACCCACATGGTGTACTGACCACACAGCCACATGGTGTACTGACCACACAGCCACATGGTGTACTGACCACACAGCCACATGGTGTACTGACCACACAGCCACATGGTGTACTGACCACACAGCCACATGGTGTACTGACCACACAGCCACATGGTGTACTGACCACACACCCACATGGTGTACTGACCACACAGCCACATGGTGTACTGACCACACACATGGTGTACTGACCACACAGCCACATGGTGTACTGACCACACACCCACATGGTGTACTGACCACACAGCCACATGGTGTACTGACCACACAGCCACATGGTGTACTGACCACACAGCCACATGGTGTACTGACCACACAGCCACATGGTGTACTGACCACACAGCCACATGGTGTACTGACCACACACAGGCACATGGTGTACTGACCACACAGTGTACTGACCACACAGCCACATGGTGTACTGACCACACAGCCACATGGTGTACTGACCACACAGCCACATGGTGTACTGACCACACACAGGCACATGGTGTACTGACCACACAGTGTACTGATCACACACTCACCTGGAGTATGACCACACAGCCACATGGTGTACTGACCACACAGCCACATGGTGTACTGACCACACAGCCACATGGTGTACTGACCACACAGCCACATGGTGTACTGACCACACAGCCACATGGTGTACTGACCACACAGTGTACTGATCACACACTCACCTGGAGTATGACCACACACCCACATGGTGTACTGATCACACAGCCACATGGTGTACTGACCACACAGCCACATGGTGTACTGACCACACAGCCACATGGTGTACTGACCACACAGCCACATGGTGTACTGACCACACACAGGCACATGGTGTACTGACCACACAGTGTACTGATCACACACTCACCTGGAGTATGACCACACACCCACATGGTGTACTGACCACACAGCCACATGGTGTACTGACCACACAGCCACATGATGTACTAGCCACACAGTGTACTGACCACACAGCCACATGGTGTATGACCATCCACATGTTCTATTGAGGACCAGGGACAAGGGGGGGGGAGGTTCGCCCGAGGGAATAGTGTACAATCAATGTGAATGAATTGTCAGTAGATTCATAAAAGAGACTGGACAAAACTGGTCAGACGGTTTATTCAACGATGAGATGGAACTTCATGATAGAACTAATTTGTTCAGGTGAGACTTGACAGCCAGTGGCCGAGTGGACTAACAGTGAGACAATCTGACATCACCAACATTTGTAAACAAGTTTTTTTCTCTCTGATAGTGGCGCCCCCTTTACCGTTCTACCATCTTGTTTGTCAGCATGGCAACCCAACGTCACGTTTTAGGTTCCCAATAACACTAAATTAACAAAGTAAAAAACAACAAAAAACTTTTAGAAAGATTTTTTAATTTATTTAGTAAAAACGTGAATCCACCTATTTCAGACGATAAAGGAATGTAATTGTTTTTAGTTAGTACAAGCTGACTTCACAAAATTTGAATCTTTAAGTCACAGAGAAAAACAGGCTATCGTGGGGGAAAACATGTGTTCAGCTATTTTAAAAACTGTGGAGTCCTATCTGGCAGATAAGCCAGCAGCTCATGACTTGATGGAAGCTGCTAGATCACCGTCCGCCATATTGGTGACCTTGTTTTAAGCCAATCTGGGTCAACAGGTTTGGCACAACTGGCCAGATAAGACAAGAGAGGTCAAGCCAATAAAATAATCTTTGTTTGCGATGTTGAAATGACAGATTTTTTTTTTTTAAAAAAAGGAGATAAATATAGATCTATATTGTTTTGTTTTTCAACCTTCTAATTGCTTGTCAAAAAAAAGAAGAAAAAAATCTTATATAATAACATGTAACATGGGAAATCCCTACCTATGTGCACAGGACAAGTGCTAAACGAGATTCAATCAAGGCCAAACCAAATTTTTTCCATCAACTTTACATAAGCCTAAAGCACTAGCACATTACATGTTTAGGTTAAGCACCATTATCAGAAACTCAGTTACACATCAACATTTCATATAATACTAAAAGTGTATATACAAGAAGTTCATTACATATAAAAAATAAAAAAGTTTTATAAAATTTTCTTTGAAGATCCCAAATTTTCAGATTATTAAAAAAAAAAAAAAAGAGTTCATCAGATCAAATTTGAGAGTTGTTGTGCTGTTAAGTGCAAAAAATAGTTTAAAATGATTTGAAGCTTAATTTAAATTATGTATACTCACTCAAGTTGCCAACAAAATTACCCGAGACATTTAAAAGCAAACATGTAAATAAAGAACTTAATTATTAACTCATTTGAAAATTTCCAAATTCTCTGTACATTATAATTTTAAAATATCCTAATTTTCTGATTTGGAATTTTTTTTTTAAATATAGGTAACTATAAATTTTTAAATCTTTTAACCTAATTGTTGAAAGTCTCATCTTTTTAAATAAATAATATCAAAACTCTGACCCTAAATCTTAGGGAACAATTCTCTGGATAAAGTTTTAAAATCTACTGATACAGTTAAATCAAATGAAAAAATCCACTGATATAATTAAATAAAATGACATGAAGAAATAAAATCATGTGAAAGACAAAAAATTTCAAATATTTTAGTCCTGCTGAAGCGAAAGGTGTGACACATGAGCCTAGTTAACAGTACTGAAAATTGCAGACGTGAGCCTAGCTGACAGTAGCAGACGTGAGCCTAGCTGACAGTACTGACAGTAGCAGACTTGAGCCTAATTGACAGTAGCAGACGTGCACATGGTGTTAAGGCCACATGTTCCATCCCCTCTGTAAACCAGGTAGTAGCCCTGAAACAATCACAAGTAAGCTGATCACATCTGGGGCTATGGGATTGTTTTATAGCAGTATGTGATTGTTTTAAGGTAGTATGTGATTGTTATTGTTGTATGATAAACTGTTGATTGCTGTCTTTGTGGAAATGAAGTCAAGTCTGACTACTTTAAATGTTTAATGGTAGGCCAATTTTACAATGAGTTGCCTGAAGTACTAAAACAACAATTACAAAAAAATGTAAAAATTCAATCAACATGCAAAAGCACCATTAACAAACTAACTAAACTAATTAAAGGGGTTAAATCTAAACTGACCTTTACACCCCAGTGAGTACCCCAGCTGTTTTTGACAATCCAAAAAGGTTCTTTACCCTTCACTGAAAGGATTTTAAAATAAAATTGTTTTTATTTATCTCAAAATAAGATAAAACAATCACCATACAACAGAAATCTGTATTTTCTTATAAGAAATCAACAGGATGTTAATTTTTTTTTGTAGATTTAATGTTCTGAAACATTACAATTCATGAAACAATTTAGAAAATCAGATAATGAACACTTGAAACTTGACAAAAAATTAACTATTTACTAAAGGTAGCTGTGTGTCAGTTTTATACCCTTTACCCTCCTCATTTGATTTGCAATGTTTTCATCATTTACATGTTTGTTGTTCCCATATTCCAACCACCACTGGGGTAGTTCTGCCACAGGCTGGGAACCACTGTTTATGATACAAGTCAATGTAAAAAAAAAACCACTCACTTCCATATCCCACAATCAGAACACCATGGTCAAGGCTGTTGGGGTCACAGAACATCTTCCAAGGGTGAGAAATGCCGCCCATGTAAAACTGAGAGAAATAAAATTATAAAAGTCTCGTCTGTTAAGTTACATGTGTCTAATCAGAAATGCCGCCCATGTAAAACTGTAAAATAAAATTATAAAAGTCTTGTCTGTTAAGTTACATGTGTCTAATCAGAAATGCCGCCCATGTAAAACTGTGAGTAATGAAATTATAACAGTCCCATCTGCAGTGGCGTAGAGACCCTTACCGGCACCCGGGGACAAACTTTTCTATTTGCACCCCCCCCCCCCCTTCGAGATTTCGATTTGAACTCCCCCCCCCCCTCGAGATTTCAATTTGCACCCCCCCCCCCCCCCTCAAACTTTCAATTTGTACCCCCCTAAGGTCGGCGCCCGGGGACATATGACCCACCCCCCCCCCCCGCCCCCCCCCCCCCCCGCTACACTACTGCCCATCTGTGGTGTGTCTAATCAGAAATACAGCTCAGATAAAACTGTGAGACAAAAGTTGTCACCAAAAACAAAACAAAAGTGCTATTATGTGGTGACATCTCAGTCTACAGGTGTTGAGTGACCAGTGGTTTACATTAACAGTTTCTGTGTTTTACTTGTTTGGGTGACCGCTCACCTGCACACCACATACAGCTATTTTGTAGCAGGCATATGGAATTGTCATACAGCAAGTATTAATGTAATCTTCAACCCATATATTATTTTCATACAATAACTATAATCTTTAGCCCATAGATTCTAGCATGTAGTTACCTGCATAGCAAAAGCATTGATCCCAATAGAGATGGGTCCATTCTTGTACAACCAGGCAGCCATTTCTGTTAAACATACACACAGTTTTAAAATTATAGTACAAGTAACTTCAAAATAAAAGAAAAACTTGTCCTACAGGTGAGACAAGAAAAACTTGTCCTACAGGTGAGACAACTTGTCCTACAAGTGAGACAAGAAAAACTTGTCCTACAGGTGAGACAAGAAAAACTTGTCCTACAGGTGAGACAAGAAAACTTGTCCTACAGGTGAGACAAGAAAAACTTGTCCTACAGGTGAGACAACTTGTCCTACAGGTGAGACAAGAAAACTTGTCCTACAGGTGAGACAAGAAAAACTTGTCCTCCTACAGGTGAGACAAGAAAAACTTGTCCTACAGGTGAGACAAGAAAAACTTGTCCTACAGGTGAGACAAGAAAAACTTGTCCTACAGGTGAGACAACTTGTCCTACAGGTGAGACAAGAAAACTTGTCCTACAGGTGAGACAAGAAAAACTCGTCCTACAGGTGAGACAAGAAAAACTCGTCCTACAGGTGAGACAAGAAAAACTTGTCCTACAGGTGAGACAACTTGTCCTACAGGTGAGACAAGAAAAACTTGTCCTACAGGTGAGACAAGAAAAACTTGTCCTCCTACAGGTGAGACAAGAAAAACTTGTCCTACAGGTGAGACAACTTGTCCTACAGGTGAGACAAGAAAACTTGTCCTACAGGTGAGACAAGAAAAACTTGTCCTCCTACAGGTGAGACAAGAAAAACTTGTCCTACAGGTGAGACAAGAAAAACTTGTCCTACAGGTGAGACAAGAAAAACTTGTCCTACAGGTGAGACAAGAAAAACTTGTCCTACAGGTGAGACAACTTGTCCTACAGGTGAGACAAGAAAAACTTGTCCTACAGGTGAGACAAGAAAAACTTGTCCTACAGGTGAGAAAAGAAAAACGTGTCCTACAGGTGAGACAACTAGTCCTACAGGTGAGACAAGAAAAACTTGTCCTACAGGTGAGACAAGAAAAACTTGTCCTCCTACAGGTGAGACAAGAAAAACTTGTCCTACAGGTGAGACAACTTGTCCTACAGGTGAGACAAGAAAACTTGTCCTACAGGTGAGACAAGAAAAACTTGTCCTCCTACAGGTGAGACAAGAAAAACTTGTCCTACAGGTGAGACAAGAAAAACTTGTCCTACAGGTGAGACAAGAAAAACTTGTCCTACAGGTGAGACAAGAAAAACTTGTCCTACAGGTGAGACAACTTGTCCTACAGGTGAGACAAGAAAACTTGTCCTACAGGTGAGACAAGAAAAACTCGTCCTACAGGTGAGACAAGAAAAACTCGTCCTACAGGTGAGACAAGAAAAACTTGTCCTACAGGTGAGACAAGAAAAACTTGTCCTACAGGTGAGACAAGAAAAACGTGTCCTACAGGTGAGACAACTAGTCCTACAGGTGAGACAAGAAAAACTTGTCCTACAGGTGAGACAAGAAAAACTTGTCCTACAGGTAAGAACTGACCAGTTTCATCTCTGCTGATGTTGACTGATCCGGTCAGCTTGACCACTATTTCAGATTTGTTTAGTCTGCACTTGTCATCCTTGCCCTCGTATTTGTAGTCTCCCTCTGTCTCAATACCACCTGCATGGTAAAATATAAATACATCAATACCACCTGGTACAATATTAAAACATCAATACCACCTGCATGGTACAATATTAAAACATCAATACCACCTGCATGGTACAATATAAATACATCAATACCACCTGGTACAATATTAAAACATCAATACCACCTGGTACAATATTAAAACATCAATACCACCTGGTACAATATTAAAACATCAATACCACCTGGTACAATATTAAAACATCAATACCACCTGGTACAATATTAAAACATCAATACCACCTGGTACAATATTAAAACATCAATACCACCTGGTACAATATTAAAACATCAATACCACCTGGAAAATATTAAAACATCAATACCACCTGGAAAATATTAAAACATCAATACCACCTGCATGGTAAAATATTAAAACATCAATACCACCTGCATGGTAAAATATTAAAACATCAATACCACCTGGAAAATATAAAACATCAATACCACCTGGAAAATATTAAAACATCAATACCACCTGGTACAATATTAAAACATCAATACCACCTGGTACAATATTAAAACATCAATACCATCTGGTACAATATTAAAACATCAATACCACCTGGTACAATATTAAAACATCAATACCACCGGTACAATATTAAAACATCAATACCACCTGGTACAATATTAAAACATCAATACAACCTGCATGGTACTATTTAAATACATCAACACAACCTGCATGGTACTATATAAATACATCAATACTACTTGCATGGTACAATATAAATACATCAATACTACCTGGAGGATAAATTTAAAAGTATAGATATGTTTTTACTTATTATCGTTGGAGAATATCAATATTAAAAGTGCATTAGATATCATAACATAAATTTTTGACGTAACAATAAAAAAATTTTCTACTCAGTTAAAAAAATCTGCCTCAACAAGACTGGCCAATGGTCATCTACCCACTAAACTTCCTACCATTCACCTACCCAATGGTCATCTACCCACTGAACTTCCTGACCATTCACCTACCCAGTTCCATGAGAGCCTCATAGGCCTGTGAGGGGAAGCCACCATTACATCCCTCGTCAATCTTGTCACAGTCCACCAGCTCTGGGGAAGTTAAGTAAACATTTGTCTCAGTTTTGGGAGAAGTTAAGACAACATTTGTCTCAGTTTTGTGGAAGTTAAGACAACATTTGTCTCAGTTTTGGGAGAAGTTAAGAGAACATTTGTCTCAGTTTTGGGAGAAGTTAAGAGAACATTTGTCTCAGTTTTGTGGAAGTTAAGACAACATTTGTCTCAGTTTTGGGAGAAGTTAAGAGAACATTTGTCTCAGTTTTGGGAGAAGTTAAGAGAACATTTGTCTCAGTTTTGGGAGAAGTTAAAAGAACATTTGTCTCAGTTTTGGAAGAAGTTAAGAGAACATTTGTCTCAGTTTTGGGAGAAGTTAAGAGAACATTTGTCTCAGTTTTGTGGAAGTTAAGAGAACATTTGTCTCAGTTTTGGGAGAAGTTAAGAGAACATTTGTCTCAGTTTTGGGAGAAGTTAAGAGAACATTTGTCTCAGTTTTGGGAGAAGTTAAAAGAACATTTGTCTCAGTTTTGGGAGAAGTTAAGAGAACATTTGTCTCAGTTTTGTGAGAAGTTAAGAGAACATTTGTCTCAGTTTTGTGGAAGTTAAGAGAACATTTGTCTCAGTTTTGTGAGAAGTTAAGAGAACATTTCTACCAGTTTTGGGAGAAGTTAAGAGAACATTTGTCTCAGTTTTGTGGAAGTTAAGAGAACATTTGTCTCAGTTTTGGGAGAAGTTAAGAGAACATTTGTCTCAGTTTTGTGGAAGTTAAGAGAACATTTGTCTCAGTTTTGGGAGAAGTTAAGAGAACATTTGTCTCAGTTTTGGGAGAAGTTAAGAGAACATTTGTCACAGTTTTGTGGAAGTTAAGAGAACATTTGTCTCAGTTTTGGGAGAAGTTAAGAGAACATTTGTCTCAGTTTTGGGAGAAGTTAAGAGAACATTTCTACCAGTTTTGGGAGAAGTTAAGAGAACATTTGTCTCATTTTGGGAGAAGTTAAGAGAACATTTGTCTCAGTTTTGGGAGAAGTTAAGAGAACATTTCTACCAGTTTTGGGAGAAGTTAAGAGAACATTCGTCTCATTTTGGGAGAAGTTAAGAGAACATTTGTCTCAGTTTTGGGAGAAGTTAAGAGAACATTTGTCTTAGTTTTATGGAAGTTAAGAGAACATTTGTCTCAGTTTTGGGAGAAGTTAAGAGAACATTTGTCTCAGTTTTGGGAGAAGTTAAGAGAACATTTGTCTCAGTTTTGCGGAAGTTAAGAGAACATTTGTCTCAGTTTTGGGAGAAGTTAAGAGAACATTTGTCTCAGTTTTGGGAGAAGTTAAGAGAACATTTGTCTCAGTTTTGGGAGAAGTTAAGAGAATATTTCTACCAGTTTTGGGAGAAGTTAAGAGAATATTTCTACCAGTTTTGGGAGAAGTTAAGAGAACATTTGTCTCAGTTTTGGGGAAGTTAAGAGAACATTTGTCTCAGTTTTGGGAGAAGTTAAGAGAACATTTGTCTCAGTTTTGGGAGAAGTTAAGAGAACATTTGTCTCAGTTTTGCGGAAGTTAAGAGAACATTTGTCTCAGTTTTGGGAGAAGTTAAGAGAACATTTGTCTCAGTTTTGGGGAAGTTAAGAGAACATTTGTCTCAGTTTTGGGAGAAGTTAAGAGAACATTTGTCTCAGTTTTGAAAGAAGTTAAGAGAATATTTCTACCAGTTTTGGGAGGTTAAGAGAACATTTGTCTCAGTTTTGGGAGAAGTTAAGAGAACATTTGTCTCAGTTTTGGGAGAAGTTAAGAGAACATTTGTCTCAGTTTTGGGAGAAGTTAAGAGAACATTTGTCTCAGTTTTGGAAGACGTTAAGAGAACATTTGTCGCAGTTTTGGGAGAAGTTAAGAGAACATTTGACTCAGTTTTGGGAGAAGTTAAGAGAACATTCGTCTCAGTTTTGGGAGAAGTTAAGAGAACATTTGTCTCAGTTCTGGGGAAGTTAAGAGAACATTTGTCTCAGTTTTGGGAGAAGTTAAGAGAACATTTGTCTCAATTTTGGGAGAAGTTAAGAGAACATTTGTCTCAGTTTTGGGAGAAGTTAAGAGAACATTTGTCTCAGTTTTGGGAGAAGTTAAGAGAACATTTGTCTCAGTTTTGGGAGAAGTTAAGAGAACATTTGTCTCAGTTTTGGAAGACGTTAAGAGAACATTTGTCGCAGTTTTGGGAGAAGTTAAGAGAACATTTGACTCAGTTTTGGGAGAAGTTAAGAGAACATTCGTCTCAGTTTTGGGAGAAGTTAAGAGAACATTTGTCTCAGTTCTGGGGAAGTTAAGAGAACATTTGTCTCAGTTTTGGGAGAAGTTAAGAGAACATTTGTCTCAATTTTGGGAGAAGTTAAGAGAACATTTGTCTCAGTTTTGGGAGAAGTTAAGAGAACATTTGTCTCAGTTTTGTGGAAGTTAAGAGAACATTTGTCTCAGTTTTGTGAGAAGTTAAGAGAACATTTGTCTCAGTTTTGTGAGAAGTTAAGAGAATATTTCTACCAGTTTTGGGAGGTTAAGAGAACATTTGTCTCAGTTTTGGGAGAAGTTAAGAGAACATTTGTCTCAGTTTTGGGAGAAGTTAAGAGAACATTTGTCTCAGTTTTGGGAGAAGTTAAGAGAACATTTGTCTCAGTTTTGGAAGACGTTAAGAGAACATTTGTCGCAGTTTTGGGAGAAGTTAAGAGAACATTTGACTCAGTTTTGGGAGAAGTTAAGAGAACATTCGTCTCAGTTTTGGGAGAAGTTAAGAGAACATTTGTCTCAGTTTTGTGGAAGTTAAGAGAACATTTGTCTCAGTTTTGGGAGAAGTTAAGAGAACATTTGTCTCAGTTTTGTGAGAAGTTAAGAGAACATTTGTCTCAGTTTTGGGAGAAGTTAAGGGATCATTTGTCTCAGTTTTGGGAGAAGTTAAGAGAACATTTGTCTCAATTTTGGGAGAAGTTAAGAGAACATTTGTCTCAGTTTTGGGAGAAGTTAAGAGAACATTTGTCTCAGTTTTGTGGAAGTTAAGAGAACATTTGTCTCAGTTTTGTGAGAAGTTAAGAGAACATTTGTCTCAGTTTTGTGAGAAGTTAAGAGAACATTTGTCTCAGTTTTGTGGAAGTTAAGAGAACATTTGTCTCAGTTTTGTGAGAAGTTAAGAGAACATTTGTCTCAGTTTTTTTTTGAGAAGTTAAGAGAACATTTGTCTCAGTTTTGGGAGAAGTTAAGAGAACATTTGTCTCAGTTTTGTGGAAGTTAAGAGAACATTTGTCTCAGTATTGTGAGAAGTTAAGAGAACATTTGTCTCAGTTTTGTGGAAGTTAAGAGAACATTTGTCTCAGTTTTGGAAAAAGTTAAGAGAACATTTCTACAAGTTCTGGGGAAGTTAAGAGAACATTTGTCTCAGTTTTGGAAAAAGTTAAGAGAACATTTGTCTCAGTTTTGGGAGAAGTTAAGAGAACATTTCTACCAGTTCTGGGGAGAAAATTTCCCAGCTTATTCCACTAGCTGGTACACCTTAGTCTAAACACAGATGTGCTGAAAGCCTGAGGTGGCTGATGTGTCACTACAATACAGATGTGAACTGTGAGAACTTTGATACAGAAGAAAGGGGAGGTAACCCAAGGTTAGAAACAATGACACCAGCCCCATTAAAAAACGGCTGATATCCCTTGAGCTGAGCAACAAAAAAAAAAATGTAAACAAAGAGTTAACCAACCTTGTTCTGACAGTGACAGCAGCTGATGGGAGGGGGATTTAATCGCCCATTGCCCTTCTATGTTGCCAGTCACTGAAAAGGCCCAACAAGACCCACACGAACCCTAAAAGTTTAGGAACATTTTCAGTTACAAATTATTGAATATTTACTTTATTGCATTATTTGCTAAAGTTGTATCCAACCTAATATCACATAAGCCTAAAAACTTCATTATAATCCTTCAAAATAATTCAAACAATTCAGTTATAAAACTGTACTAGATGAACATTAAATATAAACACAACAATTCAACATACAGCCAACAATCAAATATGAATCCAAAAATTCAACATGAATCCAATAATTCAACATGAATTCAACATGAATGCAACAATTCAACATGAATGCAACAATTCAACATGAATCCAAAAATTCAACATGAATTCAACAGGAATGCAACAATTCAACATGAATTCAACAATTCAACATGAATCCAACAATTCAACATGAATCCAACAATTCAACATCACCTGATTTTTGACAGGGGTGACGGCTCCATGGTCCCTCCAGTCCCAGGCATCTGGTATTGGGTCAGTAGGGATCTCAGCTTTTGGCAGTTGACGAACAGTTGCAGGTGTCTTAAAACCCAGGTAATTTTTCTTGAACTCTTCCTCTTTAGAAACAAAATTAAATAGTCAACATGACCTCCTACCTACAGGCTATCTAAACCATTCATACTGCTTTTGTTTACTTTTACTAATGGCCATATTTAACATACAACATGCACCAAACGCAACAACTGATGTTACAACTTTCATCACATCACACACGAAACACAACAACTGATGTTACAACTTTCATTACATCACACACCAAACGCAACAACTGATGTTACAACTTTGACCACATCCAACTGCAACAGTTGATGTTATCATCACAAGACAAAAACCTGTTTACCTGAGAGATCAGCAAACTGTGTGATGCCGTACTTGCCAGAACCCATCTCAGCCTTCTGTACCTGTTGGATCCTCTCCATATTCTTACAGAACACCTGGAATCTTGTAGATTCCTCTGGAAGTAATGCAGGGGGGTGGGGTATGACAATGTCAGTTTACATTAAATATCATTTTATGGTTTAACTTAAGTCACCCATAGGGACGGTGTGGTTGAATGGTAGGGTGTTTGGCTGCTATCCAGAAAGTACCGAGTTCAGATCTCAGTGCGAACTTGTGACTGTAGGATGTTCCTGAGTCCACCAAGCTCTGACTTACGTTGGGGAAAGTAATGGCAGCTGGGCATAGTGCTGACCACAAGTGCAAAGGTAAAGAAACATGAACTACTTCCTCTGCCCAATGAATCACTAGGTCTAAAAAGGGATCTATTTTTTTTTAACATAATTCATCTTAAATTTTGACAAAAATAATGTGAATTTCTTTTTGCCCCCTTTAGAAAAAAAAAATTGTGCCTCTGTTTTATTTACCTTCCTCTGTGCCGTACAGGCGGTTGTAGTTGGTTTTAAATTCCTGGAACTGTGGCAGGTACTGCTGGCAGCTGTCCACAGCTCCGGCTGGCTTGTCCTCAGGTATGCTCATGACATGAATGTTACTGACCGGCACACTCTTCTCAAACTTGAGTGGTGATCCATGAGGCTTGTAGTCATGGTCACCACCTCCAATCATCCCATGAGGCTTGTAGTCATGGTCACCACCTCCAATCATCCCATGAGGCTTGTAGTCGTGGTCACCACCTCCAATCATCCCATGAGGCTTGTAGTCGTGGTCACCACCTCCAATCATCCCATGAGGCTTGTAGTCATGGTCACCACCTCCAATCATCCCATGAGGCTTGTAGTCATGGTCACCACCTCCGATCAATTGATTTAATTTGCTCTGCATAAAATAAAGAATTTTTTTTATTATACTATTTCGCCCTTCACTAGTTAAAAAAAAAATTAGAACCTGTTGCCTTACCTTCTTACAGTTAAATTCTTCCATGGTGAATGTGTCTTGTTTTAAGATGACAGAAACATCACAGTCTCTAGCCTGAAACAAAGAATACATCCTGATGAATGATGGTCCAGAGACACATCACAATCTTGTTCACCAAACCAGTTAGTGCTTCAACCAAACCACATCTGTTCTAAATATAGCAATCACAAGATTATTTTTTAACTGTTGATAGGGCAAATCAATTCTTCTCCCTGGCAGGTCAGCTGAAGAGTCACTACAGTACTCAGTCAGATTTATTGCTCTCTACCTTACCAATGTCAGGGATATAATAATAACCATGTAATACATGTATTAGTTTCCCAGTGTAGGACTGAGGTAAGGCCACTAAATTGATGCATAGAGTGAAATAACTTACTGAAATAACTTACTGAAACAACTTACTGAAGCAGTATTAGAGTGAAACAGTTACTGAAACAACTTACTGAAGCAGTATCAGAGTAAAACAGTTACTGAAACAACTTACTGAAGCAGTATTAGAGTAAAACAGTTACTGAAATAACTTACTGAAGCAGTATTAGAGTGAAACAGTTACTGAAACAACTTACTGAAGCAGTATCAGAGTAAAACAGTTACTGAAACAACTTACTGAAGCAGTATTAGAGTAAAACAGTTACTGAAATAACTTACTGAAGCAGTATTAGAGTGAAACAGTTACTGAAACAACTTACTGAAGCAGTATCAGAGTAAAACAGTTACTGAAACAACTTACTGAAGCAGTATTAGAGTAAAACAGTTACTGAAACAACTTACTGAAGCAGCATCTGAGACTGGGCACTCCAATGCACTTTTCTTGAGGCTCTCTTCATTGTTACGGCAGGCAGTCTCAGCCATGGTCAGAAGGAAACGGTACCTGAAGCCACTGACCACCTGGACATAGAGAAATCTTACACTGTGATGTGTCTTACACTGTGATGTATCTTAACACAATTATGTTAGCCAACAATACAACTCAATCCAATTTATGAGTAATCAACTGTAATTTGCCTTATGATATGATGTGAGCTGAATATGTTACTTGTAGTTAATGAATTGCTCTTCTTTAACCAACAGACTTCAACTTGTAAACAACTGAACTCAGCTGAGCTGACTCAGCAGGTACCTGTTTTGTGGCTTGTGAAACTTTGACCAGACTCTGCTTGAACATGCTGTTGGACATCCTGTTGTAATGGTCAACTGCCCAAGCTGCCGCCTTCTGGACATTTTTATCATTCAGGCCAGCGGTCCTCTCTGCCCCAAACAAGGCGGCTGAGCGACGCCGTCTACTAGTCTGAACAAACCTGGCACAGTGGTCATCAGGAGATGGAACAGACAGTAACCACTCCCATCCATTTAACCCAATCAGGTGGCTCACTACAACATCGCAAATTTTTACCTGAAAAATTTTGAAAAGTTTTGTGAGTATGCTTACAGTAGATCATTAATTTAACAGGTAAAAATTATATGTAAGATGAAGACTTAGACTTCATTAAAAAAACTGTACAGGCACTAGAAGGAATTAAATGACATCACAATTAAAGACTGGTCAGGCACTAGAAAGCAAGCAAAAAGACAAAAGAAAAATGTATTGGCTCAAACTACTAGGGGGAAGGTGATCTGTGAAATAACTCAAAGATATAGGAATGACAGGAAATTTCTGTGCATCTAGTTTGTTAGTGAACATAGTTGTGTTTTTTTTATCTGTATACTTCTCTATCTCTTTATTGTCTTATCCATTTTTAGGATCAGTAAGTCTCTCTTAGATATTTTAACAATAACTTTGGAGTTGCTAATAGATCACAAATGGTGGTGGGGCTTAGCACACAATGATGAGAACGTTCTTGAATTTTAATAGCATTTTTCAAAACCACTAACTTTTGGAACGATATCAAAATATGTAACTTATTTCAACAGTTTATTACTTATAGTGAAAGGAGAGGAAGTAAACTTTGAACTTACAGCCCCATCTATTTCAAGCTTGAGAGTCAAACGGTAGTTCACACCAGCAACAATCTGGAAATAAACATTTGAATCATTTATTTCAAGCAGTAATACATAGATCTACATAATTTTTTTCAAATTTTACTTTAAGAATTAAATAAAACAAATTTAAATAATATTTGTACAGTTTTAAATTGCCATACTCAAGAGAAAAATAATAAATTTTCTTTTTCAAATGAATGTAAAGAAAAACTTCTCAAAGGACATAAATAAAATTAATGATATTTGAATGTAAATTTACTCATTTAATTAGGCAACGTCAGAAGAAATGCTTTAACTTTAAAAAAATGGCATCCATGAAAATCAGCAATATTGCAGATTGAAAATTTTAGTGCATTATAAAGGTTTTTCTTTTTACTTTTGGATTGTATAAAATACTAGCGTGCCTGTCCACACGCATTGACGCGGGATTAAAAGAAAGTCCGAGGATGGCCTTGGCAAATCTAACCATGCCCAGGTGCGGTCGGACGCGCCTGTTTCAGTTTAGTGAATGACTATAATACTACAACTTATCCATATTCAATCACAATCTTTAAAACAAACGTATGCGTCATAGCGCTTCCGGGAGAGCTCCCTTTTGAGCGCCGGCAAACACGCCTGATTTAATTTAGTGGACGACTAAAAGCCCTATCTTATTCATAGTCTATCACACACACATTGCTTTATAAATAAATATATATATATATATATATATATATATATATATAGAGAGAGAGAGAGAGAGAGAGAGAGAGATAGAGAGAGAGAGAGAGAGAGATAAATTAGATAGAAACAAAAATAGTATGTAAACTCATTGAATAATTCTGTTTTTTACTGAACTATTTCAGACCTTTCACATAATTATATTGCAGCCTGTAATTCGTTAAAATAATTTGAACATTAATTAATTGACTAGCCAAAGAGAATTTACTATGTTAATTAACATGTTAATTGTCATGGTGGTGGGCAGTGGTCACTGTGAGGTCAGTGAGTATTTAATACAAACATACACAGATTCCCATACATACACAGGGAACAGGTGGATAATTTGGATACCTAACATCAAATTGCTACAGGACAATGTGTTGAGGCCCTGCCATAGTACAGTTTATTAATTGAATTAAATAATTGCAATCATGTTTGTTATATTAATTTTTCTAATTTTGTACCTCTAAAATAATAGACAGCCCAGTGTATCAATACTATCAAAGGGTATTTCAATTTTCATGCTGATATTTCTATCCTAGCCATTAAACTTCCTCATGACACTAGCAGTGATAATGGCAAAAATAGATTTAGGTACTCAGGATTATGATTAGGCTTAGCCTAATAATAATATAGATCTAGATCTAGTAAAAATTAGTATTAATTAACAAAGCTTAACCGTAACCTGTGTTTCGGCAGACAAAATTTGTTTGAATACAATAGGAATCGAATTGATCGCTCCATTTTGTGTCTTGATGTTGTTCATGAGCTCAACAGCTTTGTGCGCAGCTGGTAAAAGTTCAGAATCAGTATTTTCATTCAGATTTGACACATCTTGTACCCTCCATCCTCCTACCAAACCATTACCACGATTCGCTTCTGCAAAGTTTATCATTAACGCGAAAAGCAGACACATTAGCTTCATTTTGAATGTAGATCTACTAATCTAGATAGATAGATCCTAGATCTAGTCTAGTAGTAAGATTAAGTTAAATTTCTTCTTTGTGTTACGATATGCGCTGCAGTCGAGCTATCAGAATCTTACTTCCCATTGAGAAGAATGTTGACAAACAATCACGAGTAACTATTAGTGACCATAGACCTATATATATTTGTGCATGCCCCATTTTTTTCATAAAGCTCTTTGAATAATTGCATGAAAATTTTTAAAGTAATTTAAATGCATCTGCTGTTAAGTTTTATCATTTAATTGGATTTTATTTGTTTTTTTATATGGACTGTTTTGTGTTTTTGGAGATTTGGTTGTAGGTGAATAACTATTATAACTCATAACCACTGAATCATGGCTTGGGCCAAATTAAAAAAAAAATGCTTTTTATGGGTTACATCAAGTTATATCTTAAATATCTCAACTATAACTATTGTAAAATTCACTAGTTTCCACATTTTTTAAATTTTATATCAACAACTTCAAAAAGATTTGGACTTGAAATCATCAAAAGACATTTGAATATGCAAAATAAATTTATTGTCGGGTGGTAATATAATAGTACATATTTAACTTATCAAATTTTTATTTTCTTATACAGGCCGTGTTTTGGCATATATATATATATATATATATATATATATATATATATATATATATATATATATATATATATATATATATATATATATATATATAATTACATTGCATGACTTTTCAACAATGACAAACATATGATGCAGCATGCCTTTTAATTCCAGACCCGGGAAGTAATATAATGCTTTTAAATATATCCAATTCAGAAAAAAGATCCTATATAGAGCGGCAAAAAAAAAATAGACAATTAGCTTGGAAGCAATAAAAACTACGAAGTTCATCACACTGTTTCTGGTCAGTCCGTAGTTTCACAATACTTGAATATAATTTAAATAAAACTAACTAATCAAGGTGTAAATAACAAGCAATATATGTATTACAATATGATTGGGGCTGGGTGTGTTTTACATCACAGTTGGTCAAAAGAGTAAGTGAGTTGTAGAAGCCTTTGATTTTTTAAATTACTAATGTGCTAAATTTCTCTTTTACAGAATGGTAGGATATAGGAAGCTGTCACCTAGTTTATATAATTTCCTTTTAAGACAATATCATGGTTTACAATAGTGTCTGAAGCAGGTCTAAAATGCAAATATATTAAATAGCTAATTGATTTAATACAACATTTTGATAGTTTATTTTAACCCTAGGCATATAAACAAACATAAAAAAAACTCTCCAAGTCTCTTGTGTTTACCAACTTCTGTAGAGATTCAAGATGTGAACTACGAGCTTTTTAGATTATCTACTCTGTTACGTTACATGATCAAGAATATAATTTAGAACACTACTCAAATTGTAATAAACTTGTGGTGCTTTCCGTTACACCCATAGTTAATTTTTAAACATCAGTTAACATTAATTTATAAACATGAAAATAACATAACAGCAAAATCAATTAAAAATGGTTTAAATTGATTGAAGTGATGATTAACAAACCCCAACCATGCAACAAAGTAATAGCTGCCATTAATGAATGGTTATTTGATTTCTTTTTATTGTATTTGTAATCTGCCTATGCAATCTGTTTAACAAAACATAAGACATTTAAAGCACAATCTTATATTTTTGAATTGTTAGTTTGGTGAAGAGATTTATTATGATATTGTGTTGTTTATTTCTTGCACTAAAAATAGTAATTAACTGTAAATATCTTTTATGTGTGGATGACCAAAATGTTTTTTTAAATTAGACAATTATTAATATCACATTTATAAAAACATTTTTATATCCTGTAAATTAATATAGCTCAAAATAATTGTTGAGCTGTGGGCAAAAATAAGCAGGTTTTTAAAGTGCCATAAAACAAAACAGAAGTGTTGATCAAATTTGGGGGAAGTGTTGATCAAATTTGGGGGAAGTGTTGGTCAAAGTGTGGGGGAAGTGTTGGTCAAAGTGTGGGGGAAGTGTTGGTCAAAGTGTGGGGGAAGTGTTGGTCATTGTGTGGGGGAAGTGTTGGTCAAAGTGTGGGGGAAGTGTTGGTCATTGTGTGGGGGAAGTGTTGGTCAAAGTGTGGGGGAAGTGTTGGTCAAAGTGTGGGGGAAGTGTTGGTCATTGTGTGGGGGAAGTGTTGGTCAAAGTGTGGGGGAAGTGTTGGTCAAAGTGTGGGGGAAGTGTTGGTCATTGTGTGGGGGAAGTGTTGGTCAAAGTGTGGGGGAAGTGCTGGTCAATGTGTGGGGGAAGTGTTGGTCAAAGTGTGGGGGAAGTGTTGGTCAAAGTGTGGGGGAAGTGTTGGTCAAAGTGTGGGGGAAGTGTTGGTCAAAGTGTGGGGGAAGTGTTGGTCATTGTGTGGGGGAAGTGTTGGTCAAAGTGTGGGGGAAGTGTTGGTCAAAGTGTGGGGGAAGTGTTGGTCATTGTGTGGGGGAAGTGTTGGTCAAAGTGTGGGGGAAGTGCTGGTCAATGTGTGGGGGAAGTGTTGGTCAAAGTGTGGGGGAAGTGTTGGTCAAAGTGTGGGGGAAGTGCTGGTCATTGTGTGGGGGAAGTGTTGGTCATTGTGTGGGGGAAGTGTTGGTCAAAGTGTGGGGGAAGTGCTGGTCAAAGTGTGGGGGAAGTGTTGGTCAAAGTGTGGGGGAAGTGTTGGTCATTGTGTGGGGGAAGTGCTGGTCATTGTGTGGGGGAAGTGTTGGTCATTGTGTGGGGGAAGTGCTGGTCATTGTGGGGGGGAAGTGTTGGTCAAAGTGTGGGGGAAGTGCTGGTCGTAGTGTAGCAGAAGTGCTGGTCACAATGTGCCAGCTACAGCCAGCATCCATGTTGCTACAGCTACTGCCCCTGGATCTGGCTTGGTCAGCAGTGATTTGTTGACATAGCTGGCCCGTCCAGCTTGGGCATCCATGCTCACAGTGCCCTCTGAGGCCTCTCTGGCTGCCTGGGAACAACAAACCTCGTTCTGATTAACATGGAGAATAACTGGTCAAGTCAAGTCAATGACTTTGTAAACTGAAAACAGTTTTTAAATTAAAAAAGAAATAATGACCTCAGCTGCTATTTTTATTGCCTCCGTTAGGGATACGCCTGGGTGAGCAGCCTTTAAAGATTGGCATACAGCATGTAGGGGATCCACCTGGGGGGATACATTCTTTTAGGAAAAACTGGTCCGACATTTTGGAAATAAAACTGTCAAATAAATGACCATTAAAAAGGATTAAGACTACAAGTTGTACTTACCATGGTGCGATATCCTGGCTTAGCTCCTCCATATCTTCAACAAAATTTTAAAAAAATAATGAATAATATTTCATTTATAATTTTTTACAGAAAATTTTTCCATTAGCATTATATTTTAAATATTTTCTTATCTTTGTTGTTTACCAAAGAGAAACATGAAACTAGGAATTAAATTCTAATTTTTCCTAAATACAATGCTTAAAGCTATCATAATTAAATCACAATAATAATCACTGATTTTTTAGCTGTAGAGTTTTGTATAACACAATATCTAGCCTGTATGATTCACAACTTTTAATTGAATTACCTGTCACATACATGACCTATCACATACATGACCTGTGAACATCAAAAGCTGTCAAACATAAAGGTATTTTCTAGCCCGGTGTAACAACTACCTACTTCATAATGGCCGCTAGCCCTGAACTAAAGGCATTGCAGACATGTTTAAAACTCAGAGCTTTCAGGTCTTGGGCAGCACTGGTGAAGAACAGGCTGTACAGCTGAAGATAACCACAGTAACACACTGTAACTTAAGTTACATTAGGATTTTATACACAGTAACTTAATGTTACTTACTTTGTTACATAAGAAAGTAAACAGTAACTTAACGTAACTTATAATAATAATAATATATTGTAATTAGTAGTATTACCTAGGTAAGCTGTATACACCATAACTCAACAAAAATGCTATAAAATAAGAAAGTTATAGAAGAAGATAGAAGTTATGCTTTTAAAATTACGGATGAACTTCAATATAAAAAGTGGAAGCTCTCCACAGATTTTAGAGATTTTAAAGCACTGATCGCCCTTCATCACTTAACTGAAATGACTTTAAATCAATTATGAAAATTGGGAGTATCATTAAAATAAAAGGAGGAGATAACCAATACTTGCTCCTAGTGTTGGAGAAGTTATACTTACAGCACCAGATGATCCTCCCATGACACTCTCAGTTATCTGCCCTAAGCTCAGTGCTAGTGTATATGGACAGTCCACTGGTAGGTTAGGACTAGATGGCTCGCCAAGTTTTTTTAATATAGCTACAATAAAAAAGTTAGGTTAGTGAAAACTCAACATTTGCTTCACCATTTGATATGTTGTGTGTGCCCACCATTTGCTATGTTGTGTGTGCCCACCATTTGATATGTTGTGTGTGCCCACCATTTGATATGTTGTGTGTGCCCACCATTTGATATGTTGTGTGTGCCCACCATTTGATATGTTGTGTGTGCCCACCATTTGATATATTGTGTTTGCTCACCATTTGATATTTTGTGTGTGCTCACCATTTACTATGTTGCGTGTGCTCACCATTTGATATATTGTGTGTGCCCACCATTTGATATGTTGCGTGTGCCCACCATTTGATATTTTGTGTGTGCTCACCATTTACTATGTTGCGTGTGCTCACCATTTGATATATTGTGTGTGCCCACCATTTGATATGTTGTGTGTGCCCACCATTTGATATGTTGTGTGTGCCCACCATTTGATATGTTGTGTGTGCCCACCATTTGATATGTTGTGTGTGCCCACCATTTGATATGTTGTGTATGCTCACCTTTTGATATGTTGTGTGTGCTCACCTTTTGATATGTTGTGTGTGCCCACCATTTGATATGTTGTGTGTGCCCACCATTTGATATGTTGTTTATGCCCACCATTTGATATGTTGCATGTGCTCACCTTTTGATATGTTGTGTGTGCTCACCATTTGATATGTTGTGTGTGCCCACCATTTGATATGTTGTGTGTGCCCACCATTTGATATGTTGTGTGTGCCCACCATTTGATATGTTGTGTGTGCCCACCATTTGATATGTTGTGTGTGCCCACCATTTGATATGTTGTGTGTGCCCACCATTTGATATGTTGTGTGTGCCCACCATTTGATATGTTGTGTGTGCCCACCATTTGATATGTTGTGTGTGCTCACCATTTGATATGTTGCGTGTGCTCACCTTTTGATATGTTGCGTGTGCCCACCATTTGATATGTTGTGTGTGCCCACCATTTGATATGTTATTTGTGCCTACGGTTTGCTATGCTGCGTATGCTCACCTTTTGCTCCCAATGCTAAAGTTGATCCACAGTCACCATCACCTGACTGTGTATCAAGGTCATTCAGTTCTTTCTCTCTGCTCACCAACTTCTCACAGGCAGCCTTAAGAGCACTATAGACAAGTGCTGAAGTTTCTGTGGGGAAAAAAAAAATATGAGCACTATAGACAAGGGCTGAGGTTTCTATGAAGAAAAAAATAAGAACACTATAGCATAGACGAGGGCTGAGGATTCTATGAAGAAAAAAAAATAAAAGGACTGTAGACAAGGGTTGAGGTTTCTATGGAAAAAAAAATAAGAACACTTTAGATGAGGGTTGAGGTTTCTGTGGGGAAAAAAATTAGAACACTATAGACGAGGGCTGAGGTTTCTGGAAAGAAAAAAATTAAGAGCACTATAGATGAGGGCTGAGGTTTCTATGAAGAAAAAAATTAAGAGCACTATAGATGAGGGCTGAGGTTTCTATGAAGAAAAAAAAACTAAGAGCACCATAGATGAGGGTTGTTGTTCTGTTGGGATTCCTTTTCCGTGAAGTAAAAATAAATCTGAAAAAAAAATCTGGTTACCTGCATCCAACTTGGCAGCCCCATCTTCTGAGAGTGTCTTGTCTTCTGTCTCTAACTGAACACACGCTGGAGTCTTCCGGATTCTTTCACCTGGCGCCAAATATGGAGGACGCCATGCTGGGGCATCTGTGGGGAAATCTGAAAGATTTCATTATTAAGAGTTTTATAACAACTGAAGTAGAACTTTTTGCAGGAGAATAATAAAATTCACAGAAATCACTCCCTGTTGGTGATATTTGTGCACTGTCTGTATTATGAATTTAAAACTTTTTTGGGTTAAAAGTAAACTGACCAGTACCTAGATCTCTCATGATGCTATCAGCTATAAAATAGACCAGAAGTACCTAGATATCCCATGATGCTATCATCTATAAAAATGACCAGAAGTACCTAGATATCCCATGATGCCATCATCTATAAAATAGACAAGAAGTACCTAGATATCCCATGATGCTATCATCTATAAAATAGACCAGAAGTACCTAGATATCCCATGATGCTATCATCTATAAAATAGACCAGAAGTACCTAGATATCCCATGATGCTATCATCTATAAAATTGACCTGTGATATCTAGATATCCCATGATGCTATCATCTATAAAATTGACCAGAAGTACCTAGATATCCCATGATGCTATCATCTATAAAATTGACCAGAAGTACCTAGATATCCCATGATGCTATCATCTATAAAATAGACCAGAAGTACCTAGATATCCCATGATGCTGTCATCTATAAGCAGGACTGTGATGGAAACCCCAGCCATTTCCAGTGATGTCAAGAATGCTCCACAGTAGGCCCTGTCTACAGACACACCTAAGTCCTCTGGAAGTTAATTTTTTTACCTTCACTCACAATGTATGACATAAATAGTTAATTATTTTAAAATTGGAGTAAGCAATTTTTCAAGTCTATTTTTGTGAGTAGGCCTAGTTATTTTTAAAATTAGTTAGGAGTCAGTTTACATTGTTAAAAGAATGTGTGCTCTATAATATGAAGTGTGCAGACTTAATTTAAATATGTTTTGTTTTGTTGAGCTACGCTGTACAACATTTAAAAAAAATTAATACATTACTTTATTTGTAATTCTTAACATGAAATTAAATGACAAAAAAATTCATTTTTACTAGCAACAAACCTAAATATGAAATAACTTCCTTAGCAACAAACCTAAATAAGAAATAGCTTCCTTAGCAACAATGTTGAGTTCCAGCACAGAAGTCCCACCTAGATTGTTTACCATAAGGGCAACTCTGTCACCTGGTAAAGACAAGTTACTTGAGATGTAACACAACATACACTCATAAACTAACATGACTGCGTGACATACATAATTGTGTGACATATTTGTTAGTGTTGGTATCACAAACTAACATGACTGACTGCATGACATATTTGTTAGTGTTGGTATCACAAACAAACATGACTGCATGACATATTTGTTAGTGTTGGTATCACAAACTAACATGACTGCATGACATATTTGTTAGTGTTGGTATCACAAACAAACATGACTGCATGACATATTTGTTAGTGTTGTTATCACAAACTAACATGATTGCATGACATATTTGTTAGTGTTGGTATCACAAACTAACATGATTGCATGACATATTTGTCAGTGTTGGTATCACAAACTAACATGACTGCATGACATATTTGTTGGTGTTGGTATCACAAACTAACATGACTGCATGACATATTTGTTAGTGTTGGTATCACAAACTAACATGACTGCATGACATATTTGTTAGTGTTGGTATCACAAACTAACATGACTGCATGACATATTTGTTAGTGTTGGTATCATAAACTAACATGACTGCATGACATATTTGTCAGTGTTGTTCTGTATGTAAAATGTACCTCTATGAAGTGCTATGTGAGTTGAGGTCTTGGTGTTGGTCATGTGATCCATCATTGTTTTAACTGCTTCCTTTGCTGTCTGTACCTGAGATAATAACTCACAGTGAGATACCCATGAGAATTCAACACATCTCTTTGAATCTATTGTTCATTAGACTAATTAGTAAAACCAATTTACCTTCATTCTTTTAACTCCTGCCTCACCATGTACTCCTGCCAATATTTATATTTAGAATCAACACAGTATTCAAAGCCTGAACATCTATATTGTATGAAATACTAGTTAAAACAAACATAATAAAATAACCAGCAAGTAATTATTGTATTGCAACTCTCATGTAGAATGAGTGCAATTATAGTCTATAAGCCAGAAAGCTTATAGAAACACAGATTCTATTGGTTAGTTTGAGGAAAGTTTTTTTTTAAATTATTTTTGCATGTCATTTATATTAAAAGACTTATTTTAAAGGGTCCATGTACTAAATAAAAGGACACATTTTCATACATAAGTTCACAGAAACATTTTGATCTTCTTTATGAAAATTATGTTAAGGGGAAATATTTTTTTTAGGTAAAACAGCAGTTACCATTATACAAAAATTAAAATGAGTTGTTAAAAATAGTTTTGAAACAGAAAAACTGACCAAGTCCTAGCTCCATTTCATCTGGCTGTAAGGTGAATGAAGGTCCTGACCCAGGCACAGAGCAGGGAGAGAGAGACAGCCCAATGGTCCCTGGTGAGAGAGATGCCTTTAAGTCATGGCAGAGAGCAACAAAGGTTCCAAAGCTCATGACTGAAAACTTTGTGCAGGTCTATTCTTTAGTCCAATAGAGCACCTCTAGGAACAAGCCTCATGACTTATTGGTAAGGCTACTGATCATAAATTCAGACTAAGAAAGATTAATATATTTTCATAATAATTTATGTTACCCATTTTGGATTTGACTGTATTAAGAGTTGAGACTATATCCTCCAGGGATTTGCCTTGCTCTGCCATAGCACCTGCGATCTGCAGACAACATTAATTCATTTAAGTAATGTGAACAATTCCTTTAGGTTTAAAATTAGCATTCGATAGGGGTCATCCATAAATGACGTCACACTCGTAGGGGGGAGGGGGGGTCCGTAATTTTGTGACGATGTGTGATGAGGGGGAGGGGGGGGGGGGGTCAGATGTTGCGACGTCACATTTTTGCATTATAAAAAAGCAATGCTAGAAAACGAATTTTAGACGTTATTTCGCGTTTTAGATAACTGTTTTAATAAATTGTAATAGTTTAGACAAGATTTTGGAAAAATATCGATGTTTTAAAAAAATTCAACTGCAATTTTGAGGGGGTTGTAAGCTGAGGTGTGACGTCATTTTAGGGGGGGGGTCTGGCTTTTTGTGACGACGTGTGACGGAGGGGAGGGGGGGAGGTAAAAATCGTCAAAAAAAGCGTGACGTCATTTATGGATGACCCCATAACAATAACTAAAAGGGAATTCTAGAGGATAAAAACCTTATGGATTAGCATTGTTCCTGCTAGTTCATATCAATAACTATAAGGGAATTCTAGAGGATAAAACCTTATGGATTAGCATTGTTCCTGCTAGTCCACGCCTCCCAGCAGAATGGTCAACACAATCTAAGGCACAGTCTTCACCCACAACCACCATCTCCGTCTGGTGACCTTTGACCCTGGCTCTCTCACAAGCAATGCCAAAATTCAGTCTGTCGCCAGTGTAGTTTGTCACAATCATCAAAATTTGGCAGTCTAAAAATCAGCACATTTTGGCGTATTTATAAATGTAGGCCTATAGGTTAAAGCTTAGTAAAGACATTCATAAAGAAAACATTTTCAGCAAAATCAATAGTATTATGGATGATTCTTTAAAAAAAAATCTATTACAATTATTGTTTGTAGCTAAAGAGCCCACCTATATAAGAGGGTATTATGAGGACTGTGAGCTACCTTTATTTTTTTGACATACTGCATCAACTGCTGCCATAATACAACCAGGTGGGGGTGAAGTGAAGACTGAACCACAGGCGCAAGCAGTCAAACATCCTTTACCAACATACCCTGAAAACATATTCAAAGAAATTATGCTATCTGCCTAACATCGCAACTAATGGTAAAGCTTTGCCAGATAAAATGTTGAGGGATTCAGTTACAGTTTGTACTTGGCTATATCTGTCATTATCTAACACAGCTTAATTTCATTGGTTGGCAGGGGTTTTGTACATTTTTAGGGTAAAAAATTGAATTTATACATGAACAATTCTCAATTATTCATGATATAGTTATATTTAAAAAAGCATCTTTTTGTTCCTGTGTGCCCACAATGTTTAAGTACCTGCATGTCCAGGCCCACAATCTTTAAGTACTTACATGTCAATGTCCACAATGTTTAAGTACCTGCATGTCCAGGTTCATGTCCTGAGCCACCACCACTAAGGAGAACAACCTTTTTGCCTTCCACAACCTCCCTGGCATCTGTGCGTACAACAACTGTTTGCCCATGTACAAGGCTGAGCCCCGGGTTAACAGCAACAAGACCTTCATTGCACTCCCGTTCACAATCATGAACCTAGCAATAAATACACACCAGTTCATCATAATAAGCATTATAACATGTTTTCATAAAAAAATCTAGTGCATATGAAAAATTATTTAACCTATACATAACCTATAAAATTTATATATATATATATATATATATATATATATATATATATATATATATATATATATATATATATATATATATATATATATATATATATATATATATATATATATATATATATATATATATAGCCTATATATATATATATATATATATATATATATATATATATATATATATATATATATATATATATATATATATATATATATATTTATATTTATACTGCCACTATATATGCCAGATATATAGGCTATAGGGCCTATAGACCTGCACTAAGTTTGTGCATACATAATGATGCTGTAATACCTAGGAGCCTACTACGTTAATAATAATCATGTCTAAGCTTATTTATTTAGTACAGCAGACTACTGTTAAAACTGGGAGGGTGGGCATGACAATTATGTTTGGTCATTAGTCTTCTAGCTTTACTAAGTGTAAGAGTGGAAGTAGTCCTAAAGTACAGTCAGTTAGTGATAGTAGGCCCTACAAGCAAGACTACAATGTGGATGTCTTTATTGTCTGATTAGTCTGTGTTTCAGATTTAAATATAGGCCTTGACCTACCTTATTTATTAGCTTTTTGCTTGTTTTGTCTGTCATAGTTTGATTACACTGCACTCTGATCAACAAAAAGTTCTCACTACTTGGAAGCTTTCATGGACACTGCTCAGAATCTGTAATCCAATCCAAAGGTTGAAACAGCTGTTTAAATTCGTATGTGTCAAAAATGTTGCAGTGATAGTTCTAGACCGCTATTACCGCCCCTGTCTATAGAGGTCATGCGACAAGATAACAATTACATTATAAGCTAGTGCTTAGGCTGTGTGTTTGTTCCTAGGGGTCATCCATAAATGCCGTCACACTCGTAGGGGGGAGGGGGGGTCCGTTATTTTGTGACGATGTGTGATGAGGGGGAGGGGGGGGGGGGTTCAGATGTTGCGACGTCACATTTTTGCATTATAAAAAAGCAATGTTAGAAAACGTATTTTAGACGTTATTTCGCGTTTTAGATAACTGTTTTAATAAATTATAATAGTTTAGACAATATTTTGGAAAAATATCGATGTTTAAAAAAAATTCAACTGCAATTTTGAGGGGGGTTGTAGGTTGAGGTGTGACGTCATTTTAGGGGGGGGGGTCTGGCTTTTTGTGACGACATAAATATAAGCCCATATATAGGCCCCTATATATATATACAGAGCCGGCGTTATGAATACGCGGGGCCTAGGGCCAACCATCCGCGCGGGGCCTTTCCATTATATATATATATATATATATATATATATATATATATATATATATATATATATATATATATATATATATATATATATATATATATATATATATATATATATATATATAATGTGATGTACACATAATAACACAAATGTTTTGGAGTTTATAAGCTAATGCCAAACTTTCCACTATAATAACAGATTTTTATCTCTCCCATGTATTAACCCAATGTTCTTAGTTTTTTTTTCCTTGCTAAGATATTAAATCACTTTTGACAGATATGTAATTCATACCAAATCACTTAAGAAAATTTAATCACGTGCCGAATAATTAGGAAAATAAAGTTTACAATACAGCGAACTTGGCCTGATGTATCAGAACAGCATAGACTTCAAAATTTGTTTAGAATTCATACAATATTTTAAAACCAAAATCATTATTGTCTTAACTATTGTAAAGGATTTTCATACGATAAAATAATGTGCTTAATCACTCTACAAATGCAGTTAAGTTCACCAAAGTATCAGATATAAATTGAAATACCGGGGAATATCAATGACTACTAAATCACAACCCTCCATTGCCTCAACGATGCCCCTTCCCACCCCGAAAAATTCTATCGCCCCCCCCCCACCCCCGAAAATTTCAAATGCCACCCCCCCCCCCCCCCCCCACCGGAGAAAAGAAGAAACACTGTACATATACGACATCTACAACAAGAAAGTCAGGACTAGAGTTCATCAGGTTACTAACTGTCTACTACAGACATCCCGTCTGCTCACTAAAAGGACGTCTTCATCGGTCCGCATACAATAGGGTATCTCTTTACGTCGCAGGCTAATTCTCGACCGCCATCTCCAGTCAGCTCAGGTCAAATGCCAGGCGACCGTACCCTACACAAAGGGGAGGTGTGACACTGTTTTTGTATCGAATTACGGGGCCTATGGCGACCGCCCCGTTCGCCACCCCCTAACGCCGGCTCTGTATATATAAATTATAAATATATATATATATATATATATATATATATATATATATATATATATATATATATATATATATATATATATATATATATATATATATATATATATATAAGCCCATATATAGGCCCCTATATATATATATATATATATATATATATATATATATATATATATATATATATATATATATATATATATATATATATATATACCTAGAAGTAGATTATACAAACAAATATTTAGAGGGGGATTAAATGCCCTATCAGTATTGCTTATTCATAAGCTGACCAACGTATAAAATGCAACTTTTGTGATAGATCCTAGATCTAGATTCTAGATCTAGTGAAAATTTACGATTGTTACTTAAATTTTAAGTTCTGTCTCCCGTTGTCCTTTATTTTTATTTTTTTGTTTATGAAAAAATGAAATCCTTTTTATTTTAGGTGGTACAGTTGAAATTAACAATAGCGTTCTAGATCTAAATATTTTTGATGATTGTTGCTTTCTGGGAAATTTATTACAGCGAGCATTATTGATTTTATTATTATTTTTGTAAGCCTTATCGCGGTGCGCTCATTCAGTGACGAAAGAACCAAATGATGATTTATCAATCACCTAGAAATCTATAGTCCCTATTTGAGCATACTGGCCATATTTGGCGGCCAAACCCTTATATGGGAAGAAAATAATACCAAAAATGGAACATGCCATGTAAAGGAAATAGAACGAGATATTAATCCGCTTATTTGTTCTACAATTGCTTTATTTAGGATTAACACATAAGTCCATTTTTTATTTTAATTGATATATACAAACTCTTGTTCATAAATACTTGTAGTACTGATAACTTAAATAACTATTTTGATTAGATTCTCCAAGATACAGAACTTTTATTTACGCGGATCAATCCCGTATATTTTCATGGGCACTTTTCCCGTTATGGTGACGGCTACGGAAAAGGTAGTCGGTTGTAAAAGTTTCCTTTTCAGATACGATGCAAAATTTGACCCAAACTGGCCTATCTCTGAATAAAGTGGGTGGAGGCTTAGCAACCATGAATGGCAGCGCAAATAACAGTATGTTTTTGTCCACTAATCTTCAAACACCAGAAAACTTTATCTTTGAACAAGATGATCCAAGTCCCGAGGAAGATGATTATGATTCAGGACATGAATTTCAACAAATTGCTTCCAACTCGGGACTCAAGCCAGGAAAAAAAACGAAAGGACGAGTTAAAATCAAAATGGAATTTATCGAAAATAAACTTCGAAGATACACAACTTTCAGTAAGAGGAAAACGGGGATTATGAAAAAGGTAAGTTCTTAAATTTGAAGTGGTAGGGGATTAGATTAGTGATTAGGCCTACTTTTTCTTGGTATTCTCTAGATCTAGAATCTACATTAGTATTATTTAAAACTAGGTCATCATTACGGTCGTTGTTGTGTTTTTCGTACATTAACATCTAGAGATCGAGATCTAGATTCTAGGTAAGATCTTGATCTAATCTAGATCTAGATTTTGATATCTAGATCTAGATCTTATATTCCGGTGGTAATGCCTAGTCCTAGTAACTAAAAATCAGGACATTGATTTTATTTTTAATTAGGCCTATTAATTAATAATTAGGCCAATCATAGGCCTACTAATAGACACTACTTTCACTACACTGTTCACTACACACTTACACTACAACTGTCACTACACATCATAATATTTTTTTATTTAGATCTAGATTTACTACATTACATTAATATTATTAAGATATAGATCTAGATCTAGATCTAGTCTACTTATTTATTTTATATTAGATCTGGATCTATGAAAAATTGAAATAACTCCCAGCCCCCCCCCCCCCCCCCCCCCTTTCCACCTCCCAAAAAAGTGCAGTAAGACATTGCCTGTACTGTGCGGCTGTCAACTAAGATGGAATAACTTGAATAAGCAACGTAGGAAATAAGATTAATTTCATAATCTCTCAGCCCATCACACCATTCTATAGCATACCTTTGCATTTACTAGGCAACCTCAAGCTAAACCTAGCCCAAATCTTTATGCATGGATCAAAGTATCATTTAGTCAGTTATACTATAAGTACAGATAGAATTTCTGTATGGCTAAAGAGTGAGTTTCTCATCTTTTATACATAGAGCCTACATCCTGTTTGGAAGTTTTTGTCAATGTATTGTGTATGTTATAGTTTGTAATTTTAAAATCATATTCCATTTAATTGTTATGCCATCCATTTCTTTGGTTCCAGGCGTATGAATTGTCCACACTGACTGGCACTCAAGTCATGCTTCTTGTAGCCAGTGAGACTGGCCATGTATACACTTTTGCTACCAGAAAACTGCAGCCCATGATCACTAGTGAAAGTGGCAAAGCATTAATTCAGACATGCCTCAATTCCCCGGATCCCCCTCCTGGCACCTCCTCTGGAAATGTGTTAGAACAAAGGATGAATCCCTCTGGTTTTGAAGAGACAGATTTATCCTGTGCTGTAGGGGAAGATGATCAACAAAAGGTGTGTACTTGATCAGATTTTACTTTTTCTCTACTGTTGGCTAAACCAGTCCAATGATTCTAAAAGATAACATCCTGTGAAACAGCCTAGTTTTAAAGTTTATTTAGCCTTTTAAAATTTATATTTTAACTTTTTGAGTAATGAAAAACAATCCGGACTTTAATAATTGCATTTTCTGCGAATATTTTAATAATTTAAAAGCCCGACTACCCAAAATATCATGGTCACAAACACCCAAATATCCAAATTACCATATCATAAATACCCAACCACCCAAATTACCATGGTCACAAACACCCAAATATCCAAATTACCATATCATAAATACCCAACCACCCAAATTACCATGGTCACGAACACCCAACCACCCAAATTACCATGGTCACGAACACCCAACCACCCAAATTACCATGGTCACAAACAGCGGTATTTCTAAGTTGGGTGTCTTTCTGTGACGGAGTGGTCTAGCGGTAGAGAGCTGGACTGCTAACTCGTAGGTCTCAAGTTCGAATATGAGTTCAAGTCAGTAGACCGTCCCTGTGTCCACCCAACTTTGATGGGTACCTAACGCACGTTAGGGAAAGTAAAGGCGGCTGGGCATAGTGTTGACCACACTATCTCTTCATATGCCAAGGTCACAGAAACAAGTCAACCCTACTTCACTTGCCCCATAGACCAGGGGTTCCCAAACCCGTGCCCGCGGGCGCCATAGCGCCTGCCGAACGATTCGTATGTGCCCGCCTCTCACTATTCGACAGACAGAATTTTTTTCATAAACATTATTGAAAGGTTGAAGGGGATGGAAATCGAAAGTTTGAGGGGGGGGGGTGGCAAATCGAAAATTTGAGGGGGGTGCAAATCGAAAGTTTGAGGGGGGGGTGCAAATAGAAAGTTTGAGGGGGGCGGTGCAAATCGAAAGTTTTGTCCCCGGGTGATGGGAAGGGTCACTACGCCTCTGGAAAGAGTTTGTCGATTTAAAATAGGTGGTGCCCGCCTCCCTACCGATATTTTAGAATGTGCTCTAGAGTGAAAAAAGGTTGAGAACCTCTGCCATAGACCGTCAGGTTTGAAAGGGAACTTTACTTACTTGTCTTTCGGTGCTGCACCTCTTTGTGTCAACCCCCACCCTTCACCACCCAAGAAAAATGTATGTATTGTATATAGGCCTATTTAGGGATATATATGTGTGTGTGCCTTTTATCATTCTTTTTTTTTTATGGTGGACGATGTATTTTGTTTTGATCAGTACATTGTTTTTATGTGAAAGTTGCAATTGCTGTCACACACATAACCCTCCCATTTTGCCTAATGGCCTTAATTTGTGCACACATTGTATTAATCCACCTATTAATTCAAGTGGGAAAAAGCACAGTTTTCTGAACAAATTGGTAGATGTGGTGTCACATCACCCCCCCCCCCCCCACCCCCTTACTGACATTAGTTATTGAAAATAGATGTATTCAACAAAACGTTTTTGCTCTGTAAGTTGTGTAGTTAACAGTAATTATGTTAATCTATAGTGTTTTCATAATATAGCTGGATATAGCACTGCTTTCTCTACAGTTAGTAAGTTAACATCACAGTGTCACACACACCACCACACACCCTCCCCCTTTGTCAGGATTGCCTATTTATACTTAAAAGACTGTTACAGACTAACTTTAATTAACCATTATTTGAGCTGGCAAAAAGCAATTTTTTGGGTACATTTTGCAATTTTTTTGTCTTGGTGTCACCCCCCCCCCCCCCCCCCCCCCCCTTCGTGATGCCTCTGGTCACAAACACCCAACCCAGGAGGCAGATAAAAGCGGTTGGGCAAAGTGCTGACCACACTATCCCTTCTTATGCCGAGTTTAGGGAACTAGATCTATGTTTAGTTTAGGGAACTAGAGAAAAATAAGAATAACACGAAGTCTTGTGGTAAAACTTGTTATGGAGATGGAATAGCTGGAGTTATGACAGCTGACTTGTATACCGTGACTTTTGTGATCCCTATCGCCACGCATATTGAAATTATAATATTTGATAGCCTGTATTAAATAATGGCCTGTAGTAATAAAAAAAGTTGACCACACAATAGCTATCAAACAATATATTAGATGTGTAGGTCGATTGTTTAGCCCTATCAAGAATGTTTGTGTTTTATCGTTTAGTTTAAAGCGACCGGGGGTTAAGTTAAGCTTTGTTACGCTCCCTCCGCCATTGTTGTACAATTACCGTTGTAATGATCCCACCCACTCCTCCTCGCCATCGGAGTTTCTTCCAGGAGTTTCTCTCTCCCCCCCCCCCCCCCGAACAAAATGGAATCTATATAGATAACAAACCTTTATCAGTGTCGTCGCCATCCCCCCCCCCCCCCGAAAATATTATCAAGTGGCCCCCCCCCCCCGGCGAAAAATATCCGGAAGAATTACTGCTCGCCATTTAACTCTAGAAACTTAGTATGCATAGATCTAATATTTCTTGCTTTTAGGCCTACATTTAAAATTTAATTAAAAAATGTGTTTGGGAGTCCTGGGGGGGGGGGGGGGGGTCATGTGACCGTCACTAGCAGGACACCGGTGCGAGTCATGTGATCGCTGAGCTCATCGTGTGAACATACCTAGGCCGATCGTTATCTCATTCACATTTTAAGCTTGCATCCGAATGGCGGAGTTATTCAAATTGGCCCTAGGCGTTGTTCGGCCAGCATACACTGCGCTTGTCATAATGACAAATAAATCTGTTTTCACAACAACAACACGCAATGTCGACGTTCAGCGTTTATTACGCAGCAAAGTCTGTGGTAGCCTAGGCTACACCCGATGATCAGTAGACGTTACCCTAAATTTGATGTTCGCCAAGTTTCTCCGCCCCCGCTCCTTTTTCCCCTGTTGTCTAGCACATCTCTCGCTATGTACTTGTTAAAGAACTCTTTAGCGCGACTTATCCAGCCAGACAAAAGTCAGGTAGGCATTGCTTGCATGTGTAGGTGCGCACACGAGACCAAAATAGATTTTACAGGCCCTCCCACATCTGCCCCATATGATGAATACACGTGCGTGCGCCATACTAGACATCTACCGTACTTGGTCCAAAAAGACGAAATACCTTCCCTTGGTTCTGGGGTTTCCTTAAGTAACAAATAGTGAAAGACTGTAAGGCTACGTTTCACACAATTTTACGGTCTGCTGTAGGGGCATAACAAGCCACTGAAACAACTTAAATAAAGTTATCGTGCATACAGTATGCAACCTGTTGTGAAAACTGAAATCTTAAATCTTCATTTAGATCAATATTTCCTGCCTTCAAATAACCCCGTATTTAAGCTGTTGGGGTCTTCAAGTCACTGTAAAAAAAAAAAAAAAAAACAAAAAAAAAAAACCAACCAGAAATCACAAGATGTCAGTTTTAAATCAACATTTCCTGCCTTCAAATAGCCCTGTAGTTATATGTTAAGCATTGTAAAAACAACATGAAATCTTAGGATGTCTACTTTAAAATCAATATTTCCTGCCTTCAAATAACCCTGTATGCTCCATATTTGGCTCATATGTCCATAGACATCTGAGATGTTCATTCTTGGCCCTTCATAAAATATATATGTAACTCCCAGTTTTTATCTTTCTAATATTTTCTGATAAAAATAGTTATAAAAAGAAAAATACATTGATCATACACTGGAGCTTACATGGTTGCTGGAAAATTTATTTTAACTTGTGTTTGTGGTTTGTTTATATTTCCAGCTGATAGACAGCAACTGTAACATGAAAACAGTGTTCCCCATGCCGTCACATGGGGGTAATGTGTCGCCACAGGACCAGCTGAGTGTGCCGTCCCCCAGCAGCCAGGTGTCAAACCCACAGCCCACCTACACATTACAGAGTGTAGCCCCCACAGGCTCCACAGCCTCTGTCAGCAAAACCTTCACCCTCAGCACCAACAGCTCCAGCACCACTAGCAATGCCTCCACTACCAATACCTTTCAGACTATGCAACTACCATTCATCGTACAATCAGGTCAGAATTGGACTTTCATAAAAAAATAAATTTACATTGTTACTAGAAAACAGGAATCATTTATCTATGTGTCACTCTGTTTTGTAACATTTTAGGTGGGGCAATATCCATGCTCCAGCCCACAAGTCAGCAAATGGGACAAGCCATCACAGTGTCTCAGTCCCAGAATGTATTAAAGGCAGCCACATTGGGTCAAGTTATGTCTACACAAAACAGTAGGTCTTAGTGTCTCATTTAAACACAACAGTAGGTCTTAGTGTCTCATTTCATACACAACAGTAGGTCTTAGTGTCTCAAACTATTTCATATAGGTCTTGGTGTCTCACACTATTTCATATAGGTCTTGGTGTCTGAACTATTTCATACACACCAGTAGGTCTTAGTGTCTCATTTCATACACAACAGTAGGTCTTAGTGTCTCAAACTATTTCATACACAACAGTAGGTCTTAGTGTCTCAAACTATTTCATATAGGTCTTGGTTTCTCACACTATTTCATATAGGTCTTGGTGTCTGAACTATTTCATACACACCAGTAGGTCTTAGTGTCTCATTTCATACACAACAGTAGGTCTTAGTATCTCACACTATTTCATAGACACCAGTAGGTCTTAGTATCTCACACTATTTCATACACAACAGTAGGTCTTAGTATCTCACACTATTTCATACACAACAGTAGGTCTTAGTGTCTCAAACTATTTCATATAGATCTTGGTGTCTGAACTATTTCATACACACCAGTAGGTCTTAGTGTCTCAAACTATTTCATACACAACAGTAGGTCTTAGTATCTCACAGTAGGTCTTAGTTTGTGTCCTAGTATGTGACTGCAAATCCAAACAGACTTTCACTGACTGTCAGCTTTAGCTTGAAAGTAATTGTAATTGTTTTGTAGTGCTAGTTTTTATTTTAATTGTAGGTCAGACATTATCCAGTAGTCAAACTAATCAAACAGGTGAACTGAATACTCCTCTCCCAGTCAGCACCCCTTCTCATATCAGTTTTATGCAAGGTAAGATTGTTGTTGTATTACACCTTGTTCATGCAGTTGTTTAGACTGCTATGTATCAGAGAAACTAATTCTATAAAACATTTTATAATCTTATGTCTACAGTACCTTTGTTCTATCAATCACTTTTCCTTCTTACCTTTAAAAATTACGCAATGATTGTTCTCCTAACAGGTATGACTCCAGGTATTGTAATGTATCACACACCTCAAGGTGTTGTGTATGCGACGCCCACACAGAATCTCCATGACAGAACTATTTTTAACTTTCCTCAACCAACAACAGCAATATCATTATCACAAACGGACCAGTCTGCAGGTATGTAAATGCTAGGGCACATTTCTTAACTCCCCCCCCCCCCCCCACACACACACACACATACATCATTCAAACCCCTCCCACCTAGTACATCATTAAAAAAATCTGACCCATGCTCCCTCTAGACGTGTGACTTTTATTTTGGATGACCCACATTGCAGTTTGTTTTTATAATACTGATAATAGATATACATTTTTGTTGTTTGTGGATAATTGCCTTTTTCTCTCTCTTCCTTTAATTAGGTCACCAGCTAATTACTATACCAGTCCCAGTATCAATTAGTGGAAATTCTGTAAGTTAAAAGTCTTATTTCAACTATTGTCTGTTTTACACCACAACTAATTGTAATAATCAAAATATTTTACTTCTCCTGGAAACCTGTCTTACTGAATAATCAGAATTTTCTATAGTGGGCAGTAATTTGAAGTGATTGTCTCAATGGCAGTTAGATATTCTGATGTGGATTGAGTACATTAAAATCTACTGAAGTTCTAACACCTTCATACTGTGTAGATACTATCCAAAAATCATGCAGACTAATAGATATATTTGAAGTGATGAAATGAATGTTTTCTGCTTACAAACATGTCTGACTGACTTTTTCTCTACAGATATTACAATTAGCTGCAACACCTAACGTTGATAATTCTTCAGGGGAGACTACCATTTCACAACCACCACCATTAAAAAAGGCAAAGAAATGATACTCATAGGACTTTTTTTTCTACCAACATCTGTATTGGGTGTCTATCACATGCCATTTCTCATCATCTACTAGTTTGATAGTCATGTAAAAGTAGTACTGTGCTTACGTTTCCCCATTAGTCAGCTGAATGCACTTCGACCTCAGCAATTTAAAAAGTAATTATTTTTAGATTTTTATAAGTACTAAAAATGAAGATTAATGTGTGCCTTTACTTCATCAACTGTAATTTTTGCTTCATTTATCTTCAAGGCAGGCAAAAAATAATTGTGCTGATAGCTAGACAAGAGAAACTTGTATAGGCCCATACTGTTATCTATTTCATAAAGTGATGTGGGCACAGAAATGTTGTATAAATACTTTGTGAGATTTGGTGTAAATGTTTCTTACAAATCAGGTTACATGAAGCATGAATGTATTTGTGTTATCTCATGTGTCTTGTTAGCTCTCTTGTTATTTGAATACTGTTGTATCTCAACATTTTTCCAATGGTGCTATGTAATATTTAAATCAAATTAAAAATTGTACAGACTAATCTTGGTTCATTTCACTGTTTTACACATATGTGCTTATTTCTACCCCATTTGTACACTAGTTAAGGGATTGTGTGCATATAATAAAGTAAGGGGTGGCTTACGCAACTGTAGCCTTGTAGATTGCTCTTGGCTGAAATAAGGCTATAGAAACACAGTAAACAACTGTAGCCTTGAAGAATGCCCTAGCCTGAAATAAGACTATAGAAACAGTAAACAACTGTAGCCTTGAAGAATGCCCTTGACTGAAATAAGGCTATAGAAACAGTAAACAACTGTAGCCTTGAATTGCGACCTTGGCTGAAATAAGGCTATGGAAGAACATTGAGGAAGAAAAGCAGGCTATCTTCAACAGGGCATATGTTGCATCACATGTTGACATGCAATACCTCATTATATTGGGAGAAATCCCTTTCAACTTACTATTAAGAATGAAGATTACATGCTTTTTAGCTATGTACGTATGACAATACATTTTTTGACAAATATATTCTATTTCAAACCACTCACTATGGTACTCTTAATACCATATATTGCTTCACTGGGGTTTGAAATAAAACGTAGCTAGCAATTTCCTAAAATCAAGCTGTGATTCCCAAACATTTTGCAGCAGTTTCTAGAAGTGTGTCTGAAAGGCTTATTTTGTACATCCTTATGTGCATGATTCAGCTTTTGTGGACTACAACTAGTGGGTTTTGAAATACAACATGAAGAAGCATAATATGAGATAAAACAAATTTATTGAGTACATCTTTCACCATAATACAATGTAATATTTGTCTCAGTACAACCAGGAGCATAATTGTGATATGTAGTTAAAATTTTTATTAAAACAGATCATCACATAGGGTATCACAAAATAACACAAAGGCACTTGGTTTTTAAAAGTGAATAATTTCAAGGCAAATACCCTGTCAATGAAAAACTTGTCATTAACAAGTTTCACAATATTTATTTTCTATTTCCTAATGACAGGTTATAAATTGTTAAGCCTTTTAACAATTATTTAAAACTATTGGCAGGTAGAAATATATAATAAAATATTTTTTTAAAAAATAGTGGGAATATCTCTATTAGTAGTATCAGCCAGATCTTTGTCCACTTTTGTTGCTAGATTAAAAAGAAACAAAAGCACCCAATTGCCCTTAAAATATACCTTTTTCCCCCCCACAAACAATAGAATAATCCAAAAATTATTTATTGCTCAATTTAGAAAATTTTAAAGAAATAGAAGAAATTGATTTTAATAAAGTAAATTAAAAATGTAAATACAAACAGAAATGGTATACAATCTGAAACAAAGAACACAGCAAATGGTACTTTAAAATGGTCTGGATTGATAGAATGATAAATGATCAACAAAATTTTATTTTTATGCCCTCTACTAGCTGAAACATTAGGCAAAAAAAAATTCTTCATAGTGATCAATCAATATGGTGTTTACAAGTAAAATACGGTTTTTGAAAATCACACAGTAAGTAGAAATTTTGTTAACATTTCAACACGACTAAACATTTTTCAAACATCAGTTCCTCCAGCGTATCTAACAGTAATCCTTACAAGTTAATTAGCAAGTTTTAAAATATCTGGTACAGTTTTATCTGTTTGATTCTAACAGCCAGGCATTAAACCCAGACTTGAGTTCGTCAAGTTAATGAAATAATAATAACTTGAAATAATTATGTTAATACAAGATTTTAAAAGTGGCAAGGTTTAAAGCAGAAAATACAAGCAGCACTAAAACAAATACATGTCAACTCACATAAGCTTTCAGTTTATAAATAAAATATTGGCTACAGTATGGGTTTGGCAAGACAAACTGGTTGGACAAAATAACAGGTTTTGATTTTTATAATATATCTACAAGAGAAAAATTAAAAATTGTCAAGATTTAATGCTGTCAAAATTAAGCAGTACTTAAGTCAAAAGATTTTTCTTACAGATAAACAAAGGGCAGCAATCCAAGTTTTGGCAAGTTAAAAAAATTAAAATCATCATCTTCATTAGAGTTGCAGTGCTCGCTATTTAATAATATTGATTAAAAAAAATTTGCATATAGCCACAAAGGCAGGTAACAAAATTATTTCAAACAAAGGCTTTAGCAACGTTCTAATTGTAAATCAGATTAAAAGATTTTAAATCAAATGTACACATTTCAGCTGCGACAAGACATAGCGCAAATAATTTTCCCTTGAGAAACCAAACAGAAGGAATGTATCAATGCAAATTTTAGTGAACTGGTCCAACTGTCAAAAAGATTCCATCAAACTTCTGCTGAAAATAACTTGACCAATCAGAGCTCTGCATTCTTCCTGAAGAGATTGTGCAAGTTAAAGATACAATTACTAGTTGCTGAATACCCTGAGTTATTATAGCTATTTTACTATATTAAAGCCAAAAATAAAATACTGTTTATAACAAGGTAATGAATTATAATACACTCAGGTAAAGCCAGTAGATCCCTAAATATTAAGTAACAAGATTTTTCCAAAAAAAAAGATTAAAATGGTAAATAATATGTACAGTGTTTACAAATATTCATTTGTAATATCAAGCATAAACAACCTTGAACGACTGAAAACAGACAAAAACATAGAACTAGTGTTTAAACTCACTAGGTAAAATGTGATCTTTAAGAACAAGTGTTTAATTAGTACATAGTTCTAATGAATAGTTTAACCTGTTGGGTTTCAATGATTGGCTTGAAAAATCTATTATTTATCTCGCTAGTGTGACAGTAGCTCATCTCACTGAGTTATTTAAAGATTAAGGCAAGTAAATCAGTACACAACAAACTAAGCAAACATTTCATCCTTCCACCTAAAGCCACCTGTTAACCACAAGATAATGATTATATTCACATTTTTTTCAGTTGAGCTTCAGGTAACTTTTTAAAAAATTTATTAATTTCTTTTTCTTTTGGTGAAATGGTTTCACATGTTCTATACAAATATATCTAGACAAAGAATCCTAAGGATATCATGTATAGACATATCTGGTATCATGTTAACTGGAAGAGGTCAATATTTGTCTTGTGCAGATATCTATCATAAGGTTTAGTGATCAATAGTATGTTACAGACAGATCTTTCACAACCAATGTGTATCCTGTACTAAGTGATCAATTGTATGTTACAGACAGATCTTTCACAACCAATGTGTATCCTGTACTAAGTGATCAGTTGTATGTTACAGACAGATCTTTCACAACCAATGTGTATCCTGTACTAAGTAATCAATTGTATGTTACAGACAGATCTTTCACAACCAATGTGTATCCTGTACTAAGTGATCAATTGTATGTTACAGACAGATCTTTCACAACCAATGTGTATAGTGTACAAAGTGATCAAGTGTATGTTATAGACAGATCTTTCACAACCAATGTGTATCCTGTACTAAGTGATCAAGTTGAGAGGCAGTTTTCTAAATAACTAAAGCACTGTTACTAGGCACTACACAACAGGGCAGAAACATACAATTTGAAGCAGCATGCAGTAAATTTATTTCCTAATAACCATTTGGTTATGCAATTAAAGAAAACCTCACACCTATATATAATTAGACAGGAAATACACTGTTTCTATTTTCAATATACTGTTTTACATGAATATAGATAACAATTCTTGTTAGCTTATTTCCCAAAAAGCTTCCTGCCATTTAGTTTATTTGCACTGCTATCTCAAGAATGTTTTGTGTAAACACATAATAATTCAGCCAAAATAAAACAAATAATTTCATCTAGAAGATTACCAGACCCAATACAATTTTTTTTAAAAATCAGTTTCACAAAACAAAATAAAAAGGTGAAACTGCACCAAACAGAAACACACAAACCAAAATATGTTTACTTTTCTTAGACAGGAAATAAAAAAGTTAACTACTGTACCAAACAGAAAGACACAAACCAAAATATATTTACTTCTCTAAATCATGAATGCTTGAGCTTAACATCTGAAAGACAGTTGTGGCAACATCAGTTTACGTTTTTATTTTATTGCTAAGTGACAACCATATTGACAACGTTTAACTGCAGTGTGAAGACGCTACAATTGTTTGTGTTTAAATATTGATGATTTAGAACTGCTTCATTTTAAATGAATTATTTTATACCTTGAGCTTGACTAATACAAAAATGGCTGGTGACAATTGTGTAAGGAAACTTAAGTAAAATTTAACACGCTTCAAAAATAAATTTAACAACTACACTTGTGAAACATCAAAAAGAACTCATGCATGTAACACTACATGTCAAGGTGTCCATTTACAACAACAAAAGGTGAGTGGTATTTAGATACCATACACCTCATCTTCACTTAATGTAGCAATACTGACTCATTTAAATAATGTATTGTGATTCAGGGTTGTGAGCACATTTCTAGCCCCACTTTTACTTAACTGTAGCCCTAATGCTACTTAACTGAACCACTTTAATGTTAGTTTAACTGTAGCCCCATTGTTGCTTTACTATAGCCCCATGTTACATTACTGTACCTCTGTTAGTGTAACCATAGCCCTAAATTATTGAACAGTAGCCCCATATTACTTAACTGTAGCCCCATGTTGCATTACTGTAGCCCTAAAGTTAGTTTACTGTAGCCCCATGTTACATTACTGTAGCCCTAAAGTTAGTTTACTGTAGCCCCATGTTACATTACTGTACCTCTAATGTTAGTGTAACTGTAGCCCTAAAATTACTTAACTGTAGCCCCACTGTTAGTTGAACTGTAGCCCCACTGTTAATTAAACTTTTTCAAGAAACCAAAATGTTGTCTACCCATTGTTTAAAATCAATGTTTAGAAAACACAAAATAATAGCAGTGCAACATTGGTTTATAAAAATGTATATGAAAACAATTCATAAATTAGAAATGGGAAATGAACTAGTTCACAAGTTTTCAAATTTTAACTGCAGTTACTTTAAAATCAAGATCTGGTTTGTAATGTTAAATTGAGAAAAATGTAATTAACATTTTTAAATGTGCACTACTTAATTTTTTTTCCAAATTAGGTTAATACAAATAATTTATTTTATTCTTAAGTTAAATGTGTTCAGTTAATGTATATGATATTTTTAAAGATATGTAAAAGGTGCCTTCAAATGAACATCTCAAGGCACTGTGCATCATGCAGTCACCAGCCACACAGTCTAGAAAAACAAATAACTGTCTTTGTGTCAAGGTTTGTGAATGCCTACTTTTTACGGCAGCTTCGCTCTTCAGGCTGTAGGTGCAAGAGGTTGGAGACAAACACCCGGAATATGCGGCTGAAGTCATCTATGAGGTTGAAGTCAAGGTGGTCCCAATCATCTTTTACATTGTGCCAAACAGATGGAAATGGGGAGGAGATCAGATGAAGTACTTCTACACCTTTAAAGGACACAAAATGAACAATAAAGTTAAAAGAAACCCACTAAAGTGAACATTATTTAAATTGTGTTCAGGAAATTCAAAGTATTTCTAACAAGGAACTTGCAAGTTGCAAACCTCTTTCCATAAATGGGATATGGTCATCTTCAATTCCTCCCCAGTTCTCCCTCTCTGTGAATATGGGAGATGAACGCTTGACTGTCAGTAAGCCTTTTTCTCCCAGTAATGACTCTACGTGCACAAAATGTAGAAAACTTTGTCAGTAAACATGTATAGAATGTAAAATATTTCTTGAATAAACTATTTAAATATCTGAGACAAACAAGTTTTTGGTGAAGAGAAATTATGTCCAGCGTCAAGTGAGAATGAATACTGTGTCAGTAAGCCAAAGTGAGAGCAAAATTTGTACCTATTTTAACCAGGTTGGCATACAACTCTTTAGTCTCAGAAAATTGTCTTGCAAAGTGTGTGTCCGACGTTCCTATAAGATCCAGCAGGATAAATTCACGCTGCTCACAAGAATAAAATAATTATTACAAACTGATCTTTCAACCAACAACACCTGATCATTTAACACAAGTAAAAAAAACTAACACTTCACTGATTAGATTATAATTTAAAAAAACAACAAGAATTTGAATGTAATCTAAGCTATTTACAACAAGTTAAAATGGCTCCTTTTGATTGAAAATGACGAGAGTTTTTTAATTGTTTTGTGCTTACAATTGAAGAGAGTTTTTGTTCTTTCTCCCAGCGCTGAGCCAAATGTCTAGCACCGTATATAGAATCTGTGCTTGTCCACTGCTTAAAAGCCTCCTCCCCATCTAAGAAGAGCAGCTGGAGAGTAATATCTTTGGCCTGTCACAGGAAGTAAAATTTTGGAACAAGATTATCTACAACTTATTTTTATGTGATACATTATGCCAAAAATAATTAGAAATAAGCTTTAATTAGTTATACTCACAGAACTAGCTTCTTTTGGGCCTTTCTTCATTAGACAATCTAACTGTCTAGCTGTTTCCAATAAAATAGCACAAGGCACAGCAGAATCAGTAGCAGCAACAAACCTATTACAAATATTTTCTTTGTATATCAAAATTTTCAAGAAGTTCTAATTAAGTAGAACGTTATGATTTAGTCTCAGAAAGTAAATGAAATAAGCAAAAAACAACCAATGCTAATCAGGAATATAAAACACAAATAAAACCTAATTTATTTAATAACTTACTTAAAGTCTGTAAAGTACTTAGAATCAAAATGGCATGCTAGCACCACTTTCACAGGCTTGGAAGGATCATAAGTTGCAATAATGTTAGTAAATTCCTTCTGCCCATATGGCGTGACATCTGTAAATCTATCTTCTTCTATGTGCCAGTCCAGGGTTTTCAACATAGAAACTATATGCTAGTGAAAATAAATGTAGAATATTATGTTTATTTCTACAATTATTCCAGAAAGCCTAACCTGGCAGAAGTAACAGGACAGCTTAACACACAGTCACATATCTGTCGAATGGGTAGGATGTCATATATCCACTTTTAAAATATATAAAATGTTATCCATCACGGGATTTTATAACAAATAAATCAATAGTATAAGTATAATTACCTTTTGTACCAGTTTATTTCCATCACTCCCTGATACTCTTTCAATAACAATAGGTTTCAAAATGTTAGATTTAAAATCCTCCATTTTTGACATTTCTTTGGTTAAAAAAATGAGTGCTGACTCTTTTGTTACCCATCGCTGCGGCCTCTGGATATACATAATCATAAAAAAATAGGCTAATAAATTCAATTCGAATATTAAAATAAAATAACTTTGCTTTTAGAACATCTGGCATAAATAATATATTCTAATTACAAATAAGATCTAGATGTGCTAATAGTTAGATTCTAGATCAAGTTAGGCAAGTGGGCCTAAGTATTGTTTATTTTATTTTTAGTTTGGTGTCATCCTTATAGATCTACCCAAATTTAAACATTTTTTTAACAAGATAAAACATTACTTTTGATGGTAATTTTTTTTGCTTTCATGTCACCCCTCTTTTCCCTAAATTCTAAATTAGTAGGGAATGGTGTCACCCAACCCATTAAAGTACTATATACTATCATATAGGCCTATAGATCTAGAATATAGAGTCATAGAGTGTACTCGGTGTACTGTAGTCTGTGTTAGTGTGTACTACTGTAGACTGTAACTGTAGTGTGTGCAGTGTTTGTTCCAGACTTTGTTCTCGGGGGGGGGGGGGGGGGGATGGAAGGGGGGAGAGGCGAACACTGTAGATAAAAGTATATCATATTTTCAATATAATTATATACATTCTAGATCTAAAAATCTAGATCTAGGCCTACATTGAAATTCCATTTCGTTGGGGGGGGGGGGGGGGGTTAGTAGGCCTAGTCTATACCTACTACTAATATTACAAAATAGGGTAATCTATCGTTTTGGGTACGTAAAATCGCCCGCGACTTGTAATGTGAAAACCAGGTGACTCCTAAAATTTTAATAATTATTTCACATTTTGAGGAGGATTTATGTTTTTTAAAATACAAAAATGTTTCATTTATGTACCTGTTTTCAAACAATTGAATTAAAACTTTTCAATAATAAATGAAGACTAGCGATGTTTCCAACAGATGCAACCATGCTCATTTACTATAGCAGCCATCTTTTAAGTTCTTTCTTTGTTAACTTATAGCACGAGATTCAGGGGAAGGCAACTCTATTTTACAAATGGCTGCTGTTTATATAAGAAATCCTGCTCGCAAACACTGCTGTTTAAAGTTAATTTCTTGCCTATATTGATATTGATATATTTAGCTGTTGATTTAGGTTTATTATTCATTTAACTATAATATTTGACACAAATATATCAAAATATACTTCTATTAAAGCCTTGACAATGAGGTAACTTTTTCGTACATTACTAGCCGCGGGCGATTTTACGTACCCAAAACGATAGATTACCCAAAATAGTAGTATAGTACAGTAGCACTCATACTCAAATGTAGCGTAGTTAACTAAAGTGTAGTGTTCTGTAAGACAGTAATGAGTAAAAGATCGGACTTACTTTCACTGAGGCTTCAGCTGTGTCACTTGTGTGTATGGTGTTAAATAAAATAAAAATTATTAAAATGAAACTAACAAATAAATAAATTCTTTTTAATGAAGGTTTAAAACATTGATTGGATCTAGAATTAGATATATTATTGTAATTAGAACTTTTATGCATTTTGTTTGCTAGTTTCAACTTTATTTCTCTGAATCTAGAATTTAGGGTCTATTTTAAATTAACCATATGTGATTGTCAACTATTCTAGATCTGGATCTGACTATAAACTAGGCCTAACCAGACCAGGACCTAGGTAGGCCCTAAGGAATTCTTTAATTTTTGGAGAATATTTTAGTCTAGACTACACGTATTATTCTATAAAATAAGACTGATCTCCCTTGTTCTGAGTTCTTGTTTTAATGACTTTTTTTTTTGCGGGATTTTTAGAATCTAAATCAAGGTCTAGATCTAGATCTAGATCTAGAATTAACACAATTTTATTTAGTGCTAGATCTAGATTTTCTAGATCTAGATCTAGATTATTTCACAACTATTCTAGAGTCTATGTTGATTAATTTAGATCTAGACTAGATCTAGATCTAGAATCTAGCTAGTTACTAATTAGATTATCTAACTAGTACTAGATCTAGTAACTAGTTACTAGATTTAGTCTAGTTACTTTTTATTTAGTTAGTAGTTACTCTAGTAGTCTAGTTAGTTAGATCTGCTAATTTTTAATTTTCCATTAAAATCAAAACATGATGTCTCTAGTTCTACAACATTTTTTGCGGGATTCTTATATTATTTTATATACTCAGGCTAATCTAGATTAGGCCTTAGGGCGGGGCCTAGTATCTATAATTTCTATAGGCCTATACTCTATAAGAGTCTATCTATAGTCATAGATCTATAGGCCTATATAATATATTATAATTCTCCTCTTGGAGACGCTAGAAAACAAGCTGTAAGCGCGCTCCCTACCTCCCCACCCCTACATGGTCTGGTGAGCTTTGGTTCACGCTAAATGTTTACAATCGTAGAGCCGGCTATTAGGGACAGATAATTTAGTTTGAAACGATTTTAAACTTAGGGGAGGTAACTAAGAGTAGGCTGCTTTCATGGGGGGGGGGGGGGGGTGGGGTGTAGGGTAGGGGTTGGGGGAAAAGAGGGTGGGGGTAGTGACCTACTGATAGTGTTTTAAAGCAAATATTTTCAGTGGCAGCATTGATACCGTCGAATTCAAAAATTATAAATTACTGAAAAGTAGAAAATAAAACAACTAAATAGCGACGTATGATATGCCGGGGATCGGCTCGAGTAGTATAACTAAGTATCATAGTATGTAGCATGTAGCATTCGGACAAAGGGAGATAATTTAAAAAAAAACCTGCCCAGAGCTCTTGAGTGATTTTTCACGTTTTGTTTTTACCAGTCTCTTATAAATTTAAAATTAATATGATGTAGTCTAATAATTTCCAATACACAAATGACAAAGCTGTTTCAAAGCAACCACATTTTCAAAATCTACTGAGGTTCAGCTATCACCTAGTGAATCCTAGTGCGGGCAATTCGATCTACCTACTTCTCATTTTCTTTCATTTTTGCCTTTAAAAACAATTTGAAAACAACAGGCCTATATATTAAATATTATATATAGGCTATCAGCTATGTATACTTTAACTTTAAATCGACTTTATTTTGATAAAATAATAGTATAATAGGCTATACAAACATTTGCCTGCACACAAAAACTATACAAAATCAGTGAAATAAACCACTTGCGGTTTTTATTTTATCAAAAAATTGTAATTTAATTTTACAAATACATTTTTTATGAATTTTTAAAGATTCAGACCTTCATCGGTCATGTTTTTTCTTATATAATTAAATTAGTCATAGTAAAAATGTACATTTTTAAAAATAAAGCATTACATCAAACAGAAACAAGCCTGCACAATTATTAATGCAAATATACTTAAAAGAACCACCTGTTTCATAATTTATCATTAGAATTAAAAAAAATTTTGCAAACATTTTTAAAAAATTTCACAAGTGGTTTATCTAACTTAATTTGAATTATTTTTGAGTAGGCAAATGTTAATTGGAAGATAATGTACCAAATTTAAATGTTGTTAAAATCCTTGAGAATACTAACACTTCCAGTGTCCGTGGCTAGTGGAGAACTCTTTTTTTTTTTTAAATTTTTCAAAATTGAAATTAATTACAGGTGTGGAACTAGTATACCACCTGACCCTGCATCTATCCATAATATTTAATTTATTTTATATATTCTCCATTAATTTTATTCCACAGAAAATGTGCAAAAAGAACTAAGAAGTTATAGATTAAATCTACTAACTTGTTTGTAGTTGAAGTTGACTCATGAAACAGAAGTGACATGAAACTATTAACTTTGTAATTACTAATTAGGAAGAACAAATCACATAAACTTTAAACTTTATGACTAAATGAACAGTGAATAACTAAAATGACTGAAAGAGAAGTTGTTTTAATTGACATGGACTGCTTCTATGTTCAAGTTGAACAAAGGTTGAATCCTAGCTTAAAAGGTAAACCTTGTGCTGTAGTACAATACAAGACTTGGAAAGGAGGGGGGTAAGTGTCAGCCTTGAAGTCTTAAAGTTTAAGAAAATTTGAACTCAATATTTTTTTTTTTATAACTATGCCACTCTTTTAGTCCATCCTTGGTTAAAAATTAAACAATAAAAGCCACTAATTCTTCTTATAATAGAATAATTGCAGTGGGATATGAAGCTAGAGCATGTGGGGTAACACGACAGATGCGTGGTGACGATGCTAAAGCTATGTGCCCTGAAATTCACCTGGCCAGAGTACCAGAAGTCCGAGGGAAAGCTGACTTAACAAGGTTAGTATAATCAGGACTGTCAACTGCGTCAGCTATTGATGTGCATCAAATTTGTTTTTATTTCTGTTTTGTGGTGTATTTCTTTCACTCATCCATGTGAATTATTAAATACAACTCAAACGTTTTTGATATTATCAAACCAAATATTTATTTAATTTAAATTTATCAATTATCAACAGTAATTTTATTGCTATCTATTTTGTATTGACCTCAAGTAAAAATATTCATGTAATAAATTTGTGGATTTTTTAATTTTAGTACTGCACTATTTTAAAAGTGATTCTGTGTAGGGCAATTGCAAATGTTGGATCAGACCTGAAACTGTTGTCCATTCATTAAAATGAACACCAATTAAAGCTACTGTTTCTCTGCAGGTACCGTGAAGCTGGGGCTGAAGTGATAGCAATTTTCAGCAAATTTTGTTCCTGTGTTGAACGTGCCAGTGTGGACGAAGCATATTTAGATTTGACCATGGAAGTCACACAAAGAATGACAGGGATGGCAGAAAGCCCAGTGAAAGATGTGCAGCTACCTAATACTTTTGTTGAAGCCTATGATGGTGCAGATGGTAAAACTCGCTAAATAGTATTTTAATGGTTAGCATAATAAATGAGCAATTAAAATTCATTTGTTTTGCTGTATGATAACCCTTCATGCATTTTATTATTTCAGGAAAAAATGAATGGCTACAAAAAATCTACTCTGATGCATCAGTAGACAAGTGTGAACAGCGGCTGGCTGTGGCTGCTTGTCTTGTAGAGGAAATGAGAGCGGCAGTTTTCAAAGACACAGGATTTACCTGTTCCGCAGGCATAGCTCACAATAAGGTTTGTCACAGTGCCTCACCAAAGTTTCATAGTACCTGCAACCATTTAACAGCTAGAACTTTCCAACTTTTTTACCTATGAAGGTTGTCAAATGTCATGTGTATAAATATATATATATATATATATATATATATATATATATATATATATATATATATATATATATATCACTTCAGGCAACTATTTTGTTACCTCATTAGGAAACCATAACTGTTGACTACTAACATAGCTTTTGTTCAATAAACAAAAAAATGAATTTATAGAAGTAATGTAACTGTTCTTATAGGTTTTTAAGTAACCAGTTTTTGTTAGGATTGTATTATTGCCAACATTTTTGTAAGAGTTAAAGCCATTTTTTGGTTTTATTCTTCTAGATGCTAGCCAAATTGGCATGTGGTAGGAATAAGCCTAACAAACAAACTGTCCTGCCTCATTCATCAGTACCATCAGTCTTCTCAACATTACCTCTACAGAAAATGTAAGCTCTTGTCTCTTTAAGTAATTAAAATCTACAATAAAAAAATATATTGATCTATGTATATGTGTGATAGTTTTGTTTTAAAATTTGATGATCTATTGAATATTTGAAAATGTAAGTACCTCTATATATAGGATCTATAATAACACATAAATAATTTTAAGATTTAAAGATTTTATATTTTATTTAGTTAATTGGAAATTTTGTTTGATATTTTCTTAGCCGTCATTTAGGAGGAAAACTTGGGGCATCAATCATTGAATTAGGCTGCAAGATGATGGGAGATGTAACTCGCTTTTCTGAGTTGGAGCTGCAGAAACACTGTGGAAATAAAGCAGGGTATGTCATTTTACAGGATGGGAAAAGAATTATTACATTTCTATTATAACTCTTGCAATATACATTTTTAGTCTTTCATTAAAGAAAACTCATTGTGATCAATTTAAGCTTTTGTGGATTATTAGAAAAAATAATATTAGTTTTGCTGAGATTATGAAGTTTGATAGTGTAGTTAGTTGAAAAATTTGATAGTCTGTTTTACACATAAATATAAAGCTAGTTTTAAACTTCAGAAGCTGGCTGTATTACGTCTGTCTGTACTATGATAGTCTGTGTCAAATCTAAACCTAGTTTAAAACTTTCAGAAGCTGTCTGTACTATGATAGTCTGTGTCAAATCTAAACCTAGTTTAAAACTTTCAGAAGCTGTCTGTACTATGATAGTCTGTGTCAAATCTAAACCTAGTTTAAAACTTTCAGAAGCTGGCTGTACTATGCCTGCCGTGGTATTGACACTGAGCCTGTAGCAGTGAGAGAGTTACCCAAGTCTATTGGCTGTTCTAAAATGTTCATGGGGAAAGAAGCTTTAGACACGACTTCTAAGGTCAATTGATCAGATTCTATTAATTTAACTATATCTGATGTGAATAATTACAATCTAGTATAATTTTAAAAAATATTTAAAATGTTAATTATTTTTAAATTAGTTTTTTGTTTCTGTTAATTGAGATTAGTATAATCTTAATTGTAATACTTCCTTGTAGTTTAAGATATGTGTTATTAAGCTGTAGTTGAACAGCTGTTGATGTAAACATATACACACTTCAAGCTATGGCTTCTGTCATCAGATAAAGCAGTGGCTGTCAGAGCTAGCTGAAGAAGTGATGGAGAGGTTGAGCCGAGACAGAGATGCGGTGAGAGCACATAGCTTTATGTTGATGCCTATTTGTTGACTGGCTGTGATATCCAGGGTCTTAGAACATAGCGCGCTGTTTATCATTGACGTCTGTAATTTGTTATAATTTCTTGTATTATCAGAATAAAAGAATAGCCAAGTCTTTAACAGTCAACGTTGGTTTCAAGACAGACTCTGGTTACTCCTCTTCATCTCGCACCTGTGCATTAGTTAGATATGAGGCGGAGAAATTTGCTTCTGATGCATTAGCACTGCTGCAACAATTTAAGGGCAGTCCAAATCATAGTTCTGTGTGGTAGGTGGACATTTGAATTTTTTTAATACCACATTAGATCATTGGCATTGTCATCTCTATTTTTAATACATAATAATACATTGTAATCATTTACTCATTTAAAAAGTTGTTTACTGTTTACAAATCAAGAGTGCTAAAAAATTAGAAATGATTTTTTTTATTGAAATAAAATATTTTGCCAGGACACGACCATTCAACTATTTAGGATTGACAGCCAGCAAATTCCACCCTTTAGAAGAACAGAACAAGATCTCATCTATGTTTACTGCAGCTGCATGCTCAACAAGCACTTGCAACCAGTCTGATGGTGACCAGGTTGATGGTGTGGACTGGGGCGACTTAAATGGTGACTTACAAAGCAAAAGTACCATGAATGTGCCTTCAACTCAATCAAAAACTGACCACAACCATTTCAAAGAAAGTTCCAGAAAATCTTTAAATAATTCACTAAACTCTTCTCCATCAACAAAACCAGCTGATATGGGGAATAATCAAAATGGCAGCAAAGGGGAGAGAAGTATCAAATCATTTTTCAGCCAGATAAAGGTTGTTGATAGAAAACCACCTCAGCCCTCAGATAGTGAAGGCAGAGAGGAAGTAATGCCTGTAGAACTACCACAAGTGAATACTGCTAAAGCATCCAGTTTTTTTGCTGGTAAACTCAAAGCTTTGAGTACAAAAAATGAATCTCCAGAAAGTGGGTCCACAACAAATGTCATCCAGGAGTTTTCTGATGAGGACGCTTCATTAGAAAAAACTTCTGATGTATGCTCAGCTGCTGTTCTTGATGTGAGAAAATCAGATGAACAATCTCCAACAGTTTTGACAAATAAAACTGAGACTAATCAGCTTTCACCTAATATTCATATTAATCAGGTCTCACCTAACCTTAATGAGATGAATCAGGTCTCGCCTAACCTTAGTAAGACTAATCAAGTCTCACCCAATGACAGTGAGGATTACATAGAGTGTGACAAGTGTGGCCAGATTATTTCCATGTGGGAGCTGCCAGAACACAATGATTTTCACTTTGCTCAGGAACTGCAGAATCAATCTGACCACTCTGCTGGTGGCAGTACTCAGGTTGCCAGATCAAGTATAGAGCAAAAAGTCAAACGCAAATTTACCAGCCCTACTAAAGAGTCTAAACGAGGGCGCAAAAAGAAAAAGTCTCTTGATAAAAATATACAACCTCTGACAGCTTTTTTTTCAAAGACATGATGCAGCTTTTGTTTTTGACTAAATTAAGTCATATGACTTATGTATCACTTCATGTAAGACTTGTTATTTCAAATGATGTTTTATGCAATAGTATTTATATTTTCATCTATTTATTTACACAATTGTAAATTATTTATTATATTACAATGAACTTTGAGGAGTAAAAGTTTTATTAATGTACACATTTTTTTCTTCATTTTTTTTTAAACTATCAACACAGTTTTAAATACAAATAACATTTTAGGCTTTTCAAAAACATGGTTGTAGTAATAAGTTGTGCTAAAAATAAAGTGAAACCACTTTTTGTTCTTATTTTCAAGACGAACTATGCTAAATATTCACGTTATAATTCTGTAAGTTCTCTGGAGATAAACTATACCACAAACAGGAACATGACAAGCATATTTTTTCAAGACGAACTATGCTAAATATTCACGTATAATTCTGTAAGTTCTCTGGAGATAAACTATACCACAAACAGGAACATGACAAGCACATTTTTCAAGACAAACTATGCTAAATATTCAAATTATAATTCTGTAAGATCTCTGAAGATAAACTATACCACAAACAGGAACATGACAAGCACAATGTAATTCTTACAGTTTATAAAGTAGTAAATAAATATATTGCCATTGACTACTAGACAACTTGAGATGAGCTACTAGGAGCAGTGTTGTTTGAAGATACATTACACATTTTTCGCAGCATTTGTTTGTAAGTTTGTGCAAAAAAGGGGGGTTAGGAATGAAATGAACTTCCATAGGCCTACAGTATTAACATCAGCTACCAGTAAAATGAGATTTAAAAAAAAAAAATACTCATGTATTTATTAAAATAGAAAAATCTTGGCAAAAATACAATCAAGGCCTTAATTAAAATGGAACAATAGTTATCTCTTGAGAATTCGTTAGGCTGTAAAACAATAAACCAGTGGACCCACAGACACTAGAATACTTGAATGGTGGCTGATTTTCAACTAAAAGTCCAGTTTAATTGGTTAGCCACTCTCTAACTCATTGTCAAATGTCGCCAAAAATCTTCACATCCTAAATTCACTAAATAGCGCAGCCAAGTTACGTGCTATTTTATCTTACTTGAGACACTGTTTAATTATAGTTTTAATTATTAGACATGCACTGAAAAATAAAAAAGCCATTAAAACACATTCTGGTTGTGTAACTTAATTTTGCATCCAAAACTTTAAATTTAAAGCTTATTGTGTAGGTCTCAACACATCTAAAATTATATAATCTAAGTTAAATTAAACGAAAACCAAATTAGAACAGAAATAAAGGTACATAACCCAAAGAAACGGAAATTGTTTACATCCGCCTCATAAAATTAGAAGGCCACAACTGAAAAAGCTAACATAATTTTTTAGATTAAAGTCTAGATCTAGATTTAGATCTAAATCTAGAATCTGTAATATATGTGATAGATCACTAGGTGGATTTTTATCATTTTACAGCAATGGTTTGCGAAAAATGTATGTATTATTATAGATAGTAGTTAGTTCAGTCAAGAATCGGCCCGGTAATCGAGATCTAGAATCTAGATCTAGATCTAGATCTAGATTCTAGATCTAGATTCTAAATAAAATTTAATCTATCGTTACGGTTTTAGGGGGTACGTAAAATCGGCCGAGGCTAGATCTAGTAATGTGAAAAAAGGGTGACTCGTCAAATTTTTGTAATTATTTTACATTTTTAGAAGGATTTAGGTAAAACTCTATTTGGTAATCTATCGTTTTGGGTACGTAAAATCGCCCGCGATTTGTAATGTGAAAAACAGGTGACTCCTTAAATTTTAATAATTATTTCACATTTTGAGGAGGATTTATGTATTAAAAAATACAAAAATGTTTCCTTGATTCATTTATGTATCTGTTTTTAAACAATTGAATTAAAACTTTTCCGTAATAAATGAAGACTAGCGATGTTTCCAACAGATGCAACCATGCTCATTTACTATAGCAGCCATCTTGTCTAAGTTTTATTTTTATAAGCTTTTAGCGCCAGATTCAGGGGGAAGCCACTCTATTTTACAAATGGCTGCTGTTTATATAGCAAACCTTGCTCTCAGACACTGCTGTTTAAAGTTAATTTCTGGCCTATATCGATATATTTAGCCATTGATTTAGGTTTATTATTCATTTATCTATAATATTTGACACAAAAGTATGACAATATACTTCTATTAAAGCCTTGACAATGAGGTAACGTTTTCGTACATAAATAGCCGCGGGCGATTTTACGTACCCAAAACGATAGATTACCCTCTATTTTACTTTTAGCGTATTTTAATAATTTTATTCTCCGCTTCTCGTTTACCTCCAGACTGGAGGCTCCAGTTGAGCGTATTTTATTATAATAACGGAAACACACCAAAACATTAGGAAAACACGTTTTATTTATTTGTATTGTATTTTTATTTTAACAAATGAATAAACAAGGTAATTAAAAAGTCTAGTGACAATTTTAGCGCAATTTCCTTATGTTATCTAAAAATAGCTCTGTCGTAGCGTAAATCAAGAGCAGGGTTAGTAAAACCATTGGTTAGTTATTAAAACGTTTTTTATTAATTTTTCTCAGTATTTTACATGTTTTATTTACAATAGAGTTACATGACTAAAAATCATTGCGCGCCTACTGAACGTGATGGCGCAGCCATGGAACGCGATGGCGCAGCTATTGAACGTGATGACGCGTGTGGTGTGGTTGGAAAAAATGCCTACTAATTCGGTCCAAATTTTAATTAATTCAAAATTTTTTTTGTGACCGAACGAAAGGATATTTTTGAAAACTTTCTTCGGCAATATTGTTCTAAATTATGGCAGGAATCGATTGGTACATGTTTCAAGTCGCTTAGTGGTCTGGTTGCCGAGATATGGGCCAAAAACTGCTTTTTTTCGAGGTTTTTTGGCTTTTCCGGGAAATCCATGAAAGAACCGTAATTTTTATGGCCTATGTTCATCCTCGTAACTTGCTTAACATAATTGCTTTTGGAACTAGTCATCGATATTGCTTCGTTGAGGAGGAGATACGACTTAAAGCTGCGGACACACATCCATCCATCCATCCATCCATTCATTCATACATCCAGAAATGACGGGTTAATAAACGCAATTCTCCAGAATGGAAATTGCGCTAAAAAACAAAGAGACTGACTTTGTTTTTGATTTTGATAATTTTAAAATTTACTTTTGTAAAAACTTGAGAAAAATCCAAATTTAGAATATTGAATGTGCTATGTTCGTGTGTAAGGATTTTCATGGCAATGGGTGAAGTACGTAAATGTACCTCACAATTGGCTGCAAAGGCGGTTAATTTTGTATTGTTACAAGTATCTCCCAGGCATGATACTATAAATAAACATTAATGAACTTACAATGACCAAAAAACTGAGGCCAACACAATTTCAACCAGCTATTGCCCGAGCTATGACGTATGCTGATAATTAAACTCACGGTGAACCCACGACCGTGTAAGGATTTTTCTCCCGCTGACGATCACACGCTATTTAATTGGAACTGTTCTAATGCTTTTTTATGTTGTTTTTTTTTACCTTTTCTAATTAAAAATCACATTCATAAAAAAGTAGATCTAGCTTTAGTCTTAGTGTTTTCCTAACAATTTTGTGTGTTTCAGTTGTGTTTATAGTAAAATACGCTAAACTGGAGGTGAACGTGAAGCGGGGAATAAAATATGCTAAAATGGAGTTTTACCAGGATTTATGTTGTAAAAGTTATAGAAATATTTCAACCCTTTATTCATGTAGGCTTACCTGTTTTTAAACAATATATTAAGGGGATATGCTATGTTTTTTTCTATTTTTTACAGTTTAAGATCTAAAGCCTTTTGAATACTTTTATCATATTTGGCATATAAAAGTAAGTATTAAACAGCAAAAAAAAAGGGTCGAAAACAAATGTGGTTGTCATGGAAACCCCAAAAACATCCGCCATTTTGAATTTTTCAATACTTTTAAAAATACTAAGGCTTTTTTATTTATGCACCTATAGCAATCAAATTTACACTGCTTATATTTCAGTATATATTAAAACTTTTGTCACGACAACTTTTTGAAATAGTTACTAGTAAGAATTTTACAAGGTCTAAAAAATCGTACCCTTTTTAGTATTAAAAAAATTTCAAAATGTGCATATTAATTACAAAATACTTTTTTTCTATGAAAGCCATCACAATTCCCTCGTGACAAAAGTTGTATTTTTGCATCAAGAACATTTACTGAAAATATGGTTGGCATTGTTTAATAAATGAAAAAGTAGTAGACTTTTTAGTGTTAAAAACATGCGAACTGAGAAAAACAGCAAAAAGTAATGAAAACTAGGTCAGGAAAGTACCATATGGGTGTAAACTGCAAAGCCGATTGTAAGCTTTGGGTGTTTCCAAGATGTAGGAAATTAAGTTTATTAGATACATGAGAAATCCAACTTTATAAAACGTTTCATAGAGAGCTTGTAAGATTGGGAAAAATTGATTATTTTTAATTAATAGGGTCATAAAAATCGTAATTCAAACACATAAAATATTTTTTTCTCTTTAAAGCTATTATTTTCTTTATACAAAAATGGACAAAGTATCCAAAAGTGCAAAAAACCCATCATGACGAAAAACAAAGAAATTTTGTGATTTTTTTTCCGCGCATATCCCCTTTAGACATTTCAGTAGGCCCTAATTATTATTAATAAATAAAGATTAGCGATGTTTTTATCAGATGCAACCAAGCTCATTTACTTTAGAGGCCATCTTCTTTAAGTTTTTTGGTAACATTTTTAGCTAGAGATTCAGGGGAAACCACTCTAACCGCAGTTTATATATTATATAGCAAATCTTGCTCGCAAACAAGGCTGTTTTAAAGTCAATTTCTGGCCTTTATTGATATATTTAAAAATTGCTTTTGGTTTATTATTCAATTATCTGTTATATTTGACAAAAAAATATAATAATATAGGCCTACTTCTTGTATTAATTAAAGCCATATTAATGAGCCACCTTTCTCGCACATTACTAGCCTTGGCCGATGTACCTAAAATGATAGATTACCCAAGAATCTAGATAGAATCTAGAATTCTAGATCTATCAGCTATTTCTAGATCTTATCTAGATTCTAGATTTTTATTCTAGATAGATGTTAGAACTTTATTAACCTAATAAATTAATTTAATAGACCTATCTGCTACCTACTACTACTACTAACTACTACTAGTAGATCTATGTTGTTTTTTAAAGTCATTTGTATTAGGGGCCTACTATTTAACTATTAGTTTTGGCCTAGAAAATTTTATACATTTCATAGTAAAAAATCATAGCATTTAGTTTTTCTTGCATGTCCTTTTGACTGCTGGCTGGTTTATTAGATTTTAGATTACTGTTAGTTTTAGGCAACCAACTTTTCAATCTCAATGATAACCTTAATTTCTAACCATAACACTAAACCTGAGATTATAACTGATTAACTACTTACAATCATACATAATGCTAGATCTAATAATACCAATTTTACCATTACCAATACCTTCCCCAACACACCTATTTTCAGAAGAGTCTCTTACCGTATACCGAATACCATATACTCATATAGATCTACTCAATTTAGATTTTTAAAAGTAATGTTTGAAATTGAAATTAAGCTGTTAGGCCTGTTTGTAATTTTAAAAGAGTGAAAATCCAAAATCTCATTGTGGACTGAACTCAGTTAAAATTTATTTAGAAATCACAGTTCTAATAAACAAATTGTAATTTTGAGGGGGTGTGGTAGGCAGAGCTATGACTTAATTTTAGGGTGGTGGGTGGGTCTGACTTCTTTTGAAAAAAGGTAAATATAGTTTAAAAAGCATGTAGTTTATGGATGAGCCCTTTTATATTATTTAATATTTTTGAACATTTTTTATGTGTGATGTAGATTAACAGCTTAAGTTATTTATAGGCTTAGACTTGTCGTCGTTCATAAGTTAAGAAGAGGTTCATTTAATACATTTTGTCAATGTGGTTAACAGATGTAGTAGAGCTTAATACAATACTTAGATATAGAGTACGTTATTAAGGGGTTAGTATTTTGTGAGCATTTTTGGTGTTTGATGTAGTACAACTAACAGCTTTAATAATAATACTTATTTTCTCTGATATAATATAGGCCTACTAGGTGTGTGTGCTGCATGAAGCAACAAATCTAAATATTGATGACTCTTTTTTTCTCAATGAACAGGTCAAAAAAAGCTTGGTAAAGTAATTACACCAGACCCATGGAAAAGCGGTGCACGCAACACAACAGGTTGGTATTATTTATTAATGGTAACATCATGATGCTAAAAATTTGTATTTCATTTTTTACATCTTATCAGTGCTTCTTCTAATTATTATTATGTTAGTGTATTTTATGTAATTTACAATGTCTGTTAGTGGGTTGTTGCACATTTTATTACTTATTTTTTAATCACTTGAAATGCAGCAATTTTCTTCAAACTCTCCAGATACATTTGTCTTTAATGATGATGCAAAAATATCTAATTTTTTATTTCATTAAATGTTCAAGTAAGGATTAAAAAATTAATTAAATGGTTGTCATAACGAAGGGTAGATACCAAATTTAAGTATTAATGATTGCTCGATGAGCCTGTTTACAAAAATAAACTTTATTACACGTCTGAGGGATTTTTCCCCGAAGTGTCAACTACTGACTAAAAAGGGGCAGGTAATTGTCTTTTAGAAATTACTAGCTACTGATTGGGTTTTAACGCAAATAGTTTTAGTCATAGCTTCATTTAGAACAAATTTATAAAGAAGAAAGCAAGTTTGTTTTATTTTCTTATTTTCAGTGCACTTAAACTTATAAGCTTTTTATTATAAAAGTTTTAAGTGTTAGGTTTGGATTAGTTTTAATGGTCAACAACAATACTAAGTTATTAAGTATCAGTTTCCATTTTTTCTTGCCTTTAACTACTCAAGTATATTTTTCATTGATTTTAATTCGTTTGTAAAAGAAATACATATTTATGACTAACATTTTCATTAAAATTTCATGCTTTTGAAAATCTGGCTTAAGATTATGCAAAATATGGTTATGGTTCTCTTTTCTTCTGAGCTAGCTATTTTCTCAATTTTTAAAATTCTTTTGTTGTTAGTCTGATACAGTTTTAATGTCTAATTCTTATTTAGAAAAAACGTTTTTAAAAACCATGCTCACAATTTCAACACTATTTTACATTGCACAATATTGTTTACTCCGTTGTAAAGAGTAAATAAAACAATAGTTATTATGAAAACTGGGACAAGAAAATGTTGACATATTGGTTAGAATGTCTCACCTGAGCTTTTCTTTCTTTCATTAGAAGGGGGAGGCAGGAAGGTTGGGGAAAATAAAGCCCTCACAGCCAAGAAAAACAGGTGAGAATTAGCATAAGTTTAGATAAAAGATAATCAGAAAAAGTGGCAGCTTTTTTTAGTTCATCATAATTCTGGCCCTGCCATAATTCTGACTTAGATCCTTTTATTGACATCTGTGCCAAACATGAATCTCTTCTCTACTGCATTGTCCTTTTGTACAAACTATAATAAATGTTTATTCATAAATTCATATGTGTATTTTTATAATAACTGAACTCAAGTAGTAAGTTAGTCAACTGCCTGCTTCTTTTATTGTCTCTACAGATTTAATCCTTACCAGACTAGCTTTGAAAAATGTCGAATTTGCAAAACATCTGTACATCAGCCTGGATCTCACTATTGTCAAGGTACGCCAAGAGCAGATTAACTTTGCTCTATCATTTACATAGGTTATAATATCTAATGTGTCAAATTATCTTAGCTGTGTCATTTAGTTACATCTAATGTGTCAAATTATCTTAGCTGTGTCATTTAGTTACAGCTAATGTGTCAAATTATCTTAGCTCTATCATTTAGTTACAGCTAATGTGTCAAATTATCTTAGCTGTGTCATTTAGTTACAGCTAATGTGTCAAATTATCTTAGCTGTGTCATTTAGTTACAGCTAATGTGTCAAATTATCTTAGCTGTGTCATTAAGTTACAGCTAATGTGTTAAATTATCTTAGCTGTGTCATTAAGTTACAGCTAATGTGTTAATTTATCTTAGCTGTGTCATTTAGTTACAGCTAATGTGTTAAATTATCTTAGCTCTATCATTTAGATAGGTTTATGTTTATGACTAAATTTGTTTACCATCTTAATTTGACTGCCTTGTTTGTACCCCCTCTGTACCAAACTTCACATTGTGTATTTACCTAAGAAATGTCACTCTTTTTCAGGATGTGCTTATAAAAAAGGTAATACTTTTTTCTAATGGGGCTCTTTGTTTGAAGTAGCATATTCTTGCTCTTATTGTTAAGTGTTTAGCTCAAGAGAATGTTCTTGTAAGTAGAGTGGTTTGTATTCATGGCTACATTTATTTTTATACTGGTCAGTGTAACAAAATATTCTGTTACTTGTGTTGTAGTGAGTAGAGAAAAAACTTGTCTGACTGACTTTGTTGTCTGTTTCAGGAATATGTGCCATGTGTGGAAAGAAAGTATTGGAAACAGCAAACTATCGCCAGAGCTCTACATGATGTGGTTGTTGTATTCGTTGTCACAGGTCTGCTGTAGGTAGCCCTGGGGTCTGTAAATACATTTATTTTATACAGCTAGCCTGAATATTTTGTACAGCTAGCCTGAATATTTTATACAGCTAGCCTGAATATTTTGTACAGCTAGCCTGAATATTTTGTACAGCTAGCCTGAATATTTTATACAGCTAGCCTGAATATTTTATACAGCTAGCCTGAATATTTTGTACAGCTAGCCTGAATATTTTGTACAGCTAGCCTGAATATTTTGTACAGCTAGCCTGAATATTTTGTACAGCTAACCTGAATATTTTGTACAGCTAGCCTGAATATTTTGTACAGCTAGCCTGAACACACCTGAAACTTTTAACTCTGTCAGAAACACCATTGTAGGAAGTTTTAAAATGATTGTTGTCGGTTGTCTTTGAAATAAGGAGAATGTATTTGTAACTATTGATATCATGATTTAAATTTTAAATATATAAATAAACCCTAAAAATTTTATTCATTGTTCATTTCATTAGATAGCTCTTAAAAATGTGTATGTCACAATAAACAAGCATAAAAGAAGTTAATGTGGGGAATTTTTATACCAAATAGACTTTCATTAATTTTTTTTAAAAATCAGCTGTATAAAAAAAAACTACTTACTTAACTAACTTGAGGCTCAAGAATTTTCAGTTTTTAAAATTGCCAGATGCTGTGTTAAAAAAACCCACAGTAGGTTGTCTACCTTACATTATCATTCAGTAGAAGTGTACTGTAAGTAACACATTCTAGTAAACAGCACACTTTCAATTATAGTGTCTACACGAGGTCGTCCAGTGTGCCCTAGGGTCATTGAAATCAGAATGCTGCATTATAGTTTCATGATTGAAAAAAGCATCACAGATAGTAATTTTTGTGTAGTGCTTACAATATAAAAGGACACTGCTGTTGCACAAGATCTGTTGAGCCAGTTTGAAACATTTTATTAAAGTTTTGTTTGACACTTAACAGTGTGTCCTTGGCTTTAGTTTATACCTTTTATGAACTATAATTACCAAATGGCCTCTCCTATTTGAGCCAATGTTTCAATCACATGGCTTTCTACTGCAGTTAAAAAATTTAAATTAACATTTATTCTTCCCACATGAAAATAAAAAAAAGTTGACAACAATAAAACAAATTGATTGCACAGTTTTATTTCAAGTTTCAGTTGCATTATTTTTATTTTTCAATTTTTAAAAAATATTCGAAATGTCAAAATGTGTCAATTATAAATGTGTCAATGACAGAGCCAGATGCCTGACCATTTCCTCTGACACCAATGTATTTACAAGTCAAAGGACAATCCACTGCGGTAGAAATAAAGGCTCACTAAGCTAAAGTGTCTGCACCATGGACTGTTGCAGAGAGATGTCTGACAACAGAGCGCACCAAAAATAAAAACCCACCTGCTTCATTTATCAATTCTAAAAATAATTCTCAGAGAACAATATTGAAATAATAAGGTATACTAATAAATAAATATTTTGTCAACATTGAATTGATCCTTCATGCTAATTGAACATGTAATAAAAACAGTGTGCTAGCAGACTATCAGGGAAGACACAATTCTAACAGACTGACTCTCTAGGGAGAGTTTATTTATATATTTACAAGGTTGAACCCACCAGTCAGTACGTTACTGCAAGAAGTTTTTTCAGGTTCAGTCAATGTCATAGCAGCCAAAATTGGACAGTCAGTCATAGCCTGATGTCAGTTGTAGATGCCATAGATGTCAATGATGACAGCTGTCAGCCCACTTATTTGCTGATGATCATGACAATGATAAAGCTTTGCTGCCTTGGTTAAATAGCTTGGCGAAAGAGAAATTGTAAGGGGGCTACTAAATTGGTACTGGTAGGGTTAATAAATGAACCCTGGTTAAAGTTAAATGAACCGTAACTAGCTACAGAAACAGGATGAGCTAGGACTAGAACTATTCACCTTAGAACAATGTCAAACGTGGCTAGACATAGAGAACTAGGTAGTACCTGTGCAAGCTGTAACTAGTTTCTTGTATTTCTCAACACTTTTTCAACTACTGCATTTTAAAACAATGCAATTCTAAGCATGTTTACACCTCAGATTAAAAGAAGCAATTGATAATTTTAGCACATTTGTGCTTTCATACAAAGAGCAAGGGAGACAAGTGAGTACTTGAATATATATACACCAGGGAGACGTTTAAACACTTGAAAGCTCTATAAGTCTTGAGCTGAGATATTTGGTTTGTAAATATACTGACTGCTGGATAGACATGATATTTACAATAAGTTTATGGCTTATGAGGAAAAAGTAAAAAAAAAAATTTGAGTGCCCACATACCCCAGTTTGTTTAGACAGCGAATTTATCATTAGACTGCGCTGTCTAGGATACTACATAAACTTGCTTAAATATTTTCTCTTGATAATAATTGTACATCAATAGGAATAGTTACATTTGAATTAATTACAACGTGGCACTACCCAATACTTTCACACTCAGCAGTCTGTCTTACCAGGCTAAACAATCTTTACACCAAACAAAATTATTATGCAAACAAAAAATGTTAAAATAATGGTACAAATACACAAATATAAATTAAATAACAGAACAGCAGTTACAGATCATATACATAATTATCTAGGTGAAAGTTGCATAAATCTTTTCAAGTGTGAAATCCAGGTAACCAGCCTATCGTTTGCGTTGGATCTCATTCATGCTGGTAGTCTCAGTGGTGTGGGGCTCGTAAGTTGTAAGGCAAGTACTGACCGATGATGTTAGACCTAATGATGCACCTAGAATACACTGGATCATTTTTTCTATGCCACTTTTCTGTCATTTTTAGAAGGAAGTTTTTTACAGTACAAAAAGAAAACTAATGCAAATTATAAAATGTGCGTTCTTTGCATAGATTATTAAAATAATTATTTTAATGATTAAGCAAAATTAAAAACAAGTTTTAATATAAAACTTTATGAAATACAGGCAAAATGTAATGAGAAAGTTTAACTTTTAAAATTAAAAAATAGCTGTCCTCCAATTAGCAATTTGGTCAAAACTTGCTTCAAAATTTTAAAAAATTTGGTGGGGAAATTTTTTTTACAAATCCGTGAATAAAACAATATTTTAGAGTTATCTTTGCCTGTGTCACATAGTTGACAGCAGTGGTAAAATTAAAGTCTATACATCCGTCCCTCTTTGTCTGGATTTACAAGAGAAACACATGAGAAATTTACAATCAAAAGACCAGCCGTTTCTCTCCATCATTATCCGGTCCTTGGATTCTGTTTCATCTCCATCATCTTCTCTAGAACTTGCACTTCTCTGCTTGCTGTCAGGTAGAGCTTGTATCTGCAAGTTTGTAGGTCACAATTTTAAAAAGTCCTTCTCATCATTATTATTAAAACACCTTAAGCACTAATTCACATATTTTTTAGTAAGGATAATTATTAATAGAAGAAGTGACTTGGTCAATAATGAACACACTAGTAAAACATTCTTTAAATGCTCTAATCTAAGCAAATTTTCCAAAGCGTGTAGGCCGATATAGTTTAGTAGACTACTTTCCATGAAGACAAATTGTAACCCTAGGTTTTAGATGAAATAAGCTAGCTTGGTATACAGGTACATTTTGTATTTAGCAGCATCTAAATGAAAACTGTCAACTAACCTCATCATCTGTCCTCCTCCGGCCTAACCTCTCCACCTCATCAGGGTCATATTTCTTTAACTCAAGAGGCTCATCTTTGACTTTGTACAAATGTCTGGTGTCCACCCATGCTCTATGTGATGACCCCACAGATCTACTTCCTGTCTGACTTGGTTGGCTGGAGGCCGGGGAACTTTCTGTAGAATGGGCAGGGGCTGACCGACTTCTTCTAGTTCCTTTAAGATGCAATATTTTAATTTGTTTGAAATACATTCATGTGCGATCAATTTAGTTCTAGATTTTGAAATTGTTTAATTAATTCCTCAAAAAGGTTAATTTAATGATTTTTTAAATGCGTTTAAATATATACATATACACACATATAAAACATTCATACATTTTTAGTGAAAGTAAATTGTGGTAGGTTTAATAAAATTGTAAATAATGTGGCATAAAAATGATTTTGCAATGGTAGAATACCTTTTCTTTTGGAACCTTTCTTGCATTCTGATGAGGACTCACTTGCGCTATCTTCATGGCCTGATGAGGAACATGTGGCCTCACTGTCTCGCAGCATGCTCTCATACCCACTGCTGGTTCCCCCGTGTAGGTTCTCAGTCTTGGTGCAAGGTCTTGAGTGGCCAGGGTGGACCTCTGTGCTGATTGTGCTATAAATAAAATTTGCCCAGTTAGAAAGTGTAAATGTGCAACTAGCAAGTAAATTATCCAATTGGAAAATAAAGTTTGTGCAAAAATGCGAGACACAAAGGAAATTAACCTAATTAGAAATTTTAAACAATTATAGGAAACCCAGTGATTAAAAATGACTTTGTACATGCATTTGATAAAACTATTTGTTTTATTAAGACTCATGTCTTGAAACTGGACTTTGCTGTCCTAAATTTAAGCTTGCACAAAATCTTTTAATGAACATTTTTCTTAAGAAGCTGTGTATGGTATAAAATAATTGTTTTTGTACTTGAATAAATTCAGTAAATAATAAAATTATAATTGAAATACAGCAAGTAATTGACTCAATTATTTGAAGCACAAAGTTTTACTGTAGGGGTTATTAAAAGATTGAATTACCTGTTATCACTGCCATGTCCACTGCTTGAGTGGCTGGGGGTCCTCGGCTTAGTCACAGTGGCATATGGAGATAACAGTTTCTTTTCATGGGCAACTATTCCACTATCATTTCCACTGTCAGAGTCATTTCCCTTGCCCCTGTGGACAAGCTCGGATAATTTTCTACCACTGCCAGCTTTAGTTTCCTTTTTTCTGGCTTTGCTGTCTTTTGTTGATGGGGAGGATGTACGAGATGAGCAAAATGATGGCAATTTGCTGGTGGAGCCATTCTGGCTTTTGCTGCCTGGCTTTTGAGCTGGAGATGATTTAGTGCTAGAGACCACAGGGCTTGATGTAGCAGAGGAGACGGGGGAAGTGGCGGAGGAGACGGGGGATGTACCCGATGATGAGGCGCAGGCCTTGTCATTTTTTGAGAATTTACTTTTTAAACTGGGACTCACAGCCGTAGGGTGTTTGCCAGCTTTCTGTGGGCTGTCTTTGACCACCGCAGCCGGCTGTTTGGCCACGCAGTAGATTGATCGGCTGGAGGACTGCGGACTAGAGCTGGGCTTGGGAAGCCCACTTTGTTTCATGACAGGAGACTGCTTGGCTGGAAGTGGAGGTTTGTTTTTGGTGCCAAGTTTTGGTGAGGGCAGGTACCCTGAGACATGGCCGTCACCTTTCCCTGACTGCACGTCCTCATCCAGCCCCAATCTTTTGGATGGGAAATCAGGATCAGACGTGACATACATGGCCTCTACAGACATTCCGGTTAAATTATTGACATGCATTTTACCAAGTGTTTCCTCCTCAAAGGCTCTCATTAGGTTAGGGTTAGAAGCTCCATCAGGTTTACGACTGAGTAGAGGTTTGGTCACCTCAAGCATCTCCTGGTCAGCATCAGAGAGGGCAGGTGAGACATCTCTCTTGAGGCAGCCGCGGGCTAAATGGCGATTGAGCTGGGCAGTTTGTTTGGACTCGGTCAGAGCTTTAGAATGTTGGACAAGGAGGGACTCAGACTCAGCGTTCTGGTGGTCTCTCTCAACATCATCGTGGTTGCTGCAGGATAAGCTGCTGAAGGTCTCGTTGTCCAGCTCAGCGGCCAGCCCTGAGCCATCCTTGGTCTTCATGTGCTCCAAATGCTCGTCCACTTCCATTTCATAAATAGATTCCCGGTTGAGCATGGAGGCATCAAAGCTGCTGTCTAGACTGGTATCCAGGATCATATTGCACTTGTTCACAGCCAGAGTATCTGCCCCATCATCACTGTCAGACCTGACGCCGTTCTCCTCCGCCATTCTCTCGAAATCTGAATCATGTTCTGTGTTGGTCTCGGCATCCGCCATAGAAATATTACACAAAGTGCTGACAGGCTGGGCCTGCTGGGTGCTGGAAGGTTCCTTCTGCTCTGTGGCCACAGACTTGATCCACTGCACCACCCTGTGGGTGGGGCTGGCTGACCCAGGCAGCTGACCTTTCACCAGTTTTGGAGCTTCCATTTTATTGCACTTTCTAGCTAAGGCTGGGGAAGGACTAGGAGAGAGTGACTGATTTGAGGAAGGTTTCTGCTCTGAGAGTTTTTGTTTTTTGCTGGACACCATAGGACTGGATGAGGCATCCTGCTTGAGATCTGACCGCACGTCCACAGCATCTTTGCTGGAGCCAGAGGACTTGGCCTGGTCATCACTGTTGAAGCTGGCTGGACGAGATTCAGCAGGAACAACCACCATGGACGTGTCGCTGTCCACACTGACCGTGCTGTCAGGTCTGTCCTTCACCTCCATGATGTGTTTAACCAGGGCTTGTTTTAAAGCTTTTTCGTTGACCCCGGCACATTTGGCTGGGTGGCTAGTTTTGCTGGGGGCTTCTGTCTTGCTGCATGTGTGCATGGGTTGGGAGGGGTTGCTGCCACTGACCATTTCCTTGGGGCCGTCCACCCACTGTTCCTCCGCGTCCACCTTCTTAGAGGCAACACGACGGGAAGACGAATCAGACCTGTGATGGTGGTGGTGGGCTGCGGTCTCTCCCCGGCTGTGATGCCCCTCGGTGCGAGTTGAGGGTGCAGCTGTCAGCACGGACTGGGGCTGCTGCTGCACTACGAAGGCTGGGGGCCCATCTACCCAGAGCTCACTGGCTTTGGACTCTGGGTAAATGGCCGCTCCGGGGCCATCAATCCACTGCTCACCCTCCAACGGCTGCTGTTTATCGTGGATGGCCTTGGCCAACTTGCTCTGCGATGAATGACAGTGAATCTTGGTAGGCTTCTCCTGCCAGGGGCTGCCTGCTGCGGCACTGTCTGTGTTGGCCAGTCTGCCATCAGCACTCATCTTTGTGTGCATGCCCATTCTGTGACCCATTTTGACCAAGCCTGGATTGGGGGACCCAGGCATTGATGGGGGCTGCCCTAGTTTCATAGAGGCACCGGGGGGAGGGGACATGATAGTTCTTAGTGGGAGTCTGGACTCAAGGCTTCTCACACTGCGACCACTGTCAGAGTCATCACCAGACGACCTTGACCCACTGGGTCTCCTGGGAAGGCGTGGGTTAGTCCTAGGCACATGCCTAGGGGGCCCTTCATTGTCTGTTAGTTCTCTGTCACTCAGGGACTGGCCGTTGGCCCCTATGTAGATGACAGTGTCACATGACTGTTCGCTGCTGGACGTGTAGTCAGGGTCTGAATGAGAGGAGGAATAGAGCACGTCCTCCCTCAGAGTTCCCATCCTCAGGCCCCTGTACGGACGTCTGAACTTGACATCACCATCAGTTGAACTGTCCTCAGAGCTGGTACTAGAAAACTGAAATTAAAAGTTTCCAAATTTAATTTCATCTTTGTTTCAAACAAATGTTAATTGTATCTTGGTTTTAAATAAAGCTAAACTGATATCTTTTATTTCTAATCAAGATCATATTTCACAAATTTTGTTTTCAATTTTAACTATAAGCTTTAATTATATACCAGCAGCTATTTAAAGATTAAACAGACCAAAAATAATCTAGAATTTAAAATAAAAAATCAATATTTGATATTTGTGTTGGATTGTAGGATAGTTACTGGGAGTGTATAAGAGTGACTGGGACTGTACAAGAGTGACTGTGAGTGTATTGGAGTGACTGGGAGTGTCTGAGAATGCTATGAAACCATCAGGATGTCTACAGACGTTCACATGTCAACTAAGTGTCTAAGGTTCTGGAGGTGACTGGGAGTGAGCACTCACTTTGGTCCTACGCCGCTTCATCCTATGGACACGTGCCGCCAGCTGGATGACCTGCAGGGTCTCGTTGTAGTGCGGCACGGCCGAGGACACGTGCGCAATCATGCACGTGCGACACGAAAGGTTTCCTAGAGAGTCTCTCAACAGTTGCGCAATCTTGCTGTCTCTGAAATACATAATGTCAAAGTTCAAGATGGTGATGTAAATTACACTTGAGGTCAAGGTTGTGGGGTGGTACAAAAACAGGGGAGGATGTAATTAAAAGAGTAGCTGCTAAAAGAAACGAAAACCGTCCGTGCCGACAGAGGGGCTGTAAATAACGTTCATAAAAAATATTCATGGCAAAAAAAACCGTCACGTGATTGTAATAAAATACAATACATTGTGTTCATAAATTTCGTAATGCAAAAATCGATAATAGAAAGTCGAGTAGATAATTATCTCCCTTTGGAATAGCCTCCCTTGCAATCAGTTTTTATTTGGAGCAACATGTGGTTTGTCTGTCTATCTCCTGTTTCCATCAGTCATTCTGTCACGGCTTATATTTTACCTCATCCCTCGACAGCTTGCGGGGTGCCACAAGTGGCTACCCACACGAGATTTCACTTGAACAACTTTTAAATGTTCACCAACCGCCCTCAAAAAATGAATCGTTTGACTGATTTGTTTTGTTTACTTCAAGAACAGAGTACTTCCGGTTCACGGATCTTTAAAGCCCTGGCAATGGTTTAAAGTCTTGACTGGTGTTGGCAACGATTCTATGGGCTATTAATCTTCATATTGCTTGAACGCTTGAAATGTTACTATTTATATTGTTTTGAGGTAAGGGGGGGGGGGGGGTAGTCTAACTTTTTAAACTAACCTTTAACAACAGAGGAATGCAGACAATGCAGTAAAAACAAAATGTACTGATTTTAAAGCTTCGAGTTTACGCTGCCCATTGAGAATTTAGCCGACTGCGGTGTAGTCTAAATATAGAACATAAACAAGAAGTGAGCTTGCACACCACGTGACCACAATGACACGGTGACTGGCCGAGATGTTAATACGTGACACGCTCGAACAAGCACGCTACACATTACATTTTTTTACGCTAATTGACCATCACAATTTCTTACAACTCATTGACCATTGCGCGTTATGGCCGGATGCCTAACGCATAAATCCCCGAACAATAATTGGCAAATATTTGGATAAAATTAGTAATGTCTGTAAAAAAAAAATGAGCATCACGGTTTTGAAAACTGATTAATTGAATTTTTTCCTCATCCATTCGTCCTCTGCCCCAAGCCTGCACCTCATTATCTCCGCTTTCATCTATGATCCGCCACTCAACCCCCACCCCCTTCAACACTAAAAATATATTCACAAGGCTCCCCGAATGTTTTAATCAAAACCTAATGGCAAGCAGGGGATGGGGCTGGGGTGACCCTAATGGCGAGCAGGGGATGGGGCTGGGGTGACCCTAATGGCGAGCAGGGGATGGGGCTGGGGTGACCCTAATGGCGAGAAGGGGATGGGGTGACCCTAATGGCGAGCAGAAGATGGGGCTGGGGTGACCCTAATGGCGAGATGGAGCTGGGGTGACCCTAATGGCGAGATGGAGCTGGGGTGACCCTAATGGCAAGATGGAGCTGGGGTGACCCTAATGGCGAGCAGGGGATGGGGCTGGGGTGACCCTAATGGCGAGCAGAAGATGGGGCTGGGGTGACCCTAATGGCAAGATGGAGCTGGGGTGACCCTAATGGCAAGATGGAGCTGGGGTGACCCTAATGGCGAGCAGGGGATGGGGCTGGGGTGACCCTAATGGCGAGCAGAAGATGGGGCTGGGGTGACCCTAATGGCAAGATGGAGCTGGGGTGACCCTAATGGCGAGCAGGGGATGGGGCTGGGGTGACCCTAATGGCGAGCAGAAGATGGGGCTGGGGTGACCCTAATGGCGAGATGGAGCTGGGGTGACCCTAATGGCAAGATGGAGCTGGGGTGACCCTAATGGCGAGCAGGGGATGGGGCTGGGGTGACCCTAATGGCGAGCAGAAGATGGGGCTGGGGTGACCCTAATGGCAAGATGGAGCTGGGGTGACCCTAATGGCAAGATGGAGCTGGGGTGACCCTAATGGCGAGCAGGGGATGGGGCTGGGGTGACTCTAATGGCGAGCAGAAGATGGGGCTGGGGTGACCCTAATGGCGAGCAGAAGATGGGGCTGGGGTGACCCTAATGGCGAGATGGAGCTGGGGTGACCCTAATGGCGAGCAGGGGATGGGGTGACCCTAATGGCGAGCAGAAGATGGGGCTGGGGTGACCCTAATGGCGAGATGGAGCTGGGGTGACCCTAATGGCAAGATGGAGCTGGGGTGACCCTAATGGCGAGCAGGGGATGGGGCTGGGGTGACTCTAATGGCGAGCAGAAGATGGGGCTGGGGTGACCCTAATGGCGAGATGGAGCTGGGGTGACCCTAATGGCAAGATGGAGCTGGGGTGACCCTAATGGCGAGCAGAAGATGGGGCTGGGGTGACCCTAATGGCGAGCAGAAGATGGGGCTGGGGTGACCCTAATGGCAAGATGGAGCTGGGGTGACCCTAATGGCGAGCAGAAGATGGGGCTGGGGTGACCCTAATGGCAAGATGGAGCTGGGGTGACCCTAATGGCGAGCAGAAGATGGGGCTGGGGTGACCCTAATGGCAAGATGGAGCTGGGGTGACCCTAATGGCAAGATGGAGCTGGGGTGACCCTAATGGCGAGCAGGGGATGGGGTGACCCTAATGGCGAGCAGGGGCTGGGGTGACCCTAATGGCAAGATGGAGCTGGGGTGACCCTAATGGCGAGCAGGGGATGGGGCTGGGGTGACCCTAATGGCGAGCAGGGGATGTGGCTGGGGTGACCCTTGTCTAATGGCGAGCAGAAGATGGAGCTGGGGTGACCCATAATGGCGAGCAGAAGATGGGGCTGGGGTGACCCTAATGGCGAGCAGAAGATGGGGCTGGGGTGACCCATAATGGCGAGCAGAAGATGGGGCTGGGGTGACCCATAATGGCGAGCAGAAGATGGGGCTGGGGTGACCCTAATGGCGAGCAGAAGATGGGGCTGGGGTGACCCTAATGGCGAGCAGAAGATGGGGCTGGGGTGACCCATAATGGCGAGCAGAAGATGGAGCTGGGGTGACCCATAATGGCGAGCAGAAGATGGGGCTGGGGTGACCCTAATGGCAAGATGGAGCTGGGGTGACCCTAATGGCGAGCAGAAGATGGAGCTGGGGTGACCCATAATGGCGAGCAGAAGATGGGGCTGGGGTGACCCATAATGGCGAGCAGAAGATGGAGCTGGGGTGACCCATAATGGCGAGCAGAAGATGGGGCTGGGGTGACCCATAATGGCGAGCAGAAGATGGAGCTGGGGTGACCCATAATGGCGAGCAGAAGATGGGGCTGGGGTGACCCATAATGGCGAGCAGAAGATGGGGCTGGGGTGACCCTAATGGCAAGATGGAGCTGGGGTGACCCTAATGGCGAGCAGGGGATGGGGTGACCCTAATAGCGAGCAGGGGCTGGGGTGACCCTAATAGCGAGCAGGGGCTGGGGTGACCTTTATCGCCGGGCTCTTTCATGTGGACATCAGTGCATGTGCTGGACAACTTCCCGTTGGGGCTGTGGGGGGGGGGGGGGTGGAGCAGTGGGCAGCCATCTTGCTCGCCGTTCATTCACTCAAATCAATGTAAAGAAACACAATAAAACAACTCTCGCTAGAAACGTTGATAATAGTTTAGATCTGTCATAGTGGTTAAAAGGTACTTGGTGAGTCATATGAGTATATACACATTACAAAACAAACTCATCAGGTAAATAGAAGAGAACATGAGCAGAGATATATTCTATATGCAGTACATCATGTTTAGGTAGCTTAATATACGGACTGTGCTGTTAAAAAAATAAAACTGTAATGAAGGTAAATTTGTTGCCCAAGAAAATAGGCTGGTAGTCTGCATGTGTTAAGATGGGTTTGGTATGCAACTTGTACCAATGTATGGATGGGGGAGGGAGGGGTGTTTAAATAATTAATACATAACACAAAGCGACAAGGGCAGTTTGCGAAATGTTCCTGAAAGAATACCAAATACTAGAAACTCGTTCTATTCGACTAGAGTTTGATTTCGTGGGGTTCTCTACATAGAACGTTAGAGATGTTTTTACAAATCTTAAAAAAGGCAAAAGCCCAAAGTCTAATTTGAGAACGTCGTTAGGTGTGCGGGTGTTGAAAAAGGGGGCGTGTTTGGTGTGCGGGTGTTGAAAAAGGGGCGTGTCCAGATGATGAACAAGATGAGAAAAAAAATGTACATCAAACATTTCTGGAATTTTCTGGTCGTTCGTTCCTTTAGCTGTTGGGAGAAATCTCCAGACAATTTTCTAAAGGGACATTTCACGCGAACGCGTTGGGGCTAATTCAATGGGAGAAATGAAAGACACTTTAGCGTCTAGTTAACGTTATTGCCCCCCCCCCCTCCCCCCTTACACGGCTCCTACAACTAATTTCATTTCCTCTGTTATTGATGACTAATTATTTCATTAAATATCTCACACGCCTAAATCAGGTGCTCAAAAAAATGCCTGTGACTTAAAGGAACCAAAATATAATTATTTTTTATGTAGTCGCCCCACCCCCTCCCCAACTCGACGGTTTAGATATTATCGTTGTTAATGAAGTTGAAAATTGCTTGGCTCGCTAAAACGAATTTTGTAAAAATAATGAAGACTGGGCTAGCTGTTCACAGGCAAGTGGTGGTAGTAAAGAGTGGGGGGGGGGGGAGGGAGGGTATTCTGGAACAATTATTATGGTTCAAGCACTTTCGTAAAATTTAGTTTTTCTTGGTTATTTTTTTTTTAATCAACCTCTGCAGACGATAAAGGAAGAACAGGTGGAAGACGGTGAAAGCTGTGCACGTTTCTCGGGGGAAAAGCGATCGCTTGACGGTAAAAGTGGGAGATACGTTGCTAGGTAGTCGAGATGATGCTAACAAAAAAATTTGAAGATTTGACCTGAATAAATATCGGTCAACTTCTAGAATCTTCTGGTTTGTTTTCTCACCCGTTATCTAGATGACATAGCACCCAGCCTTCTAGCTACGCCCGAGAATCGTTTACCAAACCTAAAAACCTCGTGACCTGAGGTTTATTTTTAGGCTGTCGATCTCGCGAGGTCGGCCATTGTTGCAGGATTCGAGCGCCCTGCCTATGGATGCACTGTTTTAGCGTTGTTGACTTGACCAGGTGGAGCGATAACAAACCTGATTCCCGGCTGTTCCCGCTTGGCCTGAATATTTCCCGGCCTAATTGCCCGCTTTGTGGTCTACCCCCAAGTTAAATGAATCGCTAATTACTTTAATTACTCTCATCAGGAAATATTTTGATTGGAGAAATATAAGACGCCAGGATGTTTCTGATTTGGGAAGTGGTCTGAAAAATAGACGGGTATGTCAGACAGAAGAATTACCGACAGACAGACTGGCCCGACAGACTGGTTGTCTGACAGACTGAATGTCAGACAGACGTTGGGTCCATCACGTGCTGTGAGACAGGATTCCTCTAGGTAAATGACGTAGAGATCAAATTAGAGCCAGCACGAGGTTAATTAAGTGGTGACCGGCATTAAATAGTCGGGTACCCAGGCCTGATCCAACATGGTATTCTGGGCGGCTAAAGTAGGGGACGCGCCGTCAAAATATGCGATGACTAATTAATATTTTGGTGTGTGTGTGTGAGGTGTGTGTGTGGGGGGGGGGGTGATAGCTGGATGAGGCGGTTCCCCTGGTAACTTTGTTGTGTGGGCATTTGTGATAACACACCGAGAAATTTAATAGAAGAACTTGGATTCGATCCTAAGACCTCAGCCGGGTTCGCCACAGAATATCTCTAGAACTGACCCACGTTTGAGGACCGGAATATTCAGTGCCCCACCCTGCTGCGGGAAATAGGGAAGACATGTTGGAATCGATCCCTTTATAGAAATCGAGTTTATGTTTGCCAATTAAGTTTGCTTCAGCTTTTGGGAGGATCGAGATAAATGTGGTATCGATTACAGTACGGTTGAACGCAACAACGTAAAGATGGCGTTCAGTGGAGAAAGCCCTTATCCTAATATCCCGGTGAAATCGAGGGTAAATTCATTCCTTCACACGGATAGCAGGAATAGATACGGACATCTGCACATCCGGTTAGCGCATGAATCATGGGATACTGTCGTCAAGTGGCCAGGACCACATGGCCGTCAGCTCGGGCGGAAAAAATGGCTGGCAGTTAGTTGGGATTTGGGCGGCGATATAAATCTCTGACACCCCCCCCCCCCCCCCCACAACAACTCCCACCATGGGCGGCGACGCTGAACCCATTTGGTGGTGCCGACTTCCGGCTCGTTCTAAAGACGTGTATGCTCTGTTGATTCCAATCTCAGCAGGAGAGAAAATAAATTAATGGGCTCGTCAGATTCGTCGCACTTGGTCAACTCTACCCTAGGCGTGTTGGACTACCAGCATTTTGGGTTAGAATCAACTCTACCAGCGTGTTAGAGTCAACTCTAACAGCATGTTGGAGTCAACTCGAGTCAACTCTATCAGCATCTTATGTTAAGAGACTATCCGCGAGTCAACTCTACCAGCGTGTTAGAGTCAACTCTACCAGATCTTGTGTTACTTAAAATCTAACAGCGGTGACTCCTAAAATGAAAATATGCACACATAACATTCACATGTGTTACATATTTTAATAATCGCGAGTTAACTATTAGATCCCTTATCCTATATACAAAAATATTCTAACTACAAACATTTCTATAGTCTATTCTTTATCACCGAAGTAAAATGGTAAAATAAATTCATAAAAAACGTTTTAATAACAAGCTTTTATGTAATAATGCACTAAAAAGTAGAAAATAAATTATAGACTACTATTTAAATAACTATAAAGAAAAGCGTGGGTCACTTTAGTATCTATTGGATACCTTTACTAATGTTAAGGAAGACACCGACGCTTTTCTTTTTAGTTATTTAAATAGTAGTCTATAATTTATTTTCTACTTTTTAGTGCATTATTACATAAAAGCTTGTTATTAAAACGTTTTTTATGAATTTTTTTCAGTACTTTACACGTTTTTTTTAGAATAGAGTTACATGACTAAAAACCATTGCGCGCCTACTGAACGTGATGGCGCAGCCATTGAACGTGATGACTCGTGTGGTGTGGTTGGATAGACATGCCTACTAATTCGGTCCAAATTTTAATTAATTCATAAAAAATTAATTAGGCATCCAATTAAGTCAAATTTAATTTCAGATTGCATTGTCTTCATGTCTTGACCCACGTGCCAAATGTGATTCGTATCGGTCAAGTAGAAGTGTCCGAATTTTCACTCCGGCGTTTCGAACTAGACAGACAGACTGACGACAGACTGACGACAGAGGAAGTGAGTTAAATAAAAGCTTGTAAAAAAAAAATTCATAAAAAACGTTTTAATAACAAGCTTTTATGTAATGATGCACTAAAAAGTAGAAAATAAATTATAGACTACTATTTAAATAACTATAAAGAAAAGCGTGGGTCACTTTAGTATCTATTGGATACCTTTACTAATGTTAAGGAAGACACCCACGCTTTTCTTTATAGTTATTTAAATAGTAGTCTATAATTTATTTTCTACTTTTTAGTGCATCATTACATAAAAGCTTGTTATTAAAACGTTTTTTATGAATTTTTTTTTCAGTACTTTACATGTTTTATCTACAATAGAGTTACATGACTAAAAACCATTGCGCGCCTACTGAATATCACGTTCAGTAGGCGCGCAATGGTTTTTGAACGCAGCCATTACGTGGTCGTGATGGCGCAGCTATTGATGACGCGTGTGGTGTGGTTGGCTAGACATGCCTACTAATTCGGTCCAAATTTTAATTAATTCATAAAAAATCAATTAGGCATCCAATGAAGTCAAATTTAGTTTCAGATTGCATTGTCTTCATGTCTTGACCCACGTGCCAAGTGTGAATCGTATCGGTCAAGTAGAAGTTTCCGAATTTTCACTCCTGCGTTTCGGTCTAGACAGACTGTCGACTGACGAGGAAGTGAGTTAAATAAAAGCTTGTAAAAAGGATGGTTTTTAAATTTTTTAAACCGTGTAAGACTGGTTCGTAGTTATTTCCCTTCTTTCTGTCAGCACGCGCTCACGTGACTAAATACAACGTGACTTAAGTACTCACGTACGTAGACTAGAGTTTGTGCTTCAGCTTAATGATCAAACTGTTCGGGGGAGGGGTGGGGTGGGGAACATAATTCTGAACTTGTGATTGCCAATCGATGGGAACATTGAACTGGTCAAAAATGGCCGTAAATATGGGACCGGTAACGAATATTTATAAAAATGAGTTTGGCATGAGTAAGATGCATAGGTCAAGCGGTCAGAATATTTATGACCAAAGAACTAATTACCAGCTCCCCTCCGTCCTGCAGAAATGCCCCATTTGGGCCCGTCCACGGGCATAAACATGGCCCATAGAACATGGGCAGCGCGACAGGAAGTGGTGGTACCCGCCCCCTGCACCCCGGTCTAGTGGTCATCTCTACAGGGCAGGCCCGTTCAATGGGTCAGCTGAGACTGCCCGGGGGTGAGTCAATGCCGGTCATCGTGAGTCAAGGCAAACAGACGTGTGTGGCGGGAAACGGGCACGATTTACACGTGCATATATACATAGTCGTCTGCCAAATCAGATGGTCCGTATAATGTTCACAGCCCTGTACACAGTGTATAGGGACGCCCCTCCCCTCCCCCCCCACACACCAACTATGAAAGGGTTATTCCCCCCTCCCATATTTATCACGGAGAACTTCGAGTTGTCTACAATGTTTGCAGTTGTAAGTGTGTATAAGCTGGTTGGTCATTTTGTCACGTGTGCATATAGATCTATATATAGCTGGAAACTGTACGTGTCTTGTGTTGTGATGTAGGGGTGGGGGCGGCTATGGGAGACGTTACTTGCCACATTAAAAAGTATTTTAAAATCAACAGGTGTGAGTAGGTGTATAGATGATGTGTGTGCTATGGCATGGCAATTAAAGGTAACATTGTGATGATTGGTTGCTGTATAGATGTTTGCAAATATGTCTGATGTAAAGATGTCTGCCTGATGTAAAGATGTCTGTCTGATGTAAAGATATCTGCCTGATGTAAATATGTTTACTGATGTAAAGATGTCTGCCTGATGTAAAGATGTCTGTCTGATGTAAAGATGTCTGTCTGATGTAAAGATGTCTGCCTGATGTAAATATGTTTACTGATGTAAAGATGTCTGCCTGATGTAAAGATGTCTGTCTGATGTAAAGATGTCTGTCTGATGTAAAGATGTCTGTCTGATGTAAAGATGTCTAATGAAGGTGAGTACTGACCTGTGAGGCACGTGTCTCTGACCATTGAGCAGCGCCATGATGACGTTGCCAAGCGCAGACAGACTGAGGGACACATTGTTGGGGTCCTTTGACTTAGAGGCTGTTCCAAGGTCAATTAGATGTAACCTTGACCTTCCTCCGGCCACTGAAACAAAAGAAACAAGGTCATGATCACGTGTCATCTTTGGTTAGGTAACATCAAGTTAACTTGGACAAGATGGGGTTGGGTCACCTGCGGTCAAACGTATGTTTTAGTGGGACAACTATCGAACCATTTCAATCAAACGAACCGTCCCACATTAGAAGCCACATAGGTAACAAACTTACCGGACGACTTTTAACTTTTAACTAAACACCATTTGTATACAGACAGCTGATCAGCAGGGTAGTTAGAAAACTTCAGACTTAGACGAACTTCACGAAACAAAAATGGGTGTTGTTTTGTTCGCTGATTGTGTGGGAATGTTGTTGTCATACGACCCTGACGAAAATGTTGCGAGTTGTTTGAAAAGATCTGGTCTGATGTTCTGTATCTAAACAAAACGGTGTTTGTTTTGATCTTGTTACAGGGCGCGCGTTGCCAAAGGCTACACAAGACACGCTAACCACGGTCAAATATTCCTGCTGAATTCATGTGAACTATACTGTTCGCAAACAAGCAATAAAATAAACGAACAACACTTCAATTCCTTCTCATCACGTGTGTAGGACAGAGTCTGTAGGTATATAGAGTCTACACGTCTTAACCTCTCGCTCCACTGTTGGGCCAAGCCCATTAAACCACTTCAAGGGTCGGGGAAGAGGGATGAGGGGGAAGGGAGACCAGAGAAGGGGGGGGGGGGAAATGCTGGTGCAGGAAAAAAAATCAAACGATCAGATCTGGTGCAGAGAAAGATGAACGGCCGTGCACTACACTACACCAAGCTACACTATACCAAGCTACGTTGACTACACTTAACTAAGCTACATTGAAATTACTATACTACATCAAGCTACATTGAAATTACTACACTACACCAAGCTACATTGAAATTACTACACTACACCAAGCTACATTGAAATTACTACACTACACCAAGCTACATTGAAATTACTACACTACACCAAGCTACATTGAAATTACTACACTACACCAAGCTACATTGAAATTACTACACTACACCAAGCTACATTGAAATTACTACACTACACCAAGCTACATTGAAATTACTACACTACACCAAGCTACATTGAAATTACTACACTACACCAAGCTACATTGAAATTACTACACTACACCAAGCTACATTGAAATTACTACACTACACCAAGCTACATTGAAATTACTACACTACACCAAGCTACATTGAAATTACTACACTACACCAAGCTACATTGAAATTACTACACTACACCAAGCTACATTGAAATTACTACACTACACCAAGCTACATTGAAATTACTACACTACACCAAGCTACATTAAAATTACTACACTACACCAAGCTACATTGAAATTACTACACTACACCAAGCTACATTGAAATTACTACACTACACCAAGCTACATTGAAATTACTACACTAAACTAAACTACATTGAAATTACTACACTAAACTAAACTACATTGAAATTACTACACTAAACTAAACTACATTGAAACTACTACACTACACCAAGCTATATTGAAATTACTACACTACACTAAGCTACACTGAAATTACTACACTATACTAAGCTACACTGAAATTACTACACTAACTCTACACTTACACTCGGCGGTGTAATAAAAGTACAACACTTGTTTATATATAATCTAAATAAAGTTTAATTTTATCTAATTTGCATGGGTTAGCGGTAAAGAAAAAAATACATACAGAGCAAAAAAAAAGTTTTGAATATCACAAGAAATCCTCAAAGCTTTAAATCCTCTATCCTGCCTGCCGTATCCTTATCAACACATATCCCTATCCTATCGTGTATCCTCACACCACCGCCATATCTTCTAGCCGCACGCGACGATAGGTCAAGTCCACAGAAAATATTCGGGAGTCTGAAAGGTGGGCCGACCACGGGGTGGTGGGGACTGAAAGGTGGGTCGACCACGGGGGGTGGGGGTGGGGGGGTAACTGGCCAAACCACTGGAAGGTGCGGTAGGTTGGTTACCCCCTCCCCCCACACACCGCGCCAGACATCAACATGTTTTCTAAGCAACATCCCCCCCATGTCTAGCAAGCCCCACCCACATGTCTATCACCCCCCCCCCCCCGTGACATATTTTCTTGAGAGAGTCCTACTGCAGTAAACCAGTGTAAGTGTGCGGTAACCAGAGACGCCGCTCACGTGATCAAATGGCCAACAGGCCAGGGTTCGCGCCGCCGGCAGAACAATGCCACCTCTGGCCACCAGACACCAAGGTCAGACCTGGCCCAGTCCTCTTGGCCACATTCCGGCACTCAGAGGGCCATCGAGAGGTGAGGTCTGGCGACGGTCAAGGACGGCAGTAAACCGTTGTCGAACACGTCTGTTCATTGGTTGGGTAACATCACACAGACCGATGACGTAACAGGCCAGTAATCATGACGTTGCTAACACGCAACATTCTCAAAAGTGACGGAGTATCCGGCTCTACAGACACTTCTATCAAGACGTTCGCTTCTTAATTAGGCTAATTAGTGCTCAACAAGTGGTGTTGGTGTTAATTGTTCACCGACCACTTCATCCCCACTTTTCTTTAACCAGAGCGCATCATTCTTATAAGTGTCTTCGTCTGTGTCTTCGTCTGTGTCTTCATCGAATCATCTGGTGGTTGTCGCCCCCCCCCACAGTGATCGCAACCACACACATCCCCCACATATCCCCCCACACACACCAGTCGCTGCATTCATGTGTAGGACGGCGCCACATTAAGTCTGATAAACAAACTAAACCAATGTGCTAATGGTACTATAATTGCTAGAAATGTTGACTGACCACTGGTCACATTGTCTGAACATTGACCGACCGCTTGCAACATTGTCTGACCACTGGTCTCATTGTCTGACCACTGGTCACATTGTATGACCAGTGGTCACACAGTCTAGCGGATCAATTCGCGACGTGATTACCTTTATATTCGGCCGTTGAAAGTTTCCCTCTGAAGACAATAAAATCAAACAACAATAGTTTGAACACTGTATCGATAAATTCCGATCATGACGTCAGACAGAGAGATCCATTCAGTGTTGTCTAATGTTTCCATAGGTTTCCATACATGAAAATATGCGCGTTGTTAAATGTTTATTGTAAGTGTTGACTAATGTCACCAAGGTTTCCATACATAAATATATGTGGTGTTACATATGTGTTGACTAATGTCACCAAGGTTTCCATACATAAATATATGTGGTGTTACATATGTGTTGACTAATGTCACCAAGGTTTCCATACATAAATATATGTGGTGTTACATGTTTATTGTAGGCACCAAACAGTCTGGTTACCTGGGGGAGTGGGGTGAAAATGACGTGTAATGGGCGGGGTGGGAGTGTTGTGTATGGGGGGGGGGGGTGCGCTGAGGTATAAAAAATTGCGTTTTTAGCATGTTGGTAGATGGAGCTGGGGTGGGGTACGAGATCACAATTTACAAAACGACAGGGGGGGGGGGGGTAAATAAGTTTGATCCTTTTCACAACGCCTAGCCAGATACAAGGTTGACTGATCAAACCATTGAAGGCCACACTATCCTCATCTATCATCATGGTCAGATAACTTTCATCTCAATTAGTTATAACAGGAAATGAAAGGAAAGAAAAAACTACGAGTTTTGAGATGAAAGACTTGTATCTTTTTATGTAGGTAATTGGTCAAGTTAGGTAATCTTCTGTTCGCTGTCATCTCACCTTGGCTTATCTCACTGTAAGTGAACGGGGGATAAGGTGGAGGACAAAACAGATGATGGCAGTGATGAAGATGTAGCGTTGGATGTCGTCTGCGGGAGGTGAGTGGATGGTGGAATAGAGGGTAGGTGGATGGTAGAGTAGAGGGTGGGTGGGGGTTGGAATAGAGGGTGGATGGGTGTTGGAATAGAGGGTGGGTGGATGGTGAGTGGATGGTGGAATAGAGGGTGGGTGGATGGTGGAATAGGTGGTGGATGGTGGAATAGAGGGTAGATGGATGGTGCAGTAGTAGGTAGCGAGTGGAATGTAAAACAGCGGTGAGAGGTTCGCAGAACAGAAGGTGAGTAGTGAAGAAAATCTCCGACTGGTTGACATATCTCCACTTAATGGACACCAGCGAGAAAAGTCTCAAAGGTATTTGAGAGAGGTCCATAAATTAATTTAAAAATCTTGCACGGCGTAGTTACAATTAATATGGTTATAAAATCCTGTCTGTACTTCATATCCCCAGTCACACGGGATTATCTCACTTCATATCCCCAATAATACGGGATTATCTCACTTAATATCCACAATCATACGGGATTATCTCACTTCATATCCCCAGTCACACGGGATTATCTCACTAAATATCCCCAATAATACGGGATTATATCACTTCATATCCACAATAATACGGGATTATCTCGCTTCATATCCCCAGTCGCACGGGATTATCTCACTTCATATCCCCAGTCATACGGGATTATCTCACTTCATTTCCCAAATCATACAGGATTATCTCACTTCATATCCACAATCATAACGGCGAGGCTAGGATACAATCACAACAACATTGCTAAAGCACAACAAATCAGTCACACTGTCTTACTATCAGACACGGATACTGTCACTGGTCTGTGTTATATATCCACTTTTTAACATGAATACTGCCGCTGGTAAGATATCCACCTATCCAGTGTATACTATGTCCACTTCTTGTTTGTGCATTAGAACATTAGAAAGTCCAGTAGCACCAAGACATTAGAAAGTCCAGTAGCACCAAGTCACTAGAACATTAGAAAGTCCAGTAGCACCAAGACACTAGAACATTAGAAAGTCCAGTAGCACCAAGATACTATAAAGTCCAGTAGCACCAAGACATTAGAACATTAAAAGTCCAGTAGCACCAAGACACTATAAAGTCCAGTAGCACCAAGACACTAGAACATTAGAAAGTCCAGTAGCACCAAGACACTATAAAGTCCAGTAGCACCAAGACATTAGAACATTAGAAAGTCCAGTAGCA